CTCTACTCTCTATCTACTAGTTATTCTACCTCTATATATACTAGCTGCTCTAGATTCTAGAAGAATCTATCTTAGTAATAGATTGCGTAATAGATAGATAGATTNGATTAGGGATTNATAGATTGTTTNGATCGTTNAGATNAGGGTGCAATGTTGACTTGGGTCAGGGATCGGTATCGTCCCAACATAGATTAGAGATTGATGGATTAGTTCTCTCAGAGATCAGCTGAATAGCTTAGATCTCTAACAAACTTTACTTTAAGCTTAGGGTAGCGCTTAATAAACGTGCTAGGCTAGTTTTAGCTAATTTAGTCTAGATTGCGCTTAGCGCGTAAAGAATTAGCTATATTAGCTACATCTATAAGCCTAGGGGGAAATCTACGTAGATTAAGGTTAAGTATATACTTAATAACTATCTTCTCCTTAAGTTTAGTTAGATTTATTATTTTAGGCTAGTAATCCCTCTATAGAGTCTATCCTACGCGTTGTTAACTTAGTATTAATAGAGTTACGTTAAAGATAGCTGCAGCGCGTCGTAGAGAGAGATTCGCGTCTTATTTAAGAGCTTAGAGAGTAAGCTGTATTTAACATTTACTAGGGGGCTCTATTTGCTGTTGTTGTTGCGACATTGGGGTAGGGTAGTAGTTTTGGTGGGGTCTTGGCAAAAGTGTTGCACGAACCCGTGTGTTGCACGAACCCGTGAGGTACGTTATATAGTAATAAGAAGATATTAAAAGAGTAGAAATATACTAAAGAGAGTAAACTATCTTAAAAGTAGTATAAATAGTGTAATAGAATAGAGTATAACGCGCCAATATATAAGTAGGTACTAGAAGTAAACTTATAATAATAGTATATATTTCTTTACACTATATAGGTCTAAAGTAGGCTATTTTAGGCTATAATATAGTAGTTTTAGTAGAGTCTTAGTAAAAGTGGCTGGCGAACCTATGTGGCCGGCGAACCCGTGAGGTACGTTATATATTATCAAGCTCCAGGAACGAGACGGTATCATCAATGGCGGGACTTTCTATACCGGATTAATTCTTTGTACTCTTTCGGTAAAATTTATTGTTACTTATTCAAGAGTTATACAATATCTAATCTTTTGAAGATCATGCAGGACCTATTATGGACAAACTAATTACGGTGTATGGGAGATCTTTACTGCGTACATGCCAGCCTTAGCTCGACTGCCCCTATATCTCACACATTCACAAATCACTTTCTGGAAGTAATTGGCGTCATGGACCTTCCCGGTCTTGTTTCCTGTAGAAAAACCGCCAAAATAGTGTTCTGGAAACGCCTGCGAGAAGCTCAGCTGATATCATGTCACGGCTTGATGAGTGGTGTCGAGACACTAACAGGGTTACCTCGCTCACTAGATATACTAGCCTATCCCGAACATCACACAGCTCAACTTGACCTTTGGAACTGGCACAGCCAGATGGGAGATGGTCTACAAGCACAACTATGGGATGCTTGGAGATATGCTGGAATCCTTTACAGAGAGCATGTTTTCGCTGTGAGTGAAGAAATTGACAGAGATGGTATCAAAGAGATATCAGTGATGGGATTAACTTCCACAAAGTACATTTTGTGGCGCCTTATAGTCAGTCTTGATACTCTTAGACTAGGACTTGAGCATCCGTCTCTAGGAGGCGTTCTCTATGGAAACTCCACATTTTGGCCATATCTTGTTGCTCGATGTAATTTTGGACCTCTGAGAGAAAATTCAGAATGGAGGATAATGATAGATAAGTTATTTAACATGCTACTCAGCAGCTACAAACCCCGGCAAATTTAGGCAGCACAGGACATGACACAGGAGGTATGGGAGAGAGGAGATATCACATTTGACCTTGATAGGGCGGCCTCATCTCGTGATATAGAATTGGTAGCCTTTTAAATGTAGCATGGTCGATAGTAAATTTGTTATATCATAATCTCTGAAGTGCTGTGCTACACGTAACCTAATCTCCATAATACCGTGCACACCGGAAGCTCCACACTTTTCCGGCTCTCGGCGCTATTAAAGAGAAACACATTCATACTGCAACTGTTCACATCAGCTGCAAATACATGTCTGGCACCATCACTCTATGTTTGCGATGAAAGAATTCTAGTTCGAATTCTCCGCCATCACTCTAAGATAAGGATTTCAACATAGTTTGGAGGTTCGGAGCGCACCGATGTGCTGGGTCGGAATAAATGGATTCTGTTTCTTTATCTTTTTCAACTGTTCCTCTATATGGACATCTCGTCAAGTTGATGTTTCTTAGTGAAACAGCATTTGACCCGAATAGGTTGCTCCAAGCGCCGAGTAACCGTATCTTGGCTGAGGGGCAGAGACCCCTGTACTCGGTGATGCCGCCCGTCGCCATTGATATAATGCATAGTTAGACAGGAACTAATCACTCTTACGTGGATGTCCCTAAGCCTCCAGCCTTCTCGTCTCTTGTTAAGCAGAGAATCCTCCTTGTTACTAATAACACTGACTCTCTACGCGTAGTCTAAGACGAGTCTGGACTACGGATTGTGGGGTATTAGCTTCAACTTGAAGGATACCTGGTGTAATAAAGAGAAGTGGGGACGTGGCAAGTTCGGCAAAGCGCATGAGAGAGGATGAGCGGAATTGTGGGCGCAAAGGCCTTGAGTCTGACAAAGTTCAGTCGTCTTGCGCACGTCATGCTGGAAGACAGGGTCCTTCGATAAGGGCGGAAAGGACCCGCGATTTTGGGCCGGGTAGCGGAATTCGCGATGAACCCCTCAGTGGCTCAGGACCACGAACAGAGCGACGCGACATCGCAAAGATATCTATCTATCTCTTTATAGCTTGATCTGTCGTCTCAGACGGCATTGGTAAATTTTGACAAGATCTACGACTGTATCAGCTATGATAGACCAGCTTCTGACTGATTTCTTGCCTCTTTCCATTGCTGGAGTTGCTTTCGTAGCGCTGATCGCTCGGCTGCTGTACAATAGGTATGGCACCGGCCTGAGTCACGTACCAGGTCCGTTCCTCGCGAGTTTCACAGACGTATATCGGCTTGCAGTAGTTCGGGGATACCGGCCAGAACGTTGGCACATCAAGCTCCACGAGCAATATGGTGATTTCGTGAGGATTGGGCCCCGGACGGTACTATGTTCGAGTAACGAGGCAGCCAAGAAGATATATGCACTGAATGGCGGTTTCGTGAAAGTTAGTATCTTGGGTCAAGGGTAGCGGCTGCTGGCTGACCAAACCTGCAGTCAGACTTCTACATCGTGCAGCAGACGTTGGCAAAAGGGGTCCCGCTGAAGACACTATTCACTTCGACTGACGAGGCCTTCCATTCGAGGCTGCGACGATCCGTCAGCAATGCCTATGCAATGACATCCCTCGTCCAATTCGAACCTTTCGTCGACTCCACGACAGTTGAGTTCCTAAAACAATTGACCCAGCGATACGCCAACAAAGGAGGCGAGTTTGGCGTTGTCGATTTTGGCGCATGGCTCCAATACTACGCGTTTGATGTCATCTGTGAGCTGACCTATTCTAAGCGGATGGGCTTTGTAGATCGCGGCCAAGACGTTGAGAACGTCATATCGAGTCTCGAATGGCTTTCAGGTTATGCTGCAGTAGTCAGTATGATCCAAACCCATAGATGTGTGTGCTGACAATCTCGCTAGATTGGACAGATCCCGTATCTTGATCGACTGCTCCTGAAAAATCCTATACGTCGCTGGCTGAGCGCACGTGGTTTCATACCAAGCACACCGGTAGCAGTGTTTGCCAGTAAACGTATACAGGAAAGTGATTCCGCAGAAGTCAAGAAGGAAATGCCAGCTCAGAGGCAAGCACGGCGCGACTTTCTCGAGATTCCAAGAGGCGCACCGGAAAGACCCAGACTTCATGAGTCAAGAGCGTGTCCTTGCACTCACGGTAGCGAACATGTTCGCGGTTAGTTCGCACAACTGCAAAGTACTTGCGCCCATCTGACTTGCACTGCAGGGCTCTGATACCACTGCTATATCGTAGGTGCTTTCATTGGCTGACAAAGTCGTTGCTGATCGCTGATCAGACTCCGCGCGATCTTTTACAAGTTGATCAGAAACCCAGACAAGCTCACTAAACTACGCACAGAGCTGGAGGAACTTGACTCGACAGGCCGAGCTGTAACCGGTAACGCACTGGTGGCGTGGAGTGATGTGCGAGAGCTGCCGTACCTGAGTGCGGTTATCAATGAGTCGTTGAGGACACACCCCGCGGCGGGTCTACCTCTAGAACGAATCGCCCCAGCTGAGGGCATTCAGTTTGATGATGTCTTCATACCCGGTGGTACTAATATCGGCTGCAGCGCTTGGACTCTGCATCTCGACCGAGGTATCTGGGGTCAGGACGCAGGGGTGTGGAGGCCTGAAAGGTGGCTTGAAGCTAGCGAGCAAAAGAAGGCTAAGATGAAGAACAGCATGTTTGCCTTCGGGGCTGGCTCGCGCACCTGCATTGGAAAGAACGTCAGCTACTTGGAGATGTATAAGCTGGTTCCTGCGGTATTGCGCAGCTTCGATGTGGGCGTCTTCTCGTGGTGAATGTAGTCCTCGCTTACATCTGCGACAGATCGAATTAGCGTACCCGGACAGAGAATGGACGCTGCATAATGCGTGGTTTGTCAAACAGAGCGATTTTTATGTTAAGATTCGCTCGAGAAGTCAGATTTGAGTATTGTGAGGGAGTGGAAGGTGTCGAGAAGGCAGGTACGCAACGCGTCCACTGAAAGGGACTAGGTTCGCCCGCCTTCTCCCATGAGAAATAACACGCTTGGTGGAAGGATAGCATCAATCGCATAATCTTCAACATGTAGATCAGTGAGCAGAATTTGCTACTTCATTGGCAACAGCAATTTAGATAACATCACAAGTTGCAAGTATGATCTTGAAGTTACTGTAGTTGGATTCTCAACCCTGCGCTGGACAGTTCCCCTCACCCATCATTGAGATCAACAGCCACGTCCAACGCAGTGTAATGGTGGAGTACACCACACTCTCTGTCTACATGCCAGAAGCGGTATTGCGGCCTTAGTAAGTTGCACCATTTGTAAGCCGTTAGAGCAAAGTCACAACTCCAACGACCAACAGCCAACAATATTGGAACAAAGCTTCCAAAGTTCGGTTGCATTTCCGGTCACATAAGTTTTACCTCTGGTCGATTTGTAGAAGAAGCGTCTGAAAGCAAGTTTCAAGTCATGTTTTCACAAACGCACAGATTCATGACATGAGCTTTGATCAAATTGAAGTGATTACAGGACTATTCGCTCAAGTCCAACGTGAAAGCAAAAGCCCTAAGTTTGTTCTCGAAGTAGTCGAACCTCCTCTACCTGCCTTCGGAAACGGCGCCGTTCTACGCTGCGATTTTTTTGGCAGAGTCAAGGAAGTCGGCAATAATGTCTCTCGATATGGCAAGGGCGATATCATTGCGGGTATGATCTGGGAAGGCGGAGTTAAAGGCCACGGCGCGTACGCTGACTAGATTATGGTACGGCCAGGCTGCTACTCCCTTTATGGACTAGCGTTTTGGCCCAGACCCGGGATACTTACCTGCTTCATAGGTCTGATAGCAATCATCATACTTGGACACTACTGTTTTGACCCACTTTGGTTACTTTGCCTTGGGCCACTGTGGCCATAGCAGAATAGTGAATGAAGACGGTAATACGCTGTCAGCTAAGCTCTTTGAACATCTAACATAGTGTTTGGAGGACGGCACAATTAACCAAATTCAAAAAGCCTGAGTTGTTGGCAGAACTGGAGAAAATATCTTACCGATTTCAAGAATAAAGACATGGTGCGGTAGAGCGGTTATAGCTAACAGTATATATACGTAGTGATAATTTCAATCACCTACTATAGTTACTAGTTCTGATAGACCTTAAAATATTTAGTATATAAAGGTGGCTTGAATGGTTATATTAGATGTATTGTTTAATGTATCTTCTACCTATCCGCGAGACACCTTATGTAAAAGAGAGTTTGTTAGAGAGTTGCTATCTAGCTACCTATCTACGTCTTTTTAGTTATATAATAAAGTATAGACCTGCACTGTCGCGGGTCTGAGCACTCTATCGCGAAGCCATTAACGCTTAGAACGGTTGATAGACGATATTTAGTTGCTAGTGACCATTGGTGGGGTTTCTTGTTGAATTACGACCTGAATCGCTAGTTAAGTTGCTGGCTGAGAGCGCTGCAAAACTTGGTGCTATTGGTCCTATTCATAGCACTAGCAGCACTAGTGGCGTTAATAAAGAGGGGTATCGACCTGTAAATGATACCCCCTTAAACCTTAAACATAGGTTCGACATGTGACGTGAAGAGTCGCAGCGTTGAACTTACTCACACTCTTTCTGCAATGTTTTCCTATTCTAACACATAGCTACGGGGCAAATTGTTTGTGTCCAGAACTACGTTCTCGTTTTCTTAGTTGTTTGCTCAACGCACCAGCTATTTCCACCTATTCACTACGATGGCGGGGGAGTCAGGGTCCGTACATGTATCGTTGCCCAAAGCTATGACGATAGCTGCCTTTTTTGGCATTTCCATCCACAGTTCCATCGAAATTCTCTTCTCAATCTTTTACCGATTCAAAAACCGACGAGGATTGTATTTCTGGAGCATGCTTGTTGCATGTATCGGGATCCCTGTCCATGCGATAGCCGTGCTGCTACGCATGTTCGGCCTCGCACCAAACGCGGTGATGTCGTTCATTATTGTCCTAGGCTGGTGGGCTATGGTAACCGGCCAGGCTGTAGTGCTTTTCTCGCGACTCAATCTGGTTAGCGATAACAAAAAGATTCGCTGGGTGCTAGTCATGATTATCACCAATTTCATCGTCTTCCACTTGCCTGTATCAGCATTGTACCTCGCCATCAACATTCGCACTTTCAACTCACTCACCAAAATCTTCTCCATCTACGAAAAGATCCAACTCGTCGGTTTCTCCATCCAAGAGAGCATCATTGCTAGCATTTACATCTGGGAGGCCTCACGCACCCTCAAACCCATTCTAGAATTCAGGGGACCGAAAGAAAGAAAGATAATCAAGCACCTGATTCTTGTCAATGTCCTTGTTGTCGCCATGGATGCCAGTCTACTCGTCACCGAATTCACAAATAATTTCGAAATTCAAACGACTTACAAGACTGTTGTCTACAGCATAAAGCTAAAACTCGAGTTCTATGTCTTGAATCAGCTGCTGTTGATAACTCAATACCCAACCTGTACCTGTACCGACTCCTTCTCGTTCATCGGCCATGATCTCGATATTTCCAATTGCCGCCTTATGCCTCCAGGGCCCAGTACTACGTTACAAAGGCCTCAGAAAATCGACACCACGGCTTCGTCTCAGTTTGGTTTGGAGCGTATGAATAGTGTGCTAGAAGATAAGAACAGGCAGCCGCCGAGTTGCTATTTGGCTGGCCGCAATTGGCGCACTAATTCGTTAAATTCGAAACATGAAATATGGGCTGGTTGAGAATCTACAAAACTGAAGCTGTCAGATTCAGGCCCGTCAAAGACTAGTGAACTGGCATCGAGAAGAGAGCGGTTGATATCTCGATTGTGCCCTTACACTAGCTGAAAAAACCTTCGGCTGGAGCGGGCCAGTACCCAGCATCTTCATCAGTATGCAATCAATTACCAGTACGGCGCCTAGATCGCCCGAACTACAGCAATACATCTCTGTGCATTCCGTCACTTCTGCTAATGCTCAGTGGCAACTGCAATCCTACATTTCCCTCCCCTATCGCGAGCCAACACCCGTCCGCGAAAGGACTGAACCCTCAAGCCTCCTCTACCTCCCCCAACCCAAGCGCTATCGTCCGCACTTCCACCGCCCTACCTCAAAAGGCTGTACCAATACGACCAAATTGGTTCATCACACCAGAGTAGAGCGCGAATACCGCAGAAAGCTAAATTTGGAGCTATGGCGGTGACGGAGGGTAGTACCTATGTTCACTCAAAGCGATGCAACGGATATAGACGTGATAAATCTAAGTAAAATTATAGTACTAGGAGAGGCGGTAGCCTATGCTAGAGCCCTAGAAGCTTAGGCAGATATATTATTTAAGAAGATGTGAAGATATAAAGATACTATATAGTTTTTAGGCATAGAGCCTACTCTGACTTTATTTTCTTTCTAATTAAAGCTTAATATCTATAGCATTTCTAATCTTCTTTGCTTCTAATATCTAAATTAGAATATATGTATATATACATATATGTATAACATTTCTTATTATAAATTATGTTATAGCTACATGATAAGACTAAGAGAAAGAACAGAGAATTGAGTACATACTATAAGTAGATATTACACTCTATACTCTCTCTAACCTTAACAGTAGAGGCTTTGCCTCATGATAGTATTCTTAATGACCATTTCTATACACTAGAAGCTAAGAAGTAATAAAGTTCATTTCTATTGAATATAGACATAGAAGAGAATATAAAGTTGTATATTGTAAGAAGAGTAGTAGAACAAAGAAAGATGAGATATTCTCCTACTTATGTCTGGTTGCTATCTGGGTCTCGAGATCGCGGTCGAATGATTGAATCATACGAAGTACTGAGAATATGTCCTCTGGGCTCATCTCGCGCTGTTTGTCTTGTACTAGAGCATGCGCTACTCTGACAGCGTTCTTGATCTGTCGGCCATTCATCTCATTCTCGACAGCTTTGTCCAAAAAAGCATCATTGACCCAAGACGGAAGCTGCTGCGCCATTCCCTGCTTGACAAATACGCGCCAGAGCTGGCGCTTCGACTCTGACGATAGAGCAGGGAAAGCGATCGTCAAATGAATACGTGACTTAAAGGCAGAGTCCATTGTGTTTGCTCGATTCGTGGTGAGGAAGAGTATACCCTCAAAGTATTCAAGGACCCGTAGGAGAACTATTGATGTGAGCACTGAGACTACGCTGAAGCGTACGATGACTGACCTGAAACGAGTTCATTTCTCTCCAGATCATTTAAGCTTCGTTCCGCCATGAAGACGTCCGCCTCGTCAATCAGTGCTATGGGATTCCATTTTGTGGCCAGGTTCAGTACTTGTGTGAGTCGCTGTTCCGCAGTACGAATGGTCAAGTCGCTGCAATTTAGCGAGTATAGTGGCCTTTGCGTGAGGTCTGCAATGCTTTCTACAGAAATAAGTTAGCAAGTCTCAAGGTTTTGTATCAACGTAATGCACTACAACTCACCAGCTGTGAAAGTCTTTCCCACGCCAGCAGGTCCGTGAAGCAGGAAGATGACACCCTTTCCCTTGCCTTTGATCAGATCGTCATAAGTTTCGGAGCTTGCTTTTGCACTCTTGACCAACGCTGCGATCATGTCTTTCTTCTCTGGGGCGAGCGCCAGCATCTCGAAGGCAGATGTGTTGAAATCGATGTCTTGTATGTGATTTATGTCGAGCAAGCCCCAATTCTTGGTTGTGAGCGAGAAACCAGGAATCATATTAGAGCATATGAGGAGCTGCTCCTCACTCAGTATGGGTTTCTTATCTGGCTCGACCTCAATGATTGAGTCGCGCGAGAATCTGGTTGAGAAAAGGCTTTTGGCATTCTCATATTCTTGCCCGTCAATCATAACTCTTTGTCGCACCTGCATTTCTTAGTGGAAATCAGCGGTATGCTAGGAGCCAATATACTTACAGTTCCTTCGTTACGTAATGAGGGACCATTGAAGCCACGCCATCGTCCGTTATACATGCGGTAATGCACTCCATGCAGTGAAGCATATTTCTCTCCTCTTACTAGCAGTCTTTCCTTGACAGCTTCGACATCCTGGACATACTCGAGTGGATATACCTCGAGATCCGCCAACGCTTTGAAGCCGTCGTAGTGTTTGACTCTGAAAAAATGTGTAGTCTAGCCGAAGATCTTGCCATTGCTCTCCAACTTTTCAACCTCCAGATCCCACCACACATGTCCGTCGTCATCATCTTCCTCCACCATGCTCACAAATTTGTACATGCATTCTTGATCCTTATCCTTTTTGTACACAAGCGAGCCTGGCCGGAAAGCCATCCAGAGTTCTTTGTAAGTAATACCTGGGGACGAATTTTCATTCCTCGTCATGGTTTCAAAAGTAAGGATCTCTTGTCGGAGAGCCTTCCTCATATACTTGAGTATAAAATCCACGTGCTCTTTCATTGCAGCCTCACTTGACGCTTCAGCGTACTGCTCCAACTCGTGCCGGTAGTGAAACAAGCACCACGGTTTGGAGAACATGTATATGCTCCCCCCTGTGACATCCAAATCTATGTCTGGATACCTTCCTACCACATCCTGAAGAGCCTTCCTGATATACGGGGAGTTTATCTTCAGATGAGCGTTGCTCATTCTGCCGTCCTTAGTTATGAACCGAGTGAAGACGAGAGCCGCCTCGGGACTTTTCTCATTATCTTCTCCGATTGAGAACTTTGAGCCAGTGCGAAGCTCAATTCTTTCGCCAGCTGAGTTCAGTCGGCTATCGTAGTTGTGCAACTCGCACAGTCGGCCGCGCTGATTGTCGATGTTCTCGTCCAAGTTCGACCCAACATATTCGAAAGGGTCAGGCACTTGGTTCGCTTCTTTCGCTCCGCCACTCGTGGTAGCCTTGGATTGATCACTCATGGGTCTATCCACATTTGCTTCATCATCGACTGCATCTCCGTTGCTTGTCTTATCACCTTCCGGGTCATCGAAATCGTTTGATCTCGACCGGTCTTGGGTAGCCTGGGGCCTAATTCTCGATTTCGACTTTGCGACTAGTGGATTCCGCCTCATTCGAACTTTGGTCTTGGAACCAAAGGCAAACCTGGGTTTGTGCTGTGGTTGTGTTTTCGCGGATAGGCTGGCTGTGGCTTTTCCCATTATTGGTTGTATCATTGCAGTCAAATAAACAAACGCAGGCTTGGTGGACGCGAAATCATTACAGAAGACTCGATTTGATTTTTGAGTCTGGCAAAGGATTGTTGAGAGCTAGCTAGGGACGCTTATAAGTTGTTTAACCTTGCCTTCCAGCGCTAGAGCTCTGCGCCTTTATCATTACCTCGTTGTCTTCAGCCTCGCTTAGTGACACTTTCGTGGAAGGAATGCGCCTTCTCAACATATGTCGGCCCACTCAGACAGCCTGCCGGTACACCACCATCATTTCCGGTTGCAGTGATTGATCCAGCCACAACACCAATAGCATGATATGGCTGTTCTCTCATCCCCTCCTGCAGCCACCGCTGCAGCATGGGCGTCTTTGTGTCACCTTCGGAAGATCCCTGTCTAGGTTGTCCTTCGACCTCCTTGTACGTCCAGCTACGTTCGACATCATAAAATTGAATTCGAGCAGCATCATGCATTCCTTCCTTTTGTCTCTATCTAACTGTGAGCTCTTTATAGAACCATGTAAGACTCTAAGTGACCGACGTTGAAGTTGCTTGTAGTACAAGCCTGTGTTATTTTCGCGATTGGGCGCGAATCCCTCTGCCGAGAAGCCATGAATGCGAGAAAATCGGAGATGTGAACAAGGCGTACGATTCGGGGCAGCTTGAAGTTTAGCTGAGTATTCAAATGTTTAATCTGTGCTTGCAATGATGCAGCTCCAGAGCTTTACTGGCAACTTATATACTACCCGATGAGCACGGTTCAATTCCCTCTTTCGTTCTCTTCATTGTAGGACTCTTCAAAAGTGCGTTCTTTTGCGAGTTAGTCGTATGTGCCATACTTTCATGTGCATCCTCATAATGAAGAGACACGGTGCCCAGGGGTGGGCGTCTAAAAGTACGGTACTTTCGAAGTCCACTATCTTGAAGGCGCCTCGGTCTCAATTCGGGTCTTCGTATGGGCCTTGTCGCCTGCGGGACGCGACCAATAGACTTTGTTAGTCGGCAAAGGCCCAGGAAGAATGACCGGCTCTGGCTGACACACTGATGCCTTGCCATTTATCGGTACTTTTTGTCGCAATGTGCGACCCGATAAATAAGTCCCATACGATTGTTGGTGGGGATGACGTGGATGTTCGTAGGGTAGAGGACCAACCAGGCCCGCAACGTACTTCCGAGAACTTTTTGGGCACTTTTGTCACCCACACTTGCGCGCAGCCTCGCGCGCTGCCTCATGCACAGCTACGGCGCAATCTCCAGGATCATCACGCGCGAACCCTGGAGTCTGACAAGTCAAAGGATCCCGTCTGCACAATGGGTCGTGCCACCCATCGGTGTCCACCTAAATTGCGTCTCTGACGCTGCGATCATGGTTGCCGCCACTATCATTCGACTGTTCCAAGGTTTCCTGCGCCTGACTGGTCATGCAAGATCTTTTGGTCTGGCCAGTTAAGACAATGCGGTACTTTTGGGTTCTTTCGGGTACTTTTTGCTAAACGAATCAGGCTCTGCCTGCGGCCTGGCACTCCTGACGATACCTGCAGGCACTTCAGCGCTTTCGCTGACCTAGCCTTGTCAAACAAACATATTAAATTCCGTTGGATCGCGCTGTCTTCGTTCTCTACTCTCTTCCCACTATTAGTACGTGTATTCCTTTTTTCTTAGATGGACCACCTGAACAACTTCTATGCTCCTGGCGAGCAATTTCCGTGGAGCAATCCTGCTCCGTTCCACGCTACCGATCAACATGGCAATCCTACGTTCGCAGCCGCAGGCCCCACGCAACTGCCATCAGCGAACGCTTTTGCTACATCTGCCCCCGTCGGTCACTTGCATCGTGACCCTGAAGCGGAATCACGCCACATGTCGAAGCCCAGTGCATCTTGCACGCGCCAGAAAGCCATTGCTTGGAACCAACATCAAGAAGAGCTCAGAAAGCTATACCTCGAAGACCAGATGAAATTAGACGACATCCAGACGTGGATGAAACGAGAGAGAGATCTCGATGCAACGTAGGTAATGTCTCTACTGAGGTTTTAGCAAACACTGAACGTATGCTAGTAAGAAGCAGTATAAGGATCGCTTCAAGCTTTGGGGTTGGAAAAAGAGCCTGCCTCTCGAAACAGCACAATTCATGGCCATCAAGGCCAGGGAACGAAAGCTGGGCCCCGACAAGAAGGACACTAGTTTTAAGTTCGGCGGTATGACTTGGACAAGCGCGCGCGCCGAGGTTACCGTCAAGAGAGCCGGAGAAGGCACCACAGAGATCATAGGTATGCAACCCCTATCATCTCCTATCTAAACAAATAGTAATGCGATGAAGATATGAGCACACCTATGGGCGTCGTCTATGAGACACCTGGTCACATCGATCCGACATCGCCAGAGAATCCGGGCATGTCACTTGGTACAAATCATGAGATGAACGTGGCTATGACGATATCATCGGACTTGGATCCAGAAGCGTGGGAGTCTGACTCAGACAATAATGACTACTCTCTATCATTGACATGGGGAAACAAAACTCGATCAGATATTCAGGACATGTTTCAGATGGCAAAGCAGCAAATGCACGCCGGCCGCAACCAACAGGCTGAAGAGCTACTCCGAGAAACACTGCAAGGGTACAAAATCCTCCTGGGATCGAACCATGAGGACACTAGTCACGTCTTTGTGACGCTTGCAACGCTGTGTTTCGAGATGGGCAGGATACCCGAGGCCTACAAGATCATTGAGGAAAGTTGTCGTCTTCATATTGAGAAGATCGGACTGCAGCATCGTCGCACACAACAGCACATCAATAACATCGCCGGACTTTTGCATGGTTGGAATAGAGAAGATGATGCTCTCGCTTTCTTAGGTCGTGTCAAAGAGATTGCGAATGCACCAACATCAAACAACAATTCAAGACGTAAGAAGTCGCGTGCCATCGAAAAGTTTCCAAAGAACCAGCACTGGTCTTTACTCCAAGAAGCCGCGCGCAGCACACATGGGAATAGCGATCCCATTCAGCTCGATTATGGGCTTAGTCTCGTCCGCACATGTGCTCCTACCGAAGATGCAGCCGCAAAGCAATTGCTATATCTTACTATCGATAGCTGCGGTTCCGACACCAACAAGCTTGCTATCCAGCGTTTGAAAGCATGGGCCGAGCTTCTCAAGCTTCACAACAATACAGGCCAAACCTCTCAAGGATCGGTTGACTTCAATAAGGCACACCTCGCTTTCAACGCAGTCCTGCAGTATTTCCTGTGGGATCAGGTGACAAAGGAGAAGTTTCGATCGTTCCAACTCATGGAGTCTGCTCTCGAATTTGTGGCCCAATTCGTCCGCGCAAGGTTGTTAACGGAAGCAAAACATATGTTTCAGATGTGTCAGGAGAAGGCTTCCGAGTACTTCGAAGAGTACAATGAGCGTACGATTTGGGTACTGATTTCTATCGGCCTTGTTTACCAAAGGTACAGGAGTTGGAATGAAGCTGCTCCCTGGTTCGAACACGCATTGTCCACGGCGATGGAACTATATGATGAGAATGATGGTATTCAAATCTCGTTGGAAGAGGCTATGCAAAAAAAAGCATTTTTCATATATCAACGATGAGGGTCGACCATTCAGGACTATCTTCGGTGTCAATGGACTCAAGATCACGCCAACAAGACTGCATATGGAGTAAGATTCGTTGGCATATTCTTGAACAATCTATTCGAAATGCTTTGATTTGACCATTTATGTGCATCTCTGAACTGCTTATTTTATCCTCATCAATACACGCTAAATGAACCGTTTCCAGGTCGACGTGGCCAACAGACAGAGACTCTGTCATATTCACATCTTGTCTTTCATTCTCTTGTCAGACTTGTTTCTAGCACAAAACATTACAACACGGTTGCTATTAGTTGTCTGCCTATAACAGCGTCTATATTGATACGAGTAGAAATCTATCTATTTCGTCTTCTTTTTAGTCAATAGCTGTGCTAGGCCTGTTCAAAACTGTACGAGCGTGCTACTCTCTTTTTGGGGGAACTTTTCGTAAACTACAGCCAGCTAGCAAGCTAACCCTCATTTTAACCTTAAGCCTACTCTAAAAGCCTTCTCAAAAACTCTATTTTTAACAGCCACCCTATATATTGTATATTTCTAGCAGTACAACACGCGCGCCTATACTATCGAACCACATATATAGATGTTTTATAGATAATGAACTTAAATAATATTAGTAAAAAGAAATCTTAAAGTAGAAAAACGAGATTAAAAGTGGTATGATAACTATAGCTAAATACCACCTAAATCTAATTATGGAAGTATTAGGTTTAATCAAAAGCGACATTGTCTAATTAGGCAAACAACGCAGGTCTTAGTAAAGGTAACTCTTAGATAAGGTTTATCTATCGAAATTACCTGCGTTTAGAGAAACGCATTATGATATAACAACACAGCATAGCGTTAACACTCTAAGAGCCTTGCTACTCTACCTAACAGGAGTGACTACAAGACTAAGATACTATACATTAGGTTCCAAGGTTCCTAGGCATAGTAATGAAATTAATGTCGCATCTTGATTCGGGCCTTGATTCTTTAGTAGGGGTGTTGATGCGCTCAGGCAAAGTGCGATTAGCGGCATACGCCATATGTAAATTCGTAAGATTAGCGGCGCCGGGCGGTGGATTGAAGTTCATATCTGGCTCGTGTGACCCGAACGTTAGCCATTGGACGACCAAGACTCCAAAAACTACTGTCAATCTATTAACGTTGAATTCTACAACGTGAGAGTGGCTACATACCGTCGACGATGCACATTGTGTAACACACAAATGCGATCTGACTAGTCGCATCAACAAAGTAGATGATTAGGTTGATTGCACCGGCTGCGAATGTCAAAAGAGATCCAATGATGTTTCTCCTGAGCATTTTCTTGACACTGGAAGCAAGTGGGTCGTCTCTCTCGACATTGCTGCGCAGGACTCTCCTGAGTCCAGACGGACCTAGAGCAGAAGGCCGTACGAATTCATCCAGGACTGTCGCTGGACCCCGTGCCTGGTTTTTCAAGATAGGTAAGATCAGCCAGATGAAGACGCCCGTGAGTGAGAAGTTGATGACAATATCGGTGGAAAAGGTGGTGTAGGATGGTATCATGTCGCTTCCGATTCGACAATGGCCATCGTGTACACTGATAGCAGAGTGAGGTGTAGCGATGCACCAAACAGCCATGCCTCCAAAAAATCCAACGGTCATGACCATACCGCCAATCCATATTGTGTCGCATCTCCGCGCGAGAGGCTGGCGTGCAATGTGTATCCTCTCTAGATAGAATATATATCTATTGTATATGAATCATAGACATTCGTTGAATGCGAGTCTTTCCAGGGATTGCTCACAGTAAAATCTTCGAGGAGAAGTACAAGAATAGACACACTGTGATCGATGCCCGACATTGCTTCCAAGTGGTGAGATTAAGGCCGTACACCAGGATCGCGCCTGAGGTAACAAGCATCATGGCCACCACAGTCTGCACATGGCAAAGAATCAAGGCAAACGGCATCCTTTCCTTTCTCCTAAATTGTTTTACCCGAAGGCCTGCGGTATGTTAGTGCTGTGATATACGAGTATTCAGGCGATCACACCTAACGCAAAAGACAGAGCACATAGGCAGAGCGTGGAGATGATGCCATAAACCAGCCGGCCCAGTGCGCCCGTTTCAACATGAGCGACACTCTCTTGCTCCTTCTGGCGGACGATTCGTGCCGTGCGCGACCCCTTGATAAGTAAAACCAGAATCATCCAAGAAAAAACCGTTGTCCCCATTCTTAGTAATACCTTGTTCATGTACAAATGTAAGACGACGATGCAAGTCAGAGATTCGAGAGATAATATTGCTTTAACAATCTAGGAGGATACCTGCATCCGCTAGCGGTGGAGCATAGGCCAATCGGATTCTGCGGAGCAGATCCTGGAAGAACATAGTTTTAGCTAAGACTCAACAAGAGACAGAGAGACAAGGGACAGAGATGTAAACGACAGACTATAAAAAGGTTCAAAATAGGAAGAAAAAATGAGATGTTGACCCAAGATGGTAGTGGGAGATTTTTGTGAGGTCTGGCTCTCCACTAGAGCGTTATGATGGTGTAAAACTCTCTGGTATACTAAACATCTTAGCAAATCTAACAACTTTGAAGCAAAATATCTATTCTAAGCCAAGTCGCTGTAGGGTACCTACATAGATACCCATTCATGGAGAAGCTGCATAATGATTATTGTTTTTTAAGATCCTTCATATTAGGAAAGCGTAGCGAACGACTAGATGCAACAGTTAGTTTCTCAGAAACATCCTAGCTCTAAACACTCTAACTCAAACCTTAACAAACTTTATGATTACACTGCAGTGTATTTTTTCTTACCAATCGTGAGTAAAGAACAATCAGCACCTATTTGCATCACTCCATAATTTCTCTAGATATTCTCTCGTCTCTGTGTTCTTGAAAATCGCTCAAACAGCGTTTATACCGTAACACATTGGGAAAGCGATCATAGCCTATATGTCACCTCTAATGAACTTTGTTCTTATGCTATTGAGAAATAATATAAATGAACCCAGGCAGCTGTTCTTTACTTCTCCCTTTATCCTGGTAAATTTTGTACACGTGCCTCGGTGGCTGCCTTTTTAGGTAGTACACATAGTAAAAAGTGTTATGTTTATACTCATGTTGTTAGTGTGTATATTTCTTAGCACAACAAAATTGCACTCAATTATCAATTATGAGAGCATCCAGAGACTGCCTTATGACTGTGGTGTACCATTACAAGCTAAAAGGCCCAGCCCCAAAGACAATGGCGAAAGCTCCGCTCACCACGTTGAGAACCTATGCGGCCCCTATGGTCGCAACCGTTGTGCGCAAGATGAAAAACGAATGACTTGGCAACGGCGACAAATCACATCTCGCGATTTGTATAATTTTGCTGACCCAATACTGTCATACATTATCAATGCGCTAACTTGGTTTGAGAAAGTTGTTTGCGTTCGGCGCCGAGAGAAGCCGATCCAGGGGCTGTGCTGATGCTTAATAACGGAACAGGCAGTAGACATTGCCCAGTTGGTGTCCTTGTGATGATGGGTGAGCCCGAGACCGAAGAAGAAGACAAAGAAGCTAAAAAGACATTGCAGAAACCTCCATTACGGGTGTTATATGGGTTTTGCTGGCTATTTTGACACAAAGCCTAATACCTACGCATACCAGTCGTTGCATCAAATTGACAGCATAGCAGTCTGCATCATTGGTGCATGGAGTGCTGCCCGGGCTGCAATTCTGAACAATAGGAATTACGCCGCCAACTGGGCATGCTTCAGCGCATTTCGCTATAGTAAAGAATCCGGCGGTAACTAGGGCGAAAAGAGTGTACTGTATAATGAGAGATGCGGAAATGTTAATGCTATGAGACGAAATTGCCTTTCATACTCGATAGTTCTGTCGCATATCATGAATCTCTTATTGAAACACAATCTCTTGTTCCAACCTCCGTACCTCGGCGTCTTTTGTGTTTCACAATCTGCAATTTAGTACTCCTTCAAGTCTAAACTTCGGTCCATGAATGAATTTTGAATTTAGTGAATTCGGCTTTTGTAGCCCTACAATAACGCTCCGCATTGGACTCGCCACATCACATCGACGGCCGTATCAAAAATAGCGACCCAAGGCCAAATACAATTCCTGGTATTACTGCAATGCCCACAACAGTAATGTAGGTAACAGTTTCCCAAGCGTATAGTGCACAATCCTCTATTAGGTGATATGGCAAAGTGTCGGATCAAATGTGAAATATTACCGCTAAGAATCATTCAACGTGCACTACTACTTCTAGATAGTAACAGATCCTATACTCGTGCCTGCTCCTTCTCTCTGTCGGCCCGTACTATATCATTGATGGATAAATATGGAGAGGTGATTTGCAATACCCTACCATTCTCTTTGAGAAAATGGAATAATCAATTCCAGCGTAGTGTGTAGACACGCCGAACTCATTTGATAGTATTAAGATACACAAAATCTACAATCAATCTAGTAATGCACCTCTCTTCCAAGGCTGAGTGACTGGGAAATCAACTTTACAGGGGATTGCATCCTGGTCCCAGTATAATGTTGCGTGTCTGAACCATGCTGCATATGTTCCATGAGAAACATCAGAGCCTTCATTATCCCTCCAAAGACTTCCTAGCGTCTCCTTGTATACAGCCAATATCATTCCGTGGGCCAATTTGAAGCCCCAGCTGTTTTGTAGCACTGTTTGAATGATTTCCCTCGCCTTCTTCTGCTTGTCATTCTCTTTTGCCCCTTGCTCAGGCATCTTTGTTGACATCAACTCGAATTGTACCTTCCCATTCCAGCCAGTCAACTCGTTGATAAGCTGGCTCCCGCTTATGAAGTCGATTCCGTACACGTGATTTTCAACGTATTCTGGTCCATTCCACCCTTCTACTTCATCAACCAAACCCATGACCATGCTAACGACCTGGCCTTGTATAATGTAGTCTGTCAGCATCTTTCCAGCTTCTTCTTTATTGATAGTAGGCTTTCCTTCTTCTCTTATCTCAAAAGACCCACCCTGCAAAGGAACGCCTTCCAGCAATGGATGTGCATGCAGTCCCACGGTATCTGTTCGACCCTCCCAAAGTTTGAGGAAAAGTCTGTGGCAACGAGCGAAAAGTTCATTGCCTGCTTTACAGCCGAGGAAGTAGTTTGTGAGATTCCTTCCCTGCTGTTGCGGGCCTCTGTAGCTCAGGACTTCGTAACCGGAAGAACGGTCTCCGATTGTTTCGTTCCACAGACGATCTACATCCCCAATCTGTATCATTCCAACGTCCGCGTAAATGCCGCCATATCTGAGTAACAGAGGCCATCGAACAAGATCGGACGTATGCTGTGCGGCGTATCTTCCACCTATTGTTCCATCCTCAAAAGCCGCAGGAAACAAGTTCCGGTCTTTTATGTTTAGAAGGTTTGCGATATTCAAGGCATCGCTAGGATCGCAACTGATCACGCGGATCGTCCAACCCTTCTTCGAAAACCGACGATGCCAGGTCCGAATGTTACGCTTCGTATATGGATGTAAAGCGCTGAACCCAGCATGCCAGAAGAACCATATGTTCTTCTGACTAACGATAGGTCTCGCACTCTGTAGCTCGGAATCGATTTCTTCATCTGGGCGGAGATCGAGTTTCTCATGCGGAACGGCATGGCAGCCTTCAGGAATGAGGTGGTGAAATTCCATTTTGTAACGAAGTGATTGATGTGTTTCCTTGCGTATGCCTGTCTGGACTGTTTTAAAGAGCTTTGGGATTGACCAAGTAATAATGAGATGATATGACTCATGCTTGGCAATGCCAAGTAAGCGATCTATCTACCGCGCATATGTACGTAATGCGCTTCTGATATGCATGTGTGTACAAGGATACAACAATCATCACGCAAAGTAAGAATTTGAGTATTGGGATAAATCTTACAAGGAAGAGATACATTCCCATCAAAGACTATGATAGTCTCTACAGGGCATCACACGCCCTTCATATGAATGCAATATGCGTGCAGCCGCTGTCGTCGCCGCGGCATATGTGGACGGATGAATTTTGCGAGTAACGTAAGCTATTCACAGGAACTTCCACCAAACGCAGCTACAGCTATCTAACCACGAAGCAGCAAGGCGAAAGAGGCCAACACAGTCTGGAAACTCGTTAAGCACCCAAGTATGACTGAATCAATTGGATTTCCTCTTGTAATGGGTATGATGGGATTATCTTCAAGTTTCTATATATGACAGGTGTCAGCTAAAACTTGAAATTGCCGCACTGCATGTAGCAGCATGATTGGATTGCTGAACGTTTTCTCAGTCTAAGGTCAGAATTGACCTTCCTCCACATATTAACCTTTACAAATTCTTCTCCAAAGTCTCAATACGTTTCGACATATCAGGACTAACTAGCATTTGAAAAGATCTGCATTACAGTAGCCCGTTCGCGTCTCACATCTTGCACCTGCTGGAGATAAGCAGATATGTCGCTGAGGCTTGAGATTTGTAAGAGAAACGTGCCTATTGTATCAGCCTCCTCATCACCTTCTTTTGCTCCCTGACCTCTATCTATGTTGTTGCGTCAGCACTTGCGACCTGTATGCGGTCCCAGGTAACGTTTAGGGTTTAGCTTTTCATAACAACGAAGAAAGGTAATTCCACTGGAGCTTAAGGCCGAGACTTTGTCCCCCATGGCTTGGAGATATGCTTTTACTACGAAGTATTCTTTTAAGTATAATTGTTTCTAGTAGACTAAAATGGGCCTTAGGGGTTGCTGTACAAGCAATAGAAGGATGATGCACCATACGCACATCAGATACGTCCAAAATAGAAAACATCCCCCAGTTATTTCATACTTACACTGTTATTGCTTGAACAGTACGTATTCTTTAGTTTAGTCGTATTACATATGCGTGTATCAATCTAGGCATAAACTACGGTACATCGCTAGGCTCAAGAAGGAAGGTCTCAAGTAGCTTGGCAGAGACCTGCCATTCGCAACCAACGCCGATAAGCTTTGCTCCACTATACTTGGCTATGATCAGTGCCTCCTTCTACTTCCAGCTAACCACCGTTGTCTTTTGCCATTTTGGACTCGGATTCGAAGCGGCGCAATTTGGAAGATGGCGGGTTCGCGCGCTTCGAGATTTAGACAGCGAATCATGCCGACATGCGAGCTATGTCCATAAGCTAGTGGCAATGATGACCAGACTTTAGCCAAAATTGTGTACGAGCTTAACTGTATCCTGTCTTTGCTGTGCTTATATACTGTGTGGTTATGGACTACAACTTTCCCGGAGTCCATTTCCTTCGTTCCCACATCCAAAGTTCTAGCCTAGTTGGTGAGGCTCGAATTCCAGTCGATTTTTCCTTCTGAGCTTGCTCGCGGCATTAATTTTCGTTCATTCGAGAACCCCTCTTGTCGGTATGCGGTCTTCGAAGTTTATAGCCGCGCTCACTCTTGCGCTACTGCAGCATGCCAATGCTCTGAATGGAGCCATCCAAAACCAGTGGGATTTGCTTGCCCAAATGGGCCTCAATCCCAATGATAAACCTGTTGAAGAGTACTCCGCCAAGGTTGCATCCTCCAAATCTGTCAAGTCTGCATCAGGTGGAGACATGTCTGCTTCCCTAGCTGCTGACCCCGGATTTATCGACTCCGAGTACGTTGAGCTCCCACTGGATCACTTCGGCTCGGGCGCTGGCAATTTTCGGAACAGATACTGGGTCAACACGAAAAGCTACAAACTGGGCGGCCCTGTCTTCATCTATGATGTGGGTGAAGCTAATGCCAATACAAGCTCTCAGTTCAGGCTCCGCAACGAAACTAGCTTCTTCAAGCAAATAGTCGATGAATTCAATGGTATCGGCATTGTATGGGAGCATCGGTTCTATGGCGATTCGTCACCCGTCACCATCTCGATCGACACACCAGCAGAGGCCTTTAGGTTCTTAACGTCGGAGCAGGCACTTGCGGATGTCGACCGCTTCGCGAAGCAATTTAGCAGAAAAGAAATCAATGCGACACTCACTCCTGACCAGACACCATGGGTCTTCATTGGTGGTTCCTATCCTGGAATGAGGGCTGCGTTCATGCGCAATTTATATCCTGACACCATCTTCGCTTCATGGGCTTCTTCGGCCCCAGTCGAGGCTAGAGTTGACCAGACATATTACTTCGAACCAGTATGGCGAGGCATGAACGCAAAGGGCTTCGGAAATTGTACTCGGGACATCCAGGCTGCAGTCAGATACATAGACGGGGTCATGGATAAAGACAAGCATGCTACCGCTAAGCTGAAAGAACAATTCTTAGGCCCAGGGGCTGCTAATAGCTCTAATGCTGGATTTGCAGACGCGCTTACTCTTATAGCAGCGAGATGGCAATCATACGGTGTGGAGGGTGATATTTATGGACTCCGCCAATTCTGCGACTGGATTGAAACCGACCTTGCGAACGGAAAGACGGCACCAAAGGAGGGATGGGCACCGAGCAAAGGCGCCAAGTGGGTGGTAGATAGGTGGTCTACATACCCCAACTTTGTGACTATGGTAAACGATTATTTTGAGCTAGAGTGCTCGGGTCATGCGAACAAAACAGGTGGAAAGTGCATCTTGGACGGTGCGTTCAAGGACCCTTCAACGATTAGCTGGACATGGCAATATTGTACCGAATGGGGTATGTCTCAAACCTGTTCCTTCAATGCGCTTCAACCGATTCTGATGAAGTATAGGATTCTTCCAAGCTGCCAATATTGGCCCCCATCAACTTATTTCAAAGTACAACTCGATTCAGCATCAGCGCGACATATGTCATCTCCAGTTCCCTAACGCAACCGCTCCTCTCTTCCCAGAGCTGCCCAACACTCAAAACACCAACAAAGTCCTCGGTGGATGGTCGATTCGACCATCAAATACTTACTGGTCTAATGGGGAATTCGATCCTTGGCGCCTAAATTCACCTGCTTCTGACCTGGATTTTGCACCAAAGGTTGAAATTACACAAGATATTCCTAAATGTGGAGTGAGCACCGGAAAGAATAAGTTGTTTGGCATGGTCCTGAGAGATGCGGAACATTGCTTTGATTTCAGGACAACAGGTGTCACTGTTCCTGATGGACTCAAGAGTCAAGAACTATTTAAAAAGGCCTTGAAAAAGTGGCTGCCGTGCTACCAGCCAACGAAAGGAGTTGCAAAGCGATGGAATGCCTAGATTACGAAAACTCCAGTCATCAACTTAACTTACTAATATCACTCTCCCTGTCACATGACAAAGGTGAGACGCTTTCTTTTTGCACTAGGATATGGGATGGGGCAATAGACCTGAGGGACCCTTTCCTTAGCTATACTCGACTGACAATCAATCGCGTGTTTCCAAAGTCTGTATTTAAATTTTGATAAGTCCAAGCGCTCTCACAAGTACGAATTAAGCTTCATCATAACAGATTGAGTTTAGTGAAGCAATCACTAGGTATTGAGCACATGTTATTCAAGAAACAACTGAAGATCAACCAACCAGCTCTTTTCTAATCATAAGAAAGAACCAATGCTTGCTAAGTCTTCGCGATAGTCAGGCGTGGTATGAAACCTAGGTGAGGGGCGTTGCACCTAGGTTCTATGGATAGTGCCAAGGCGCCATACGTAGAGGATCCGGAAGGGCCGATTGCTCACGGAGAGGGGTTTCGCTTTATTGGATTAGAGAGACCCAGGATATGGTCAAGCCGGCCAGGAATTCGAGTTCCCTCGATACAACACTAGGTTTTACTTCTTGTAATTTAAGGAATAAATATTCAGGCAATAGGTCAACGTAAGCTGTCACCAAACTATGCCCGGTGTGTTTACCTGGATGCATAAAAGCGAACTCAAGAGCAGTTCCAATGACCGTCATCGAAATCTATATTCTTGTAGTGCGCCTAAAGCTCAATTCACATCGAAGACATTGTGTTAGCTACTAGGAAAGCAGCGCATTAGTTGAGGTTCGATTCTTTGTATTGAACTAGGGGTAATGATCTTGGGGGATTCGCAGATGGGCCCTGGCCATTGCGGCGGGGCGGATCAATCAAGATCTAATAGATCAGCAATCTTACGGCACAGCACATTCCCATACGGATCTGACTCAGGACTTCATGTTTACTCTGCTCAAGAGGCGATAAAGCAATGCAAATTTTTGATACGCCATCCCCGCTTTTGTGCATTTGAGTTGTTCCAGAACTTATCAGCTCGGTGGAGTAAAATTAGCGTAGAGCAAATTCTGAAGGGTGGCGTAGACGCTAATCGCGCGATCAAACCCGAGCCAAACAATGATTGAACACGGGTAACCGCTTACCCATCCTACCCATCCCGCACGGCAAGTCATTGCCGATTTAGGGCTGAAACGACACGGGCAAGAATGAGAGCTAGTCTGCGTTTGCCTGTGTTCCGAGTCGACGGAAATTCCTTCTCCATATAGGCAGTACGCCTAGTCGTGTGCAGAGTCATGTCAGCCCCTTTAGAAAAGGACGTGCAAAGAGCGACGCTTTCATATCAGTCTTGCTTGCGCGCCGGATTTTGAGTTTGACCCATCTCTACACCGAATTTTCAACCACAAGAATGGCGCGCGATGATCGATCCCAAGAATTCATTGGTGTGCTTGGCTTCTTCATGTGCATCTGCATTCTGCTAGTGATGCTTCGATGTTACTGCAAATTAGTAATTGTGAAGAACTTCTCGGCCGATGACTACTTTTCTGTCCTTACGCTGGTTTCATTCTTGGTCTTTTGTACCCTAGCGCGTCTGGGTATTTCGAACGGAACTGGAAAACGACGATATCTTATTCCAGACGAAAAGTACCCAGTTGGTATGAAGGTGTGTAATAACATGATCATGTTATAGCCTACGTTTATATTAACTCGTAATAGTGGTGGTGGGCCTGCGAACCGACTTATGTTGTCACGAACATCTTTCTTAAATCCAGCATCGGTATCTTCTTGCTGCGCATCGCCCAGAAGAGAGTTCATCGCATCATTCTCTGGACTTCTCTGCTTGCTATCCAGATATACAGCGTGTACTTCTTCTTCATCTTCACCTTCCAGTGCTGGCCGGTTTCCTTCTTCTGGGAGCAATTTCGCGGTGGTAAAGGCTACTGCATACCCTCCAAAGTCATTGTCAATTCGTTCTATGGCTACTCTGCGTTATCATGTGTAACAGATTGGACGTTCAGTATCGTTCCAATCTTCATTGTCCATGGTTTACAAATGAACAAGAGGAACAAAGTCACTGTGGGTATTGTACTCGCCTGTTGCGCTATGTAAGACTATCTACCTCAGATCGTCCTTGGTATCATGCACTAATGCGTTACTAGTGGTTCCTCGGCGACTATTGTCCGCCTGCCTTTCATCAATGGTCTCAACGATATCCCCGACTTCCTCTACTCTACCATCGATGTCGCAATCTGGTCTACCTGCGAAACCGGCATTGGCCTCGCTACTTCCGCCGCTGCTACACTCCGCCCCTTGCTCCGTCTCGTTCTTAATGATACTTCAACACACGATAGTGCCAGTCGCAAGCGCTCGCGCGCGTGGACCTCTGGCCATCCATCACGAGCAGGGTATCAGGAGCATCCAAGCCAACATGGCGATCACGATATCCAGCTCACGAGTCATAGTTCGAAACAATATAATGTCCAGGTTACTGGTGGAGATAGGTCAAGTCCTACTAGTAGTACTATCAGGCTAAAAGACTAGGAATAAGATGATTATAGCATAATAACCAACAAAAGTACACTAAGTAATAAAGATATTGTCACAGTACAGTAACGAGATGGACGTAGCAAGCTTGCGACTTGTAGAGATGTGATTACGGGACAGATCTGACTGAGCAAGTTTTCGTTCCGCTCCTGAACCGAACGAAAGTACTTCATGATTACTCTACTTCACAATGATAACTATGTAAACGTGGTGTAGGCCCACGCAGCATACGTAATGTCTAGCCTTTGACTTGCAGATTCTGAAGCTTACTACACAAACTCTACCTACTATCACTATTGCAAAACTTATTAGGAATAATTCACTCAATCTTTACTCCTCAATATACTTAGAGTTCAGATAGATCCGCCTTTATTAGCGTTTGATACGTTTCTAGGCTCTATTCTTAGTTCTTAATAGGATTAGACTTGAAATAACTCTCTTTACTAGAGGTTAAAAACGCATCACCTCTTCCCCTATATATTACTTTTATTTATATATAATATTATTAACAGATCGAGATAAATGCTATTATATTCTGTCATATATAGATTCAACAGCATAATGTTATCACTATACGTTGTCATTCTTTTGAGTACTAAAAGGAGGTAATTATTGAATCAGAGAATATTGGATACTGTGTTGTAGTATAAGTGGAATATGAAACAAAGTTATATATATATATATATATATAACGAATTAACGAGTAACGTTAATTTCAAGTCTATTTGCGTAGGATATTAACGAAAATCTCATCTATATTAGATTACAAGAGTAACCTTTGACGTTACTACGATTCGCAAAGCTTTTCATGTCGGCTCTTGATGATATCTGCAGCCTTCTCACCAATAGCGTATGCGGTTGTCTGTGTATGAGTTCCAGGTATCAATGGGATGATGCTGGTGTCGGCAATGCTGAGGCCGAGCGTACCATACACCCTAAGTTGGTTATCAACAACGCCACCCAACTCGCGTGGCATTAATGCAGCGGTACCGACACTGTGACCATTGGATGCCATGAGTTTATCTTTGTTCAAAAGCCAATATTCCCAGCCCGCATCGTCAATGACAGCACCAGGGGAGGGATCCTGCTCGACAATGTTAAGATCTTCGAAAGCTTTCGATTTAAGGAAGTGCTTGCGAATATATGACTGCATACGGATGTGCATTTCCTTGTCAATGGGGTTGGACCAAATACGGTAATCAAAGATTGGGTCGCCAAGAGGATCAGCTGGGTTGATATTGACAGAGCCGCGCGAGAAGGGCTTGAGCAAGATGCACATACCCCAGCCCTTGCCGCTGAAAGGATGTTCAAGCCAAGCGTTGGTCGTGGATTGGAAAGATGCAAGTAGGATCTCCTTCTGCTTCTTGTATCCCGCAATAAGCTCCTTTGGGGTATCGGTAGGTAGATAGCTTTCAGGTTTTTGATCGGCAATCTGCTTTACTATTTGTTTATACTGGTCGCCAACAAAAGTCGAAGGAGGGAGGAAAGCACCACTAGAAGTGACAGCAGCAGTGTATGGACCCCCGTTGGTTTTCTTGAATATCATGTACGCTTCCGCTTTGTATGTAGCATTCGATGCGATTGTTGTCGCTTTGGGAAACGAGACATCCGTAGTAAGGTTGTACAGGCTAAGCGCCCAAGAATGATCTTGCAGATTCCACCCTACACCAGGGAGATCTATAAGAGTCTGGATTCCGGCGGCGTCGAGTACCTTCTTAGGTCCAATCCCAGAGTACTGCAGAAGCAGTGGGGTGCGTGTGGCAGAAGCACAGAGAACGATTTCACGTTTCGCCTTGACTGTGAAGACCGCATTCGCCGTCGAGTTGTATCGGCTCCGGATCTCGACACTATTTGCATGCTTCTTATCATCTTTATCAACAAAGTTCACCTTGGTAACTCGATGTAAGGCCAATAAGTGGTAGTTCTTGCGCGGCTGAACGTTGATATAGTGACTCAATCCGGAGAAGCTTCTGTTATACGCTCTTGCTGGATCCATTGAGGTAGGTATCCAGAAAACACCGTAAGCGTTTCCATTGGCATGCTCTTTTTGGATTGGAACATTCCCCTTCTCGACCCAAGCCTTCCAATGCTTTTTCTGGGTAGCAAATTGGTAATCAGGGTAGGCAGCGACCACGGGGCCATCGCCAGTATACGCGGAGGAATCATATGTTATACCCCATTTCTCCATCGCTGTCGTTAACGGTGCAAGAGCAGAACTCTTTTTGAAATAAGGATACAGACCATCCCAATCCCATCCGTTATTTCCTGGAAATCTGGCCCAATTATTGTAATCTTCCGCGCTACCGCGGTCGAAGAATTGTCCGTTGACTGTTGACCCACCACCTACAACAGCTCCATTAGCTACTGGAAAGGTTCGGTTATTCACATTGCCTTGTGGCACCGATGTCAGGTTATACATGAACTTGGCAGCCGGAGTGTTGTACAACGGCATAAACGAATCATCCTGAGCAAGAGGGCCGTATTCAACCAAGAGTACACTTCCTAATTGATAACTTAGCGATTAACGCTAGAAGTAAAGTTTTTCTGCTTACGCCCGCCATCTTCCGAGAGACGATCAGCTATCGTGGTGCCAGCGGTTCCCGCGCCGACCACAACATAATCATACTCCTTCGCAAGTTCGGAAGCGTCTCGCTTGACCTCAGCCTTCTTCCATGATGGAACAGCTTGGACAACGGTCATAAACCCAAGGGCAAGAGTAAGTGTTGGTGTCATACTGAGTACTTAGAAAAAAAGGCGTGAAACATGGTATGATCGCCCACTTTTTAGTTAGCGGCCGTTTGAATCTTTGATAGAAGCCTTCGGTTTTTCTAGTCGCGCCCGATTCGATTGCGGAAGTTAGCAGAAAATGTTAGTGGGGAGTCAATTTTAGTTGCATATGCAGCCTCGTTAAGCGACAGAGTGACTCAGCAATCCCTCGCAGGAGTCAATATATGCCCCGGGATGCTTTCATCAATTTAGCGATGAAGCATAAGGAAATATGCAAAAGTTATTTTCGCTACATCCTACTCCATTACCTTACATCTCAAGGAATCGAGATATTGACTCATTATACCTACTACATTCACACTTATCAATAAGTCATTATGCGAACCTAGACATGGTGTAGCTTGAAGTTGCGCCTCGCGCAAGCAGTCCCCATACAGATAGGGCTACCCCCGGATATAATAGACTCCCCTGCCTCGCAACGCAAGACATTCGAAAGTTCCGTTTCCTGTTTCAATCTATCATCTTCTTTCGATCGAAAACCTGTATTTTGCTTCTTTGTCGGTGTTCTGTGGTCGGACTCCTATGAGATTAGGTCTTGGGTAGACGGTTTCCAAGTATTGATAGGGAAAGCGGGGTTGAATAGGCTGGGCCAGGGTAGCTATATAGCAATATAGATTTGCTCTACATTGGTTTGTGCTACATGCTGTTTCTTCGATGGCTCGTGTCCTGTTTAGCGAGGTCACTGTGCTAGTATGATTACAAAGTACTTGGAGTTTCAATATTTAGTTTGAAAAGAAGCAAGGACAACAGCAGCTGTTGCTCTCGCATACTGAAAGCTAGCAACAGCACGATTGAGTAGGAGAAGGATTTCTGGAAGGCGACTAGGAGCAAGGAGTGAAAAAGAAGTATTACGAGAAATTGACACTAGTCTCGGCGTTCGATAGTAAAAGGAGCAGTTATTTATTCAAAGGGTCATCATACAAGATCACAGGATTTAATGTACAATACCTTAACTTCTTAGACTCAATATCTAACTATTCAGGTAAATGTCCCTATGTTACACTATGGGTTTCACCTTGTGACCCTTCCTGTTTTTTCGTGCTGTTTGCATCTCCCACTATTTCTACGAGTTTAACTGTGCTCCCTTGCTCTTCCAATCGTGACTTCGTCGGATAGCTACCTATGGTGACTTGAACACTTTTGTGAATAGCAATATTGCCTCCAGTTCGGCCCGAGCCAGTATATCTCGAGGTGGACACAACGCTGCGTAGAATCTTGGAGCAGAAAAATTGGAGGCCGAGCTTAAGCGACGGCATACATACACAAATAATGCCGACGTATAATTCGATCATAGACCAGAGCTGAGTATCAAGAAAGTCGTCTGCTAAGCTTATCAGAGGAGGCTATACCAGAAGAGAAGGGAGCGGCATTACAAGTGATGTTTGTAGATTTTGCGAAATTGACTAAAGCGTGTAGCCGGATGATTGAAACGAGAGTTACCCTGCATTGATATCAGCATCATTTGAGACACCACGCAAACAGATATTAAGGAAACTTACAAGAAGCCGATACTAAACATGAATAAGACTCCAACTTTCTTCTTCGTAGAAAGATGTAAAGCCCAGATTTGGGGGATAGGCAGGCCTAACATGATAAGGTCTGTAAAGATACTAAACGATGCCGTGACAAACCCGATCGTGTTATTGTTCAGACACTTGCCTTTATGCTCGCCACCTAGGTCCCACTGCCACCAAAAATAACTCACAGGAGAGCAAATAAATATACCTAAAAAGGCAAACGCGGTCGTGTAAAGAAGCGTAAAGACAATAGCAAACCAAACTAACTTGCGGAAATGGCGATCGTTGAATATGCGGAGGTAGAAAAGACCGAAGGCAATCTTGCCAAGTCCAAACTCGATTCCGTAGAATGGTACGGAGATCCAGAAGGATAGCAGTGTCAATCTAATGTCCTTGAATGAGACTTTCCACATGTCTTGTCCGAGTCCACTAAGTGCTTCTTAGATCAGCGTTTACCCTTCCAATGCAGTCTCGAAAACGCGAGAACTCACACATTATAGTTGTTAGAGTAAACATAAGTGTATTTATCACCTATAGGATGTTAGTTGCGACAGATACTCAATCATAAAACCTACTAGTATCAAAGCCATGTTCCCGTCGTCGAGCAGTTGCAAGCGCCCAAGAGCGTAATGAGAATAAAATCGCCCTAGGATGGCCACAGTACTTAAGGTGAAAAGAACGGTGTTGACGATTCGATACTGCCCAGATCTGTCCCGAACCGGCACGTCGCACATAACCGTGGTGACGTTCAGGGTCGTTAAAGTCTCTCGAGCAGTGCATGACGTGGAAAAGCAGTCTATGGCGATCAACTGCTGCGTTCTATTGTTGCACCGACAGGACATATCCTTGAGAGGATCGCATATGGAATTGGCGAAAGAGCTGGCGATGCATGTTTGCTAGGCGACTGTCAGCTTAGGTCTGAGCAAGCTGAAAATGGAAATATGCTCACCGCGCAAACTGGTAGGGTAGCTAGCTGATCATGTTGGCCCCAAACTGGAGTAACAGCAACACGGAACACAAAAAGAAAACACAACATCCACGGAGAATACATTGTTCTTAAGAAAAGCAAGTCTGCGGATAAAGCTCCAAGCACCCGAGAGCCGAGAGGACGGAAGGCATGCGCGACACAATAACGAAATCACGTTGGCGATGATAAACAATACAAACCACAACTCATATCTTCGCATGTCCCATGGGTCACCTAGGGATTTTGTTAAGCTGGCAATCTAGGCTTTATTTTGTCTTCCGCGGTCTAGCTTCAGGCTCTAGTTACCCAAAAGTAACGAAAGACCTTTAAACGTATCGTTTTACCAGTTAGAGGTTGGTTGCAATTCTTGGTTGAATCCCTCCATATATCATTGGATGGGCGAAGACACCATAGTGGACACTAGTGATAAGTGGGAACTACAGATGTGGCTTACGGGGATGCGGGAAATTTCAGCTGCAATAGCTGAAAACTCGCAAGAACGATGAGTATACCTAAGATTGTGGCTCCATAGCGTACGCCATGGCTTGGATCTGATCAAGTTTACGTCATAGCCCGCTCTGGTCTTTGCTGTTTTGCTTTTTGACAGTTAGTGTTCCAGATCGAGTTACCTGTTCGCTACAGGCCAGTAGGCCACAAAACCTCATGTTTAAATCATGACAGCGGCATTTTAAGACGGAAATGTGGCAAAGTAGATCATAGAGAAGCGCACGGCATGTGCCAGGAGCGGCCTCGTCTTAGAAACAGTAACAATAAACTATACACCCGGATGATTGCTCAAGCATCTATGTGAAAAGAACAATTACAAACAAGAACAATCACAACATTGTAGTGCGACCAGGGAAATCCAATGTCCAAACATCCCTTCGTTTGTTTTATGCCATAGGTTGCACAAATTGTGCAATCTAGCTGTCAACGATCACACCTCTTCATGATTAGGGGGATGTATTAAGTTTGGTGGTAGTCATAAAACCCCTGCATATCCATATTTGCTTTTTCCATCAGGGGTTTGTCTCGCCTGATATGCCCCCACCTTTGTGGAGAACACCGACACGAGCCAGCCCCTCGGATCTGCAACTGGTGCTGTGACAAAATCTCAGCCCCATCCACTTCCATCAAGCTTTGCACGGACTGGAGAGTGTTCAGCTACAGCCAGCTGATAGTCTACTGTCATAAAGTGGCGCATATAGTATGTATGGTGTCCCAGCCCATGCAGATACAGATGGAGAATCTTTGAAGCCTTACTACACTCTCTATCTTGCTACCTACCGCGGCTGTAAGAGAGGTCCACGTCTCCTACCTTAATCCCCTTGACTGCAACTGCGATGGCGTCTATGAAAACACATTCTCCCTCACTATCTAGCGTCTTCGATCTCCACTCGCAAGTAGGAAGTTCCGTCCATTCATGAATATGCTTGGTGTGGAAGATGTTCCTCGAGACTTCCTCAATGTAACCACACCTCGCGGCGCGCGGCGCTTCCTCGATCAATGGCAACCTCTGGCTCTCAGGCATTTGATGACAAAAGGCATATAACATTCCAAAAACAGGAATTGTAACCAGTCGTTAGTATTTCTCGAAAAGATTCCGGTCATCCCGCTCCCAACAATTAGGGAAAGAACATCACGTCGCATTAAGGGGCTCCCGCAGCGTATATTCCAGATGATTGCGGTCATCTCCGATGGGTAATTTGCTGATCAAAACCTGCTTCGAAGAAATGCCTAAGCCGCTGCTTCGGCGTTTTCCTCCCCAAAATGACAAAGATAGGGAACAACCGTGGTGCATCATGTCGGGTGTATGTAATGAATTCCTCCATGTCGTCACAGCATCCTAGGCATCTGGGCACGGCTCTAATACTGATTTCTTGGGTGAACTCGATTAATTTGTCAAAGCGCAAGGATTGATAGCCATCCGAGCTGCTGTAAAGAACGTTATCAATTTTAGTCGTCAGTACCTCGAAAGGGCTCGTCGAGCTACTATTAGGAGTGGGGCCATGCATCGTCACGGCATCTGTAGTGGAGCTATACGAGCTGTTCGCCAGCAGCTTACAACACCACACTAAGAGTCCGATATGTACGACAAGATAGTCCTATATCGCTAGACGCACAAGATGCGAAGTTCAAGCCTTTTGCTAGTGACAAGCAGTCCGCGATGATAGTCAAAACATCGGATTGTTGCCGGAATATACTGATTGGATACCAGGAACAAGTATGAGCACGCAAGCTTGGTTAAGGCTATTGTCAATCATAGCAATTGTTCGACCCGTTATATATATATGTATATATATAAGGGTAATAAGATCTAGAGCCGAGAACACGGAGACATAGTAGGCTATGATTTATCAAAGAGGTTAGCTCCATGTAGGAGCATACTATCCAGCTCCCTCGCGATGGTATCATTGTCCATCTTCAATTTCAAATACTGCTGTCCCTTCCCTTTTGCTCCTTCCATCCAGACATTTGATCCGTTAGGAAAGACGTGATTGTACCCTCCTGATCCACCATACTCGAACCACTCACCGAGCCCTTGACAAGCATACACTACTGTCAAAGGATCCCATGAATACCGTGATCTGTTGAACCCAATATAATGTTCGAACGCCCTCTTTACCGGATCATTCATCGGGCCTTTTGTTGTTAGGATAGCACCAGAAGATACGGCCTCTCCAACTTTGGAGCCCAGGTACGTTATGCGACCTGGCCAGGTGTTGACGACGTGAGCGGTCGCGAGAGGATTATCAGACCAGAAATTGAATTCGTATCCGGAGGGATAGTCACCACCCATGACGACTAGCTCTGCAACTTTAGCCTGAACAAGTTCAACGCCCGACAACATCGAGTACTTGTCCGCTGTTGAATTAAGGAGTGCTGAGAGCTATTCAGGTTAATACTACTATTTTCTCATAACCTTCCGGATGATCGCGCGCAGCTTACATTCTCTAGAAAGCCGATACTCGCAATGGTCACGCTATTGTCATCTTGCTCCGAAAGCACCTTCCGATACAATTCCACGGGAATCCAGGCATCTTCAGGTTTGAACCACGGTAGAGAACCACCGGACCAATGATAGGCCACCTTGCTTGTATACTCGCCTAGTTCATATGCCCAGTCATCAAAGAAAGTATCGTTTGTGATAGGTCGGCGGAGGCCAATCGGGATACTTGGATGTCCGTAGTGTGCAAGGAGGGCCGAGGTGGCAAGGGCAGAGTACGAAGAGGGATAGTTCACATTTACGGCGAGAAGAGAGACGCTAGGGTCAGTCGCAGCGAGAAGAAGTGCAGCGGCGTCACTGGAGAATGCAAATTAGCATCGATGCGTCATCAAGCAATAGTTTACCGCGTACTCAACATCGCTGAAGATATCCGTGTCAATAATCAATGCTTTTCGATCTGCAACTGCAGCTGAGCCGGAGAGAACGAGTGAGACGAGTCCAAGCGTGGGCAAGAACCGTTGTGCGGAGGCGAAAGTATCGAGCAAATATGCCAAAGCTTTCATTGTGAGGATTACTTAATGAAGCTAGGTGCGCTTAGGAGGATAGTGCAATAGTTGCAGAGACTCAAGTAAAAATAAAGCTGCAACACTGAAAAATACTATGGCTGTGTGAAATGCAAAGCGCAGACACGCGGGGTGATTAAGGTAGCACAATGCATCATGGCGGGGAGATGAACGAGAATAATAACCCAGATAATACCAGTCCTGTCCAGGACGACTGCTAAGTTCGAATGATATTATGTACACGTACGTACGTAAGAGCTTTATCAATGTAGCGGAGTAGACGATCGGGCGCCAATCAGAGTCGAACAGAAAATGCAACTACCCCGGGTTGAAGACCCACTTTGAATCTTTGAAGATTCGGCGGAACGGGATTTTGAACTCACAGCGCTAGTGGAGCTAGGCCTATCTACTTAAGCTCGGTAGTACTATGGTGGTACTGCTATAGACACCCCTGTAGGCGAGAACTTCAACAGCTACCTATGTAATATGCTTATTTAAACAGTCGATATGATAGTAAAGCCTCAAATATGCTACTGAATGGCCTACGGGGGACGTAACTGAGATCTTCTACTTTGTAACGAAATTCAACCGTAAAGTCTCTTTTCTAGGTACAGCATGCTGTTCAACTCCACCGGCGTTGAAATTGAACGGCGAAACTAGACACATCCTGAGAGCACAGGTCGGTCCATGTGTTGACAACTTCTAATCCAGATGTAGAATCTATCTCGTGTTTCCTAGCTTTCCTAGCTTCTTTAGCTCCTTAGGTGATTTTTCTGCACTTTCTCCTTACATATTGCCTCCGCCCTTCGGCCGTTCACAAGATAACCACAGAGTATTCCTCGGTGTTCTCAAGGCCCTCACACTTGCTTCATAAATCTGACCCGACGCATCGTTGCCCTCTGCATTATCAAGTAAACGTAACCTTATACCACTACGTACATTATCAATCAAGCTTAGCGAATACAAGATGAAGGTAAGGCTACCACGCCTCATTGGATTTTTCAGCTACATCCAACTGACAATAGATTAGGGTCTCGGTGTTGCTGCTGTCTATATCATCGCTATCTGATTAGCTAAGCTCAATGCCTGTGCCAGCAGCTACAAATACTGTGCCTGCTCTGATAATGACACCAACAATGGATTCGACTACGCTGCGACTAAGAGTAACTGTACAAGCATCAAAACTAGATACCTGAGGTGGTTTCATGAAAACAACGGCGTCAAGGGACGCTACTACTGCAAGACATTAGATTCGTCCAATTATCCGTGGAATAATTGCAAATGGAAAAGGCAGTGCAACAACGGCCACCCTGAGAACTGTTGGGGCAAGGTTCACTGGTAATGGCATCTGTCACGGTTTGGCTTGCAATAGCTAGGGATGCTCACGGCCATTCGCTAGGGATGTGCCGTCATATGACAACAGGCCGCTTTCGATGCTCTCTTAGGAGAGCGGAGAGATCAATCAAGGCACAATTAACAGGCGCTCATTTAATGTATTCAATGTACTTTAAGGAGCATCCAAACACTAGCGTTTCTTACTATCTTGTAGTACTATAGAGAGCATTGAAACTACCATTGCCGTTGATCTACCTAGCCAACAACAGGCCAATTTTGCAGTCGCTTAGCACTCGGGAATACCCCCTACAGCAGGTTAGTATTTTAAAGGATGATACTAATGACGTCGGGCCGTAGACTTACCACTCCAGGTAACATAGTAAAGAGACACCCAGTTATTGTTCGCGACTCCACTTGCCTGGAGCTTACCCCAGAATCTAACGTAGACAATTAGTTACATCTCCCATCCGGCCTTCGGATCGTTACGTACGGATTTCCATTGACGACAGTCGTATCCGTGTCTTTGAAGCACCGGATTTGGATACGTGTTCCACGTGAGTACTGGCCATCGGCCGTGCACGAGGTCCGCGGGCATTGACGATGCTTGAGCGCATCAGCCGTGACGGTGCCAGTGATAGCCCGCTTCTCCAGACTGCGGGCCTTGATATCCTGGAGGACGGGGAGCTCGCCTTCGACTTCTGGGGCAAAGAGCAACGCGCCTTCGGGTTCGGCCGTGGGGGCAGAAAGGGCCGTCAAGGGCAGGAGAGTGGCGATGGCGAAAGTAGTAAACTTCATGGTGAGGGATATGGAAGAAGCTGATTGCGATTGAGACAATTGAGAAAGTAATCGTCTGAAGGGTTGTGGTTCTTTCCTTCTGGCAAGAATCAGCACTGGTTTGATATCTGCCATCGCCCCCCTCTCTAGAAGTTGCTACTCTCAAACTGGTAAACCTCAGGATCAAGCAAAGGTCTCGAACCGCTTCAAAATACGAAGTTTACGAGCCCATAACACCTTGCAGCGGAGTATCTTATCCGCTGCGCTATCTCCAATATCACATTTAGCCTCAGCAAGTTTGACAAGGAAGGCTGGAGAAGAGGCGCCAAGGCTTATGCTCGATATTGGACCCAAGGGGGCCAATACTTCGCATTGCTCGTATACCCAGGTCCCATTGAGCGACATAACATGAAACTTCCTTCAGCTGAATGAATCCTGGCAAGTGGCTGCAAAAATTGTTCCATTTGCAGTGCCTATACGGACCGGCAAAATGGGCGAGTCTATGAATGATAGTCAAATCATGGGATGGAACTACAAGACAATGTCGCGCATCCAGGCGGCTAGGCTCACTCACGTGTTGTTAAGCACATAGTTATCCGAACCTTCTATTACATCTAGTTAGTACAAAAACACTAGCCGTAGGGGCTTTTACCGCCAAAACAATCTCATAACACGCGTAGGTGTAGGTGTAAGTCCGTCGTCCGCTAACCTTCTATACCTTCACTCTTTAGTAGCGCACATCGTGTAACTACGTAGGTACCGTGGTACTTGCAAGACCACTAAATAAACCACTATTCCAGTAACAAAAGATCTCAATTGTGGCCCAATGATTATTAAGCTAGATGATCTTGGACTTCCAAGTAACAATGGCAAGCATCCATCTCTCAGCTAGTGTGATAAGTGAAGCGGTTATTAGATTTATTACCCCGCTTCGCGTGTTATTCATAGCGATTAGTGCCCCAAAAGTCTGCACAAGCTACCAAGGACATGCAAACTATTCCATTGTTAGACTCCATACAGTTAGCATCTGTACCAGACCGGAACCTTACGTAGCGCGATATAGATCCCAGCAATGCTACTCAGCTCATGCAATACTACCTTGTTACTCCTCCAAGGCAGTAAAGCGATTGCTTATTTGGGCTCTAGAAGGTGGCACGATGTAAATACAAGGTCGCCGGATTGAATTCCGTGTCCAGGTCCTAAGCGTCATGTTTCAAAGAAAGCAATGAAGTCCTAGCTATCTCTTACATGGCATGCTATCCACAAGCTCATTGTATAAAGTCCAAGTAACCCATTACACTCCATTGCTTCCTCAACTATCCGCGACAAAAAATCTAGAACGAAGAGATCAAACTTCCCACGCAGCTTTCGCGATACCATACTCGCTGTACCCCTGCAAAGCATCCACCATCCACTTTCCCTCGGCAGACTCATCGCGGCCGAGTACTTGCCAAGCCATAAGAGCCGCCCACTGAACAACCGGAGAAGTAAACCCCGTATCGCCGCGATATCTTCTTTGCTGCAGATACCCTGGTATACTTCGTGCGATATCGATGCCTGTTGCATGAATGAGATAGAAGGTATCGCTGGTTTCCGTTCCCGGGAATCCTGACTGCGCGCGTAGCTCTTTAGTTTCTTCGACGATCTGAAGTACGTGGATCATGGCAGTGTTGTAGAGCATGAACATACGTGCGATGGAATCGTTGCGGAACTTGTACACCGTCCATAGTGCTTGCGGAGCACCTGCACAAATGGCTTCAAAGTCATCTTCCGTGGTACAAGAATTCTCCTTTTCATTGTCCCATTTCTGTTTCCAGGTTTGGAGGAACGTAAGTAGTTCCCCGGCTTTTCTTTGAATTTCTTCGATCATTTCTAAACGCACGCGGTCATGCGGGCTGATTGTGCTGGAAAGCTCGTCACTCGCGGCAATCAGGACCGTGCAGTCTGCCATTACATCGTGCAACTCTCTTTCTTCTCTTGTTTCAAGTGAGAGAGGCGTTCGCAATACGGCCTTCCATCGCTGCCTAGCAAGAATGGATGGAGATCTATTTCGCAACGAAGCAAGCAAAATCATGTGACGAACACCTTTGTACAACTCGAGCGTTTGGGTTGAAGCATATGCCAATGAACCGGGGTCACGAAGTGCTATGAGTTGCTCTAGCCCCAGCATATGTTTTAGCCAATTTCTGGGGCCACTTGGCAAGCACATCTCAAGCATGGCCATGATGGTGATGACGTTAATGATGTCGTCTCGTTCATGACATCCCGGAATACTGAGTGCTTGGTTCAGCTGCCGAAGTGCCACACCGTGCATGTCGTAGCCCTTGGCGAGGATGCGAGCCTGGTGGTGTCGGGTGCCAAATAGTAACGTAGCAAACGTCAAGGCAGCTTGGTTGAACAAAGGATTGGTACCTGCACCTATGGTTGGATATCGACTAAGAGCAAGGTCCGAGGTCCGAAGTTGTTGTAGTCCCAGGTCAACGGGGCCATTGGGATAGAGGTATTGTCGCAGATGACATATATAGACTTCGTACTCGTTGAATCTCAACCCTATATGTTGGGGTGAAGACTGATATGGTGGAGAGACCGAAGCCGATTTCTCTACATCCTCTGTCTTCCATTCAGGTGTCGTAGTCACGTCTGTCGTTTTCTTCGATGAATGCTGCGTCCGTCTGGACCTGACAATTTTGCCCGTAACGAACACGAGTGTCCTGGGACCGTCGCAAGCGATACCCAGCTTTTGACATTTTTTACAAGTTGGCTGTGTCTCGTCTTGCGCAGATATGTCAGCCTGGCATTGTGGGGACGCGCACAAGGACATTGCTTACCACATTTGATGCGGCGTTTTCGGCAGTTCGAGCATCCTTTGGAACGGCCAGCTACATTGACCATCGGTAGTCATGGGCTTGATACAACGCAAACGGATATGGTAATTCGCACGAGATGATTGCAACCGGAGAAGGTGGGTTGGTTAATGCGGGCACTGATGCAAGTCAAGTCCGTTGAGTTAGGCGGCTATGCTGGGTGTAAGATGATCTCGCGCATTGAGCCGCAACAAGACTAGCGCAGACTGGATGCCTCATATCTCGCATCACGGGTCTACTTGGACACATGCAATGTAGATGATAACACAATTTTGTGTTGTTACAGGATGTTCGTTTCCGCGAAAAGAGCCGCAATAGGTAGAGTCTTCTTTCTTGTGCACTATTACTTAAACATCATGAGTCGACACATGGATGGGTCTTTCTCTCAGCTTCTACACGATATACAACATCCTATCTCCCAACAATCATCAGACACAATACTATCATCTTCACCAAACCATCTCGCCATCAGCCCTATATTCACCGACTCCTAATCCATTCCCCCCAAATCAAAAAAAATGTCAATAGTAACAACCATCGACATCGCCTCACCCCCCTCGCAAGTCCGCAACAAATTCCTCGACTTCGCGTCACTATCCAAATGGCACACTTCCTTCTTCTCATCCATCGAACCACACGGCACCCTGGAGCCCGGACAAAAACTCCTCGTGCATTTTGCAACCGGTGGACAAAAAATGAACCCCGTCATACAAGTACGTTTTTTTTGCCAGAAGCACCCTGACTATATGTACTTTCGCTAACAAAATGTACTAGCAAAACACACCGACTACATTTGCATGGACGGGAAGCATACCATTCGTGTTCACGGGTACACATTATTTTCGGTTTGAGGAGAGTACAGCGGTACCTGGGGGTTGTCGCTTGACGCAGAGTGAGGAGTTTAGCGGGGCGCTGGGGTGGCTCATGGGTGCGAGCGCTGTAGCGAAACAAGTGGGATTTGCCGAAAAGACAAAGAAGGGATTCGAGTTGTTCAATGCGGATTTGAAGGCTGCTTGTGAGAAGGGTGCCTGAGCCGAGAAAACATTGATTTCTTTTCTCATTTCTAGGAGAGGCTATCTTTCACTATAACGCACACGGGATTTGTTAACGGTAGAGGTAATAATTGGAGTCATTATAGATAGACTAAACTCATCATGTAACTTTTGATTGGGATATCAGGTCATAATCATCTAGTACGATATCATGTCAGCCATTTCTCATCAAGCTTTAACCATGAGGCCCCAGCCCTTGAAGGCCACCCGCGCACATGTAAGTAGTGCCGCACTACTAAACAGCAAACAACCTCCATATATCCACAAATCGTCGAAACCGCCGTGTTCTTGGATTGCACCTCCAATCGGTGTACCGACAAGCAACCCTATGGCTACAATGCCAAAGCTTTGGCCGAATCTAGTGCCGATCTTGTCTCGCGCGTCGGCACTGAGGTGTACAATAATGGTTGGGGGCAGGCTGACGAAGGAACCAGAGAAGAAGCCGTAGAATGCCATCATCACGATGATACCTGCTGAAGAAGAGACGGCCATGAAGCAAATGCAGAGAAGACCGGAAATTAGTGCGCAAGGGATTACAACATTGATTGGCCCAATCTTGTCAGACAACTATGCGCATGACATCAGTAAACGACGACTTGAGCAAAACGGAAAGGAAAAAGAACGTACCACATTGGGAAGGATTCGGCCAAACATACTGGTACTGTTCATGACAGCCAGCAAGTAAAACGCCAGCCCTTCACTCGTGATTCGCTCTTGAATCGCGTACACCTGTCCAAAAAAGAATGGCATATACAAACCCATGAAACCCAGAAAGAAACCCGTAACCTGCAGACTGTATGCAGGAATCAGGAAAGCACGCAGGTCAAGCAGTGAGCGCGTCTTCGCCGGCAACACGCGCACGCGCATGCACACATTGGGTATGACCATGGTGGCGAAGATGATGAAACCGAGGACTCTGGTGGTCCAGGCGAATCCAATTTGCGGGAGAAGCTTGTGAAACACAATGGGGTATATAACACCACCAAAAGAAGAGCCGGATGCAGCAATGCCAATAACAGTGCCAATTTTTGTACTGAAGTAGGTGGAAAGAATGGCCACGCTGGGCACAAAGAGACAGCCTGTTCCGATGCCGATGCAAAAAGCCTGAGCAAGAAGGACCTGCCAGTATGCGTGGCAGAGACTCAGCATCATCTGTCCGAAAACAAGCAGGAAGCTGCCGACAAGGAGCAATTCGCGGAAATAGCCAGCGTCGTAGATGGGGCCTGTAAGGGCACCGACCATCATGAGAAGAAAAGCCTGGATGGAGCCTATCCACGAGATGGACGATGCGCTTGAGTTTGGGAGGAGTGTTGTTTCGTAGTAGGCCTGGTAGGAGCCAAATGTGTTGATAATGCCCCACGAGTTGAAGAGCAAGAAGAAGCCACCGAGGACCTGGAGCCAAGCCCATAGACCGCCATTGGGGATTTTGGAGACATCGCGTACGCTTGGGTGGGCGGAGCGAACTGGTTCCAAGTCTGCTCCTGATTGTTCGGTGCTGCTGGACTCGGTCACGTGTTTTTCCTGTTGTGGATGTTCGTCTACTGCCATTAGGCCTGAGCTGTGCACTGAATCCGACGAGGCAAGCGATTGCTGGTTGTCTGGCTTCTCGTCAAAGTTCAGTGATGGACTCAATGCTGGTGCAGCATAGCTGGCTTTCCCTGGTGATGAGGGTTTGGTATGGTCCATGGCGGACTAGAGGTGAAAGAGCGTAGGCGTATCGATGTCAATGGTACCACAGCGATAGAGATGGAATTTGGTTGCAGATATGGAGTAGTAGCGGTGCCTACCAAAGAAAACAACCTGTCAACAAGGGCGAAGAGGTATTTCAAGTGTGGCCGAACCGGTGAGTGCATGACAGAAGTCAATCGGCAAGACAGTAGAGATGAGTAATGCCAACAGACTGGCAAAACAAAGTGGGTCGGGCGGCAACTAGGGAAGGAGCCATGGTTTGGGGAATGTTTCTGCATTTTGCTCGCGTCTCGCTGTAAGATATGGCCGAGGGCAAAGCACAAGGACATGCACAAACGCGAGCACCAACGCCACAAGCGCGGTGATTCGAAACGGGCGTGCGGCATGCCGAGTACGGACGGCAGCCTGCCGTGGTGGGGCATGTTACTTTTTTGTTTTCACCGACTCTCTTTTATCCAGATACTGTCTATGTATGTCCATATCCGAGCACATACTAGGCGAACCCTCCGCGGGCCATCTATCGGCTAGCAAACGAGAGCAAAAGGGTCTCGGAAAGCACGTCATGAAACCATGTTGTGTGTCATTATTCCCGTCTGGAAGGCCATGATGGAATGGCCCATGACCAATGGCAGATGACCAATGGTTAATTCCCGGGGCGCTCTAGCATAGCGTGGTTGGAGCATTCTGCCGTCCTCGGCATCCGAGGCACAGGGCGTCGGCAGCACAAACTGATTACTGTTCATCTCGCATCACGTGCCGTCGTGCTAGGTATTCATGACTTTCCTAACAAGATGAGCATCCAAGGGGTGGGGAGACGATCCACCTCCACTTCTCCTTGGTTCAAGGCTCTTGACGTTGCACTGCAACAATAGTCGGTACTAAAAAGATACTCTTACAACCAATCAAATACAAGTCGCCAAAGCGACACCTACGATACACCACCTGCGGCTTACAACCCGCAGTGTACGAGCAACTTTGTCAAAAATCCTCTCGACAAAGAATTACTCGCTTTTCCAAGCGGCCTATCGAGGCCTCAAGACTGCGTCCCTGTTTTTTGGCCTTTGCCTGGCCCGAACTAACCTCGCACCCAGACGCCATCCTTGAAGAAAGAAGAAGTATGCCGTACTATTTTTACAGAACACTGTTCCGCTAACAATGCTGTCGTGTTCCAGGGGGAATATGCTTCGTCATGTCGTTTCGTGCTTTTAGTAGGAAAGGCCGTTGATCAGCAACTCGTCCCTCATGTCCACGCAAAACGCCCTCAACGCTCGCTATGCTACATACTTTATAAAGATAAAAAACCACACGCCCAGAATGATCCTGTATTTCCAACACAAACTGGTGCACAAAAATCGCCTCGGTACACTTGTTTGAAATCACAACAAATCTGCTCGAGTAAAGGTATCGCAGCCCCCAAACAAAACAACCGAGATAATTACCAAAACATCCACCACGAATACTTTTATCCATCTGGAAGCCCTGTCCATGCCCCGCTACCACTACACTCGTCTGGCCGTCAGCCGATAGCCAGAAGGATGGAGCGGTGATGGTTCCACCTGCTCTACATTCTCTTCAATGTATAGGTTGTTCAAGCTTGACATGGAGCTGTCTGGAGCCTGAGTCGACTGACTTCGAAGTGCCTTCTGTCGCCGACTTTCCCGCTCATCAATGACATCTCGTAGTTGCCTCGCAACCTCATTCGGGTTAATCCGTCGGGCTGCCGCTTGGTTGAACAAGTGCTCAATCAGCGAAAGAGGAAGGGAAAGGAGAATAGTCGAGAGTACCAAGGTGGGGTAGCTGGATTGGGCTTGAACGTCATCTTCAGGTGGTGCATCGCCGAACCGAATTTTGCTCAATCGAGGATTATGGGCAGGCTGACGAGACTCCGCAGGCGCTACTGTTGGCAGACGTGGTGCGTCCTTGAGTTCTGGTGCAACTGCATGTAGCTTGAAGTTGACTGGGAAAAAGTATGCAATGAATGCAAGGGCATGGTTGATCAGTGCAGTCACAAAAGGATCGTCAACGTCGGTGCTCAGCGCGTATTGCAGAACGAGATCTACGGTATCCCATCGCAGCAGCATTCTGGCGGTATGAACGCCACGAGATTGCATACTGGGTATCTGTAGAGTTCTGGCTGCAGCAATGTAGCCCAAGACTTGCTGCATGCGGCGACGAGCTTCAGGCGATGGAGATGATACAAACGGCTCAAGTCCGTACAAAAATCCTTGAGGACGGATAAGCGGCGCGCCGTACAAGACTCGCACGGCTTCTTCCAAAGAATCATGGGTTGCCAGAGGGTCCCGCGCAAGGATGGTCACTGGGCGCGCGTCCCTGTTACTATGAGAAGGTGCAGGACTGTGGCGAATAGCTTCTGCAATGACGGGACTGCGCATCACAACGATTCCGTGCACTGGTAGCGACAGCAGAATAGACTCAGGAGACCTGATGTGAAGGATGAAATCGGCAAGCTCGGCGTTGCCAAACTGCGAGGACAAGTAGCCTGCGAGCTCAAAAGAAGACTCGACCCGTTCCTCTGGAGGCGCATCCTGATGGGTAATTGGGTACTGATCGTCTACATGCTCAATGGTAGGCATTGTCTCGAATTGAACTTTGGTTGGCGACTGTGAATGGGAATTGAGGGCTCCATTTGCAGCTAGGGCAGCCTCTCGAGGAGAAAAATGGCCATTGTAGGGCGCTGGAAATGCCTGAGGGCCGTTTGAAAAGAGCGGAGCGTGATAATCAACCCCGTTCTGGTAGGCAGGGTCGGGCGGCGCAACTGTATGCGGAGGAAGGTGCCAGGGCGCTCCTTCTGGTGTGTACTGGGTGGGACCGGGGAAGAATGGGGTAAACTGCTGGGGCCCAAAGCCAGGCGGAGGTCGAGGCAAAGCATGCACATCGACATCAGGTTCGCGGGGTGTGATGGGAATGGCCGGCGACTCGTTTGCACTCTGTGATGCTACAGCACCGCCGCTCAAGTGGGTACGGTGCGTTGGAGTATACGTGGCGTCGCTTCCGTTGACGGGCGGTGTTTGGGTGCCTGCCTTGCTCGAAGGGACAAAGGGCGGAGGCAGATAGGTTGGTATGGTGAGTTTGCGGTGGGCGCCATTCACACCTGGCTTGGACTCGGGGCGGGGAGTGCGAGGTTTGGCGTTGGCGTGGCCATTGACCGCACGACGTTGATTCTTTTCTACATTTGCATAGCTTAGTGCGTGCCCCATGCTGGCAGTAGCCCATATTGAATACCCACCAGAAGTGCCTGCAGATGGCGTATGTCCATTTGATAGCTCCCCAGTGACACTATCCGACCGAGGTGCACCTGCTCCATCTCCAGTGATATCGGCAGAGGCCCTCGAATCGGGGGTAGGAGGCGTGTCTGCGATGGCTGCTTGGTGTCCCTCTGAGCGTACATCAGACTGATGCTGTTGCTGCTGCTGCTCTGGTTGCAGGTCGGTCGGTGGCACTGGAGTGCCTTTGCTGGACTCTTCAGGCGTAATGGGCCTCGCTGATGGCTGGGCTTTGGATAGGCGGTAAGGAATTGCAGGTACGATGCGCGAGCCTGGGCGGCGGTGGTGCGTCTGCGCCGAGTGTGGGCGGGAGGGATTGGCCATGGTTGGGCGAAAATATGACGGAGACGGGATAGACACGGCAGAAGCGGCTCCAGGTAATTGCAGGCTCGCGGGTGATGCCAATTATCCTGGAGCGCCTGTGGGAGGGGGGAATTGTGTGGGCGGCGAAAGTAATTGCGGGGTGGGGTCAAGGGCAATTGGGAACAGAACAGATGGATGAGCCCAGGCAGAGCGGGAGACATGGCTTGCTTCCCCACTACCACACACCATCGCCTGTGCCTGCCTGCTCTTGGGGGATCGCGCGAGGCCCAAGCTTCCTTTGTCAGCCGCCGATGACGAGATGGGGAGGCACTGGACGACTATTACATACACCACGATTAGTCACTATGACTCTGCCAACTACCATCCACGATGCATGCAGACACATACACACACAACGCCGGTGGCATTCGACGCATCCATCTATCCATCCATCCCAGTCCATCGGGATGCTATCTTTAAAACCATCGCAGAACATTTCTTACTACTACTATCATCTCAACTGACGCAACAGCGACCAAACTTCCAGAAACAGCAATCACGTGATGGACGTCCCCAGCAGACACAAATAACCTCCGAGTTATACAAGAGCGGCAATGCAAATGCATCCATCGCACCTTCCTCGTACTCAACCAGAAACGGCTAGCTCTATCACATGACAATCCCCCCTTCCTTGCGTGTACTACACACAAACACATGCTACAGCTTGCATGGCATGAGCGATACCATGGCCTTCACAAGCCAAATCCCCACATCCACGCCCATGCCATCTTCTCCGCGTTTCTCCCTATATTTCCTAGACTAGCACCCCCTCTTCTCGCACTACTAGCATGATCCTAGGACAAAAAGCACCATTCTCTTCTTGCGACAACATTCCTGCGCAGTCCCTTTCATCTGCGCATCGTTACAAAGACAGCGGCCACCCTTCATGGAGTTGGCTGCCCGGTCACAGCCCGGAGTATGAACTCACTCCCACTGGTACCTTGAATCTCCTCCCTTGCTGCGATACACCAAATCTGAGGCTGGCATAGCAAACAGGTTCAGCATCCTAGCAGACCCTAGCAATTCATCGACATATTCACCATGGCATTCCAACGCATCGACCTCTAATGCCAACTTGCGGCGGCGGCGTAAACGTGCCGGAAAGCGCCACAAGGTCCAGAGAAAAAGTGCTGGAATTGTAAGGCTGCCAACAACGGAGAGTATCGTCGCACTTGGTCATGAGATCTCCACACTGTGTCTCGAGAATAAATCGTTCGCTACCGAGGACCCTCGAGGTCTAAACCAGAGTCGATGCGTCCCAGACGTTACCACCAGCCGTTGCTTTGCAATCAACGGGTCCGACTGGCCGCCGCAGCTACAATCAGATACACTACCCACCCCAATCCAATTCACGAATCCACCGCCGCCGAGTGTGAAATCATGCGCGTCAGTGGAAACAACACTTGCCTCGAGTTTCGAACCGTCAAGCGTGCCACAAAAGCAACCACAATTGTTTGACCTTTCACAATTCCTTGATTACCACGACGCCACATACCGTTGGCTGTCGAAATCTGCATTCTCGCAACCTTTGGTTACAACAGAAGTCTCCCAAGGTTCAAATAGTCTTGCCAATTCGGCACTATTATTCCTCGCACAACAAGAGAAACCGGCAGCTGCAGCTTGCGGACACACCTTCAGGAAACCTTTGTCCCCCGTCCCCCCATCTGAAGACGCCTTTGACTGGCATCAGACAGTTCTAGCTACACTGGGTTTGAGAGAACGCCATCTCGTCACCACCCCCTTCCAGGCCCCTAGGTTGAAGCTTCCATTCAAACACTCAACGCAAAAATTCATGGAGGCACCACCCATTTCCGTGTCTACCGGACATGGAACAAAAGATCACCATGCTAAGGAGACCTGTCGACGTCTACCGCTTCCACTATCATGCTTGCAAGCATTTGGGGGTTTCCGATCCGCATCCAACCCGTTCCTGTACGACAACTGGACGGTACCTCGGCCAACAATCCCATTGCCACTGCCTCTGTCGGTGCTCCATCCTCCTCAAAAAGCGTCTCCGATAGATCCATTTCGCATGGCTAGAATGGAGTCTCACCCATTTTTGCACAGCGATACGGCTTCCATGGGTCATTCAAATGGACATTGTCCTCTGACAGCAAGTTTCACATGTCCTTGTCTCTCGAAAAACTGGGAACCCAGAGGTGATGGCCTTCCATACCTATCCGGGCCCACCGGCAACTTGAACATGCGACATGATAGTGGCTGCACTCTGCGTGTTGAGGCCATGTCAACGCCTAACGAATCAACGACAAGCAGATACCCTGACGAAGTCCGAGCCCAACAAGTCGACTCCGTATTTGCCAATCGAAACCCATGGGTAAATGGACGCCTTCGCTCGCATCCTCCTATATCTAGCAGATACTGTCTGGACTACTGGACGAGGGTGGGCTCGAAATATTTGCAAAATGATATCCACCCCGCTTTCATAACTCCCAATCAAGAGCTTGAACCAGAGGAAGAATGGGTTTCTATTTCTCGAGAATTCGACCGACCCCCGAACGAAGACGATATAGATGGCTTTGTGAACGTGGGCTCGGACGAAGAGTACGAAATGGTGCAGCGCAATACCACACTCTATGAACTCGACGGATGGGAATGTATCGGCCATTCTCTCATTGCCGAAATTGTGTCTTGTGACTTTGATGAGGACGATTATGAGGAATTCTTGTAGAAAGAGATGGCGGACTCAAGAGGCTAACATGGAAATGACGGTTGAGGCGAATGTCAAAAGGGTGGATACCATGGTGAGGCCAAGAGCATTGTCTACTCCAGATTGGACATGGAGAGGAGAGTATAGGAAGAATCAGTTGTGTCGGGCAAGTGCTCGTGCATGGTCATAGTTTAATTCACGTAGCCATGTCCTGCTTTTGAATAGTAGTAATAACACTTGAGAGATACTTAAAATTAACAATCTTTTCCTTATTCTCTTTCATGCAAGCACATACCTGTATACGTGTACATGTATAACTGTAGTTCGAGTGATAGAACTGACTAACAAATATAATGAAAATTGAGTAAGGTTGAGATCGCATCTGCCTCTTACGCTTTACACTACTGCTAGTAATAGCTTCTTGTACAGTATCATGAAGGAACAAGGAAACATTGTTCCCTGCACTTGTAATTTCATGACAAAATGAGCAATGTAGTAGAAAAGAGATTAGGTGAGCATGCAGGACATGTCAGAGCAGCGGATCGGTTGTGGAGACCAACGTGTTGGACGGGTAATGGGTATACAAAATTCGTTATCCTGACTATGAAATGCAGATACCAACGCCCAAACAAACGGAAGATTCATCAAAGCTAAGCAACGTTCACATGACCGTGCAGCACGAGTTTTGCTTCTTAGCCTAATCAAATTGTCAGCAATTATGACCATTGTTTCGGGGTCCTGCCAGAAGCTCACCTGGGTGTAGAACATCTTGCTCTGTGCACTCAGCCCCTCGCTCTTCTGGACCAAATCGTCCAGCTTCTCTCCACGCTCCAACACACTCTCAAGAGTCTTGTGTAGTACGACCTTTGTTTCGTCAAGCTCCCGCTGAATCTTGATTGTGGCGTCGACGGTCTCCGGGTCCTGGTACTTCTCCACGTATTCTTTGAGTTCGGGATACGACAATTTGGCGGCGTCGGTCGTGAAACCGCTATAGGCAGAGCGGGGGTATTTGGCGGAGAACTCGTCAAGGACCTTGCGGACAATGCGATGTGCGGCACTGCTGGGGTATTCATCGTCGGTCACGACAACAGCGCATATGGGGTCAGCGGAAGCCAAGGCGTGGAACTTGTGTCCTGTGCGTAGTGTTAGCACAGGGCGACCTGAAAGACGACCATACAGTACCATTTTCCAGGACATCCGTCATCTTATGTGGAGGTGTCCTTTTGGCAACCACGGCCGAAGCAAATACAATCTGCGCTCGCCGTAAGCATGTGCGTTCCCATGCGCTCTGTCTGGTGCCCGAGAGCATAGTTGGCGTGGAAGCGATTCTAACGTACGCCTTCTTTGACACCCTTTTGTACCCATCGGTTGATCGATTTGAGGTTCTCCGCGCCCGTCAGTTCGATGGCATCTTTGGTGTCGTTCTTGAAAACCTGCATCTTGTCAGCGACCCCGGGGGCGTTGTACGGCGGGCAGCGGTGAAGGGTAGGACGTACGCCAATGTAAACGAGCTTCATTGCGGCGATTTATTACCTGGCGGCGACGATATTGTAGGTGAAGGTTTAGAAAAGAGCTTTGTGTGGAAGAGTAGGTGATATATGGTGCCCCGCAACAGTATACGGGGAGAATGCGATGTCTAGGATGCGCCTGATGTAGCGCTCCGTCCGTCTCATGCCCAAGGCGACAGGGTAATGCTCTGCTTATGTCATGGCGCCTGTGCAGGGGGTGCGGGGCAGGTCGGGCCGAAACCAACCGCTCCACTCCACCAGCGCCAGCGTCATCCCCAATCTCGCCAAGCCGTGAATCAGAGGCCACCACCTTTACTTCCGCCGCATCAAGCATGTCGCCCGCTGTTGAAGAAGCCCAGGCACAATGGCTCGAACAGCTCCATGCCATGCGCAAGGCTATTGCCGAGCTGGGTTTGCCGGCTGATGCTGAAGAGGCACCTGCATATGGTCATGACATTGATTTCGACGACGACGATTTCTCCGGAACTGCCAGTGGCGAGGATATCTGGGACATCATCAGTGATGAATATGAAGAGGGGTACAGCAGCGACCATTTGGACGAATTTACGCAAGTGTCCGCTGCAAGCAACGCTCACGATGGGCAATGGCTAGCGGCAAAGTGCTCTCAAGTGGCTCGCAGTAGTTCTGGTCTGGACGCAGGAACGCTCAAGGAACAAATAATTGCTATTTTGTCCAGCGACAGCAATGGTTAGCCTGGGTAGGACCGATTTCAACCCGCCATAAAAGCTAACTAGAAACAGACGAAGAATTACAAATGATGCTCGCAGACATTGTTGGTTATGGGGAGCTGGACCTCGTGGCTGACCTCATTTCTCACCGTCAGAGCCTTCTGCGGTCGCTGCGGGAACCAGCTGCTGCCCAAGGAAATGGTGTCATGGGCCGCTTGCAGACTCGTGCCGAGCGAGAGGAAGCATTGCGACGTGCAGATTGGGAGCACAAGAATGCTTCGTTGGCACCAGCCATGGATCGTACTGGACCTCAGTACCCTCATGTATACAAGGCTCATGACGCCGGGAATAAGCTCTCAGCTTATGGAAAGAAGTATGCCCTACCTCCAGACACGGTACATCGTGACAATAATCTTTATGAGGAGTATGAGATCCCAGCTGTACCGGTAGGTACAATCGGCGCAGGACGCAAGCTTATCGAGATTCGAGAACTGGACGGTCTTTGCCAACGCACCTTCAAAGGCTATAAGACCCTCAATCGCATGCAGAGCTTAGTATACCCTGTTGCATACAAGACCAGCGAGAACATGCTCATCTGCGCGCCCACTGGTGCCGGTAAGACGGATGCAGCCATGCTTACTATTCTCAACACGGTAGCAAAGAACGTCGTTCCAAATCCCATCGACGAGCCAGAGGCCACTGACTTCACCGTCATGGCGGAGGACTTCAAGATTATCTACGTAGCACCCATGAAGGCACTCGCTGCAGAGGTGACTGAAAAGCTCGGAAAGCGCCTCGCGTGGTTGGGTATAAAGGCGCGAGAACTCACAGGTGACATGCACCTCACCAAAGCCGAGATCCTCGATACACAAATCATCGTCACTACCCCCGAAAAGTGGGACGTTGTTACAAGGAAGAGCACCGGTGATACCGAGTTAGTTCAAAAGGTCCGACTCCTCATCATAGATGAAGTTCATATGTTGCACGATGAGCGTGGTGCTGTTCTCGAAAGCTTAGTAGCGCGCACTCAACGACAAGTCGAGAGCACACAGTCGCTTATTCGAATTGTTGGTCTCTCGGCTACACTGCCCAACTATGTCGATGTGGCTGATTTCCTTCACGTCAATAAGATGGCTGGACTGTTCTACTTCGATGCCTCATTCCGTCCAGTACCATTGGAACAACACTTCATCGGCGCCAAGGGCAAGCCCGGTACCGCTAAATCTCGGGAGAACCTGGAAAAAGTTGCATTTGACAAGGTTGTGGAGATGCTTAAGCTCGGTCATCAAATCATGGTCTTTGTGCACTCAAGAAAGGATACCGTAAAGACAGCCAGGAGATTGTATGACATGGCCATGGAAGAGCAGTGTACCGATCTCTTTGACCCACAGGATCATCCCCGATACGAGAACGCTGTGCGGGACATGAAACAGTCGAAGGGTAGAGAGTTGAGGGAGTTGCTTGGAAAGGGAATGGGTACTCATCATGCTGGTATGCCTCGGTCTGATAGGAACTTGATCGAACGTCTTTTTGCAGAAGGCGTCCTCAAAATTCTCTGCTGTACCGCCACACTTGCTTGGGGTGTCAATTTGCCTGCTGCAGCAGTACTCATCAAAGGAACCCAGGTCTACAATGCCCAAGAGGGTAAGTTCACGGATCTCGGTATCCTTGATGTCTTGCAGATCTTCGGTCGTGCTGGCCGACCTCAATTTCAAGACAGTGGTATCGGGTTCATCTGTACCACACACGATAGACTCGATCATTACATGCGCGCCGTAACCGAGCAACAGCCAATTGAGTCGAGGTTCTCTAGTAGACTCATCGATAACCTCAATGCCGAGATATCCTTGGGCACGGTCACGACTGTTTCTGAAGCTGTTACTTGGCTTGGATATTCGTATCTATTCGTCCGCATGCAAAAGAGCCCGTTAATGTACGGAATCGAGTGGTCAGAGATACGTGATGACCCACAGCTAGTTGGAAGGAGGCGCAAACTCATCATCGACGCAGCGCGTACCTTGCAAAGAAGCCAGATGATCATCTTCAACGAGACCACTGAAGACTTACGAGCCAAAGATGTTGGCCGCATCGCGAGTCAGTACTATGTGCAACAATCAAGTATCGAAATCTTCAATGCGATGATGCGACCTCGTAGTACAGATGCCGATGCCCTCGCCATGGTTAGTATGAGTGGCGAGTTCGATCAGGTGCAATCACGAGAAAGCGAGGAGAAAGAACTGTCGGCACTCAAAGAAAACAAATACGTGATAACTGAAGTCAAAGACGGCTATGCGACATCACACGGTAAAACAAACTACCTACTCCAAGCACACATTTCCAGAGCGCGGTTGGAAGACTTCACTCTTGTATCGGACACTAACTACATTACACAAAATGCCGCGCGTATTGCACGTGCATTGTTCATGATAGCGCTTAATAGGCGTTGGGGTTATCAGTGCTTGGTGCTTCTGAGTCTTTGTCAATCCATTGAGCACCGATGTTGGTCTTTCCAACATCCTCTCCACCAATACGAACTTCCGCAACCGGTTCTGCGAGCCCTGGACCACAAGAATCCCTCGATACAAATGCTGAGGGACATGGATCCGACTGAGATTGGAGACATGGTGCACAACAAGAAGATGGGAAATGTGATCTCAAAATTGATGCAAAATTTCCCCACGCTAAGCATTGAGTCGGAGATCGCACCGTTGAACAGGGACGTACTTCGAATACGATTGTTTCTCACACCCGACTTCGTGTGGAATGATCGTCATCATGGCACTTCGGAATCATTCTGGATCTGGGTTGAGAATTCTGAGACGTCTGAGATTTTCCATCACGAATTCTTCATCCTTTCAAGGAAGAAGTTGTACGACGACCATGAACTAGACTTCACGATCCCACTTTCTGATCCGCTCCCGACGCAAGTCTATGTTCGCGCTGTGTCCGACCGCTGGTTGGGAGCGGAAACTGTGCACCCGATATCATTCCAACATTTGATCCGGCCTGACACGGAGAGCGTCTACACGGATCTCCTAAACCTTCAGCCTTTGCCAATAGCGGCGTTGAAAAATCCCTTGTTGGAAGAAGTCTATGCACAGCGCTTCCAGTACTTCAACCCCATGCAATCGCAAATCTTCCATTGCCTCTACCACACGCCTGCAAACGTCTTACTTGGGTCGCCTACTGGCAGTGGCAAGACTGTTGCTGCTGAGCTAGCAATGTGGTGGGCATTCCGTGAGAAGCCAGGCTCAAAGGTCGTTTACATCGCTCCAATGAAAGCGCTTGTTCGAGAGCGAGTACAGGATTGGGGGAAGCGCCTAGCAGGGCCAATGGGCCTGAAGCTCGTCGAGTTGACAGGTGACAACACGCCAGATACACGCACTATTCGAGATGCTGATATTATCATTACAACTCCCGAGAAGTGGGATGGTATCAGTCGTAGCTGGCAGACCCGTGGTTATGTTCGTCAAGTCAGCCTGGTCATTATCGATGAGATCCACTTATTGGGCGGTGACCGTGGTCCGATTCTAGAGATCATTGTGTCGCGCATGAACTACATCGCTTCACAAAAGAAAGATGGTTCCATTCGTCTGCTTGGTATGTCAACTGCATGCGCGAATGCATCAGATCTCGGCAACTGGCTTGGTGTCAAGGAGGGCCTTTTCAATTTCCGGCACTCTGTCCGTCCAGTTCCCTTGGAAATCTTCATCGACGGCTTCCCAGAGCAGCGAGGGTTCTGCCCACTCATGCAATCCATGAATCGGCCCACATTCCTCGCTATCAAGGCCCATTCTCCAGAGAAACCAGTCATTGTCTTTGTAGCGTCTCGAAGACAAACTCGTTTGACAGCTCGAGACTTGATAAACTTCTGCGGAATGGAGGATAATCCTCGCCGCTTTCTGCGCATGTCAGAAGAAGATCTGGCTCTCAATCTAGATCGCGTTCATGATGATTCATTGCGTGAGGCGTTAAGCTTTGGTATTGGTTTGCATCATGCAGGTCTTGTCGAGTCGGACCGCTCCCTGTCGGAAGAGCTTTTTGCAAACAACAAGATCCAAATCCTAGTTGCTACTAGTACGCTTGCTTGGGGTGTCAATCTCCCTGCTCATCTTGTTGTCGTTAAAGGCACTCAATTTTTCGACGCAAAGACCGAAGGATACAAGGACATGGACCTGACAGACGTCTTACAGATGCTGGGTCGCGCTGGACGCCCGCAGTTTGACGACTCCGGTATCGCACGAATTTTCACGCAAGACGCCAAAAAAGAATTCTACAAGCACTTCCTACATACTGGCTTTCCTGTCGAGTCATCATTACATAAGGTCTTGGACAATCATCTGGGCGCCGAAATCTCCGCCGGAACTATCGCCACCAAGCAAGATGCGTTGGACTATCTGACATGGACTTTCTTCTTCCGTCGCCTGCACAAGAACCCTTCGTTCTATGGTCTCGAGATCTCTGCGGAAGAGCACAACACAATAGCTGCGCAATCGATGGCCAACGATTACATGGTTGAGCTGGTAGAGACATCCCTACGAGAGTTAGACGAGTCGTCTTGTGCAGTTGTTGAGCCAACGGGCGAAGTCGATCCCACTCCCCTTGGAAAGATTATGAGTTACTATTACCTCAGCCATAAAACGATCCGCTACCTCGTGCAGAACGTGAAGCGCGACGCCACCTTTGCAGAAGCTTTGGCTTGGATTTCACATGCTACCGAATACGACGAGCTCCCCGTTCGGCACAATGAGGATCTCATAAACATGGAGCTTTCAAAAGCGCTGCCAATCTCTGCTGACGACTTTGGTCTACCGATGTGGGACCCGCATGTCAAAGCGTTCTTGCTCTTGCAGGCTCACTTCTCGCGGATTGACTTGCCAATCTCAGATTACGTGGGAGATCAAAACAGCGTTTTGGACCAGAGTATCCGTATTGTCCAAGCTACGGTTGATGTTCTTACTGAACTTAGCTATCTATCTTCATGTGAAACCGTCATTTCCATTCTGCAAGCCATCAAGTCAGCACGTTGGCCTAACGACGGCCCACTGTCCATCTTTCCAGGCGTCGATGTTGAGAAGGAAAAGGCTCGTCTCGAGCATCCAAAAGCCAAACCAAAGGCCCTGGTAGAAGTCACATCTACTGGCACAGCCGATCTTGAACGCGCCGGGAAGTTTGCAGGTGTCTCGCATGGTGGACTGAAACGCTTCATGGAACCTGCATCTCGCCTACCTGTCCTAAAGCTTGACCTAGGAAATGTCAATGCCATTACTCTCGAGTTCAAGGCCACGCGTCAAAACTCGGCGAGAATGCAACAGGGAGGCGTGCGTATATATGCACCGCGCTATCCCAAGCCTCAAACCGAAGGGTTCTTTGCCATCATCTCGTACTCAAGTACTGACGAGATTGTTGCGCTCAAGCGTGTCAACTGGCCTGATCCAGGCAAGAATGGCGGTAACAATCGTGGAGGGGCTGGCAAGCAGCCGATGGGAAGCGCCGCACGCTCTCTTTTGCAGGCAGCAGTCAAAGTTTCACTGCCACCCGAAGCGCAAGGCAAGAGACTGGATATCTCAGTGCACAGTGATTCTTATCCTGGGATGAGATGGGGCATTGAGGGAGTGGAGATTCCCGAGGCCCCGTTGGTGGACGCATATGGCAAAGGCAAAGAGAAGGCGTAGTTTTTGAGATGAATAAAGACTATGGTTCGAATCTGTAAGTAGACGAGAAATCCGATTCAAATAAAATCCCCTACGCCCACTTGTGTCATGCAAGCTCAAAGGGTTTAAAAATTGGACATAAGAACACCATTTTTGACTGGAAAGCATGATGTTCACATCCGACTGCTTCGAGTTTTGCAAAATTTCATGTTAGTGATTTTTTTTGGAATGGAATACAAGTGAAGCACATGGAAAATTGGGATTTGGATGGACAGATCGGCACGTTTGCATTGCGGTAATCATACGAGCCGGGATCTGGAGCTCGGACTACCGAGATAGCACCGAGGACAACATGAGCCATGCAAGGTGAAGGATCGCACAAGTGTTCGTGTGTTGAGATGTATCCATATGGCAACATCATGCAACGGTTTGCGACCCGTTGCTCTTGCATTGGATGTTCTGATAGAGGGGCCCGGCCAGAACAAGAGGCATTGCGACTACGCCAGTGGGTAGTGTGCATTTATTTCCCGATCGTTGTGCTTGAACGGAAGCATTCAAGGTCGCGTTATTGCCAAAGCCAGCTTCATTTGCGAGCGAGAAGATCACAAAATCCCGCACTTAGACAGGGCCGTGTCTCGGCCGCACATATGTTATACCGTCTCACATCATCAAAGAGATTACTATGGAGCAACCTCATCATCTCATCATCTGTAGCGAGAGGATTTTACATAATGCATCTCAACACGAACGAAGATAAAATCTTCTGGGTCAGATTCCAAAGTCTGTATGCTCGACTCCCATATTTGGCTGATCGTCAGACTGCTATGAATGCTGTTCGTCCACTTCCAGTATGGTGAAAGTGTTCTTTTATTGGCTGTCTAGAATAGGAAATATGACGTAGCACATCGCTTGTCTCGTGGTGTGTTGTATCTGCTTGTAGTAGCATACATGCCACGACCTTCCCCATCGTAATACCCCGCGCCTGGCACGGTTCCATCGGAGTGGCGATAGTTTCATCGGAGCGGCCATAAACATTCGCATTGACTGTCTGAAATGACGTTGCTCCCGGCCAGCAGCGCCCAACTTGGACCTCGGACGGGTCCTAAATTAGACGGAAACTTTGCTGTCGGCGTGTCTCATGTGAGTAAGACTCCGAAAGCTACGACGGTGGATCCATGGTATGAAGAATGAGTGGACGGTGAAAGGAAATGCGAAGACAACAAGCACCATTGAAAAGTGCATGTTTGCAATGGAGATGTCCATAGCACTAGTGTGATTGGCAAGGTGGTTCTCTGCTGGGATTGAATGCAGGGATAACGAGCCTTCGGATATGTAGCAATGCATTGGCTTGAGCAAGATCCTCGTCAATAATACTTGACAGCCTCGTATCATGACGAGTGCCTTGCCCGGGTGATCGGCTTGAGTAGACAGTAGAGCCAATGGGACAATTTTGTCTAATAATAGTCCAGTTTTTCGGTTGCTCGGGAGAGTTTGTCACCGCCACACTAGCTCCGCTTCTCCCTATCCTGGACCTGCGCGTCATGGCCTCCTCACTCCACTCAAGCTTTGCGGTAATATACCAATAATGCTGGGGTACTGCCGGAACACGTGAGATTCGGTGATTGCGATACTATATAATGGCTTGTCCTGGTTCTCCATCTTCACCGCTCACCACCAACCTCCTTCCTAGTACTCCTAATTGAGAATCCCATCAAGATGATCGCTAATAATCTTATTCTCCTCTCCGCATTGGCCGCCAGCGCTGTGGCTGCACCAAGCGGAGTCGTCAAGCGACAGAGCAACGAGGACAACCTTTGGCAAGTTCCTGTCAGACGTGACCCAAAGGACCCCAGCCAGGATAGGTGGACGCAAATCAACTCTGTCATTACCCCAATCGACAAGGCGGCAGATGACAACCGTAAATTCTCGTACTACCCATTCCTTTACAACATGGGCGGCACCCTTTTCTTGCTCTTCTCTGGCGCTCCAAAGGATGTCGATGGCATGGGCCAAGATGTGCGAATCTCTTACTCCACAAATGGGAAATGGAGCAAACCAGAGGTTGCCTTTCCCCCAGCTCTTCTCCCAAACCAGACAACGATCGAGACCTCGGAGTACTACTGCAAGCGTGGCATTCCTCAACGAGCCTTGCAGGCGCTTAGCATTGTCTACATTGGCGGAGGCGAGTCTGATGCGACATACTATGCGGTTGCACAGTCCAGCGACAACGTCTGTCCTGGACACTTTGAACCAGCCGGTCGCCTCGCCCGTAAGCTGAACCGCGATCCTTTGTCTGGTAGTACTTTTGCAGGCGAACCATGCTGGCTCGACTTCACTGAGTATACCGGCGATCACGCATGGACTGAGACGGTCTACGGCGAAAAGTACAAAATGAAGGTGTGCGAGGACAAGGACAAGATCATTGCTGCGTTGAAGAACCCACAAGCCGTGCCGGCTCAAGCGACATCTCTCTTTAACGCACCTGTTGTCGCTGCTGATGGCAAACACAACGTCAGCTATCCTACCAACGCAATCTACCTTCCGGGCAATTCGGATAAAGGACGTTATATGCGATTCTGGGCTGATGTCTCCGTGAGGAACAAGACTGGCAACGCCTTTGTTGAATACACCAGCGATCTCACCGGCAACGATTGGTTCCCCGCAACCGATGATGGCTCCAAGATCCAACAGACCAACATCTACAGCTCGTACAAGGCCTGGTTCGGCAGCAGTGAAGGATCCGTTCAGCGCCGCGTATACATCTCCAACAGCGGCATGAACAAGGATTCCTCCCAGGACATCCTGACCCTCGCCACTTCCACCGGCAACGACCTTGCTTTCCGCAACATTGGCATCCTCCGCAGCGACTCCCAGGAAAAGGCCCCCGTTGGCACGCGCCCCACTGAGGCCTCCGGCATCGCGGGCTTCTACTGGCCCTCAGCCGTCTTCCAAGGTGACAAGTTGGTCGTTGCCTACAGCGAGAACAAGGCCAATATCCAGGTCTCCACCATCGACTTTGCTGATCTCCCTTGAAGTGTACCTGAGTCACGCTCCTTTTTTTTTAATGATAATGTAGTACCTGGAACACCAACAATAAAAAAAAGTCTAATGGTCGTTGAACTTGATTGGCTTTGCTATTTGTACATATGTAGATGTTTTATCGTGCTAGTCCTGGACTGCGCTAAATATACATATCCACCATCCCTCCTTTTTTTTTAAAAAAAAAACCCCCCCTTTGTGCTTGTGATTGGTTGTCTTGTTGATGTTTAAACCAAACACCATATATAAAGTACCCTAATTCATTCCGGAGGGTACATGTCCTCGGATTCTAAGAGATGTTTATCTATACTTCGATTTTGACACTCTTCTTATACACGAGAAGGGATATCAATACGGGACTTCAACTTCACGTGCAATATTCAAGACAATATACTCTTGCCAATCAAGATTCCCATTCCATCTAGAGCACAACAAACAACTCTCTCCTTGCCATAACCACTCCCCCTCCCCCCCCCCACCTCACGTTTATCTTCTAGATTTCCCACACGATATCCTCAACACACCCTACCTCCCAATAAACCTCCTCTCAAGCACCCTCGCAGGAATATAAATTAAAGCCGTAATAACAAGCGTAAACTCATTCCCTATATCACCTCCGCCCCCAATCTGCTTCGCAAGCGGCCCCACAAACCACGTCTGCACCATGCCCATAACCCACGCCACGGTGCCGAGTCCAAACGCCGCGCCAGCCGCGAGTCCAAGAGGCAAGCGCGAAGGATCATTCCAGGCCTCGAGATCGTAATTGGCAAAGTTCATTTTGCGAAAGATGACGTGCTCGCTGCATGTAATGACAAAGTACTGCGTACACCAGTAACCCAAGAGACTGAGGAAATTCTGCAGATAGGTGCTTAGTTTTGCGCGGCCGCCGATGGCGAGACCGAGAATGGCGGCGAAAGAGAAGATAACCCATATGATGCGTGGGATGCGCGCGAGGGGCCGGGCAAACTGCTGGCAGGAAATAGAGGCGCTGTAGATGGAAATGACGTTTGTGTTTATGCCGGAGAGTACGAGTAGGGTGAGGATGAACTTTGCGAAACCGTGGGGGTGCAGCACGGTTTGTACAAGGAAGCCGAGGCCTTGGGTGCGGTAAACGGTGTTCCAGTCTGGGCGGTTGTTCAGGCCAAACGAGACGACGATGCCGGCGCACATGCCAATGGAGGTTGGGACGGCGACGCCGAGGGTAGTCAGGATGAAGACTTTCCAGCGGTTTACGTCGACGGGGTAGTGTACGTAGTAGTCTGATGCGATGACCTGCCAGGACGCGGAACTGCCGTACACGATTGCGAGCAAGGTGAGTACGCTGCCGGCAAGTTTTGCGCCTTCGAGTGTAGTCGCGGTGCTGTTATCCGTGTACTTTCCCGCTTCCGCAAAGATGATGATGAAGATGACGAAGAAGACGAACCATGCGTAGCGCTCGTAGAGGAGGACGGCGCGAAGCCCCACGAACGAAATAACGGTGGATACGCAGACGATTATGACGATGCCTACTACCAGCGATAGGTGGCCGTCTGCTACAGCCTCGAGCGCCAGACCGCCTGCAATACATGCTACTGCTGCCCAACCAATCTGCTGAATAGTATTGAGAAAAGCAATGATCTTGGTTGGCCACCAACCAAACGAATAGCGAGAGATGGAAATTTGACGGAGACCAGTCGGCGCTCCAAACGTTGCTGCAAATCCTGTTGCCGCTCCACCCAGGAGAGTTGCGAAAAGGGTGATAACAACGGACTGGCGGAGTGCTGTTCACATACAATCACACATCAAGTCAGCTTATCTTTTTTCTTTCACTCCCAGGGAATTAATTTGAATGCTTACTCAACCCAAGGTCATGGCCCAAGAACCCGATTGCAAAACACGACGTATTCATTGAGCCCGACGCCCATATGAACATCATGTTGAGCTGCTGATGCCAGGGCACATAGTGTTTGTCTTCAGCTCTTTTCCTTGTGATTGCCTCGGCCTCGACGCCGAGTCTAGCATCTAATCGCGCTTCAAGGGCAAGCAATCTGGCTAAGATGCCCGTCTCTGGCTTGTGGGTGGCAATGTCAACGCCATTGTCGCTCGACACGCTGGTCTTGTCGAGTGCCTTTTCCGTATCCATTGCGGGTTGGAATCAACGTGGAGAGTCCAAGGCGCAAGAGAAAGAAACAAGAAGGATACAACGTGCCGTTGTGTGGATGGGCACACGGGATGAGTTATTGCGTCCACGGGTGTTGCCGCCGCGTCGGCGTATTCATGGGTATATTATAGAGGAAAAAGACCGTTGCAGCGCCGGTGCGGAGTACAGAGGGGTTGATCACACCCATGTTCGACTTGGATGGCATGAGATTGGCTGCAGGGTATTGAACGGTGGCTAGTACTAGAAAGACCTGAAAGATATCGGTAAGATAAGACGATCTGTAGTGGTTTGAACGGGAATCCATGGTCACGTTTGGACGAAGAAAACCGGGCAATGTACCTACTATCGCTTTACTTTACTGACACTTACTAGACTCTTCTGCCGCTAAGCACTACTAGACATGAATGCGAGATTCCTAACCGACGATGGGCGTATCAGTCCTTGTAAAGTGTAAGTTGATATGGTAACAATACTAATAAGTAAGCACGGCAGGTGGAGTGCTGGCCAACGTCCGCTGAGCCTCATTGGTGCCAAGGCGACAGGGTAGAAGCTTAACTACGGCCTTCATGGACGTGCCGGACGGACAACTAACCCGATTGGATGTCTGTCAACGATCAACTACTGTCGATCAAACCTCATTAGTATTGCTCGAGTGCAAGTACCCGTGAATTGTCGTGGCGAGGTGAGTACCGCAAACTCTCCTCATCAGATATGAGCATATTAGTATGCAAGGCGGCACAGAACCAATCCATTCTTCCGAAAACAACATTGCTCCCTGTGCCTTCATAAGTACATTGAATAGTATAGTACACCTTTATTTTCCCTGTCCTAGCATAGACACTATATCCATGCGCTAGACATCTTATACAGCCGAGGAGGACTGTGTCATTGATTCCCGCCCCTCTCTCCACATCCTCGTCTTCTTGGCCAAGAAGTCCGCCCCCTTGCTGCTCAACGGTTTTGAAAACTCCGCTCGCTTGCGTGACAACCCAACCACGGCATGAGCCTTTCTCTTTCCCTTTTTGACTGATCTCGGCGGCATACCAGTGCCTAGGCCACGTTCCCACAGCGCATAGTGCACCACCTTGTCCAGACCAATCTTGCTTCGCTTTTCCGGCTTGGTTGCCTTGACTCGGCGAAGTTCGACGTTGCCCAGGTTAATCAAATCACCTAGGTCGGCCTTTCGCTTCTTCTCGGCAGCAGATGCAGCTTCTCGCTTGGCCTTTTCACGCGCCTTCTGGCCTTCAACGTGGATAGCGGAGAAAAGGCTGGTGGGCTGAGGCTTAGCAGCTAGACAGAGGCTATTGTATAGGTCTCCAAGAGTGTTTGCTGAAGTCAGATCTGGGTCGGAAATGCGATAACCTGTAAGCTGGTAAAGACGTTTGTAAAGCTGATCATATTGAGTCAGTATCTTTTGCTATGTTGTGATCAGGAACAGCACTTACAGCAAACTTGAGGTCGACATCAGCCACTTGGATCTGTCGCCATTTTGTTTCCTCGGGCTTGACGGCAGATCCGCTTGCTCGAGCCTGTTGTACAGACCTCCTCAAAGCCGCAAAGTCCTCAGCCAGACGCTGCGCTTTATCTTCCAGAATTGAGTGCTGTGTCTTACTCTGTGACTCCCTGACAGGCTGAGGCTCGGACTTTTGAGCGGGAAGCTCTGCCGAAGTTAAAGTTAAAGTTGAAGTTGTTGTAGGCGTGACATCCTCAACAACTGGCTTTTCGACTGGCTTGCTACGGGGTACAGGACGATTCGACATGAAGTCGAATGGCTTCTTCTCATCATCCATCTTTACCACGGCTGCCCGCTTGTGTGCTGGTGTGTCAGGGTCCATGGTCGGAGGTTGCTCTTCTGTTGCGATAATGTCCTCGGCTTCGTCAACAAGAAGTTCGTCTGATTCCTCAAATGCAGGCTCCCAAGTTGGGGCGTTTTGCATAGTCTCTAGAAGCTGCTCGAGACTCTTGTGCTGAGGAAAAGCGAGGGCGAGGTCCCCGCTATCCGTCTTGACCAACTTGATGTCCTTGACCCAGCGTGGCGCATCGTAGATTCCGCGGTTGGCAAACTTGGAAAAGTCCATTTCGATACCAGCCTGCTTCATGGCGTAGATTTCGGCGATAGCCTGGGTGAAGCGGCTGCGCAGATCGCTGGGACGGGTGACCTTTGTGTGAAGACCAAAGTTGTAGGCTGTATATGGGCGTTTCGTCTTCTCGTGTACGGTTTGTGCCATCATCAGATTCTCATCCTTGAGGGTGTATGGGGTGCCAGTGAGCTCTTCAATCTCGTCGGCCATCTCCAACGTAAGCGGGGTGTAGGTGCGCAGTGTAAGCTTTTCGAATTCCACAGCCATGTCCTTCTCCACCTTTTGTTTAAGCCACTCCTCACCACCAACACGCTCGAGACCACTAATGTTCTCCGATGGCTTGTAGTGGGGGAAATCGGGCCCCTCATCGTCGAGCACCTCCACATACTCGCCCTGTTCCTCTGGTGCTATGCGAACAGGCGATGTCGGGTCGTACGGGTCAACATGTGCGCCAATTGGCTCCGAATCGCCGAGAAGTCGCTTCTGCCATCGCCGCACAAACTGCTGGTGTTTCTTCTTGTCTTGTTTTCCGGGAAGGAGGAAGCAATTGGGTGAGGTGGTGGAAAATGCGGCGGCGGCTCGAATGTGTGCGCAGGGCGAGGCGGGACCGCGATAGGGCAGAGGCGACACTCTCTGGCATATAGATGCAGAGAGCGAATGTGAAGGGTCGGTTGCCCGCGAGGGGCGCGGTATTCGGCGCATTGGGGCGGGATGTCGAGGATGCAATTGATGCTAGAAATCCCTTCGACATGCAATCGGCAGCCTGCCAAGACGCCGAGATCTGGCCAATCACAACCGCCGCAGCCCCGAACTCTTGCACCATGTATATGTATAATGCATGACGCTCCCTTTCTCTAAGACATCTTGTTGTAGTTGTATTGGTAGGTTTTTTATACAATAACAGACACGACATCTGCCAAGGAAATCCTACTGCTGGGTATCATCTAGGTAAACTTCTTCACTAGCCATGTCGACCCCCTCTCGTCATACTCTGCCTTTGTTACAAGGACTTCCTTCATCAAGTCCGGCTGGCTAGCATAGCGCGCTCCTCCCAGCCATGTATGCTTGATGGGATCTTCCGCCCTGGCTACATTCAACACATACTCTACGGGCACCAATGCCCTCAACTCCGTCTCCAACCGCTCCATGAAGCCAGTGATGAGCGAGTTTCCACCAACAACAACTATGTTCGCTAGCAACACAACTTTCAGAGCTTCCGGCAGTGCACTCAGCGATTCCATGACTGCGCCGGGAAGGCCGACCTCCTGAATGCCGATATCCGAGGGGTTGAACAGTAGTTCTGGCACGGTAAAGCGCTCGTTGCCCAACGGCAGCAAGTCTTCTCTCGGCCCCTGTAATGGTTGCAATCCCCGGCGCATACGTGACTTTGCCGGATCGTGAGGGCGCGCATGTCCATGTATCGAATTCTCATAGTCGGGCAGCACGTAGTCCACGACGATGCCCGAATCCAGCTCTCGTTTGGCTCCTAGTCGTCCTTTCCACGTCCGCTCGAGATCTGTAGCGAATTGCTGTGATGAAGGCACTACGTACGACACGGCTTCCTTGATCTCGTTCAGCAAATATGTCTCCTCCATCATGTTGTAATGGCGGAGGGAAGATAGCTCCTTCAGGTAGTTGGTGAGCAACTTCCCACCAACGGTGAGCCGCCTGACAGCTGATTGTATGAGCTTGCCATTATAGAGAGGCAAGATGGTTGTATCTGAGTAGGAGGTATCAATGACCAGGACGCATTCTTGCGGTAGCGACGATAGCGGTGAGGCGGTGGGGCTGTTGTAGGCATTGAGTGTCGCGCCCACACATCTGTAATACGCGGCGAACTCGAATTGCTCAAAGACAATCTCGTCACAGTTCTTCTGCAGTTCTTTCGGACAGTTTGGCTTCTCGGTCAAGAGCAGGTTTGTCTCTTTGGGGTCACACTATGCGCCATCAGCTAACACCGTCTCATAGTCGTTGCAGGCGTGCATACCCACCCTTAACCCCTCGCCCGCCGTCTCGCTCATGAACTCATGCTCCCAGATGGCCTTCTCTGCCTCCCAGTTGACAATGAAGCCCTTTTCTACTGGCCGCCGAAAGGCCAGCTCGCCAAAATCTTTGCACGAGTCCAGTTCGGCGCCGACATAGGTGCGCTTGTCACGCGTGCTGCGCGCAATACAGTTGGCTATGACGCTGCAGTCGTCGTATGTAGGCTCTGTGCCTGTCGATACGAGGCCGGCTTTGATGGTATATGCGCCATTGTCTATGACCAGTGTCTTGTGTGGTGGTGCAGGTGCAGACCTCTTTGAGCCTTTGGGTGGCATTGTTCGAGTGACGGCGGTTCATCAGTTTGCGCGCCGCTGCCAGAAGTTCACATGCAAGCAACGCCTGCTCACGTGCTGCCCCACCCCCATCCGAACATCACGTCCTTGGTCACGCAATGTGTTCTGGCTTCTTAAAAGCCTCACATACTATTCAGTAATATTATGCTATACCCAAAAGCAAAATAAATGACAAGTCCGTTCAATTTGAACGCATGTAGGCGCTCAACCAGGAGCATAGGCGCGCAGAATAAACAACTATAGAAGAAACATAAAAAGCAGGGGAAAAAGAAAAATGTGTGTAGATTTTCACGAATTGAGAGAGATTAAACAGCCATCCGGAAACTCCAAAGCCAATCTCATCGAGGAAAGCAGAACAGGCATGTTGGAAGTGCGGAGTCCGCATGACGACACACCCCCGCACGCGACTTATTGCTTCTCTTCGTCTAACTCCACTCAGGGTACTCGTTTCCTTTGTTGAAAGACTTCTACTACCTCCAAATCATACGTTCATTCAACACTTCACGGCTACATGCCCACCAGTCTATGACGTCGATCACTCTCTTGTAATCACACACGCGACCAACTTCAAGTCGAATACCACCAACATTCACCCAAGACTCCCAGCCACACCCAACTGCCGTCTTCGCCATGGATGATGACTGGCAAGATGCCGCGTTTTCTTCACGCCACATGCACAATCGCAGAGGAAGCAGCGGTAAATCCAAACACAGCAGCGCCTTTGACGTCCGCAAGACATTCGCAAGTTACTCCGTCAAATGCCCAGCCTGGCAAAAGGCCTTAGCTACAGACGGTGATGCACAGTCGGACCAAGAAGCCTCCTTAGAGTTGTATCGGCTAACCGAATCCGGCGAGGGCGTTGTGGGCGAACTCCTCCTCCCAGGTGTGCTGCGGTCATCCGTCATATTAGCCGGTAGTCGAGACAGTCTACGACGAACTATCGCGGATCTCGAATCAGGCGAGGATGCGTCGGAAGAAGATGACCAAGAGGGACAAGGCGATACCAGTAGTAACACCGAACCAGAATCGCCGGCGAAAACGCGCTTCGACACATTTGAGAAGAATAGTTTCCGCTCTCCCAAGTTTTGGTTTCGCTGGAGTGGTGTACCACATGGTGCTTCCCACTCAACTTCGAAAGAGAATGGTTCTTTTGAGTCAGATCTGGGATATCTTGTATTCTCTGGGAACGATTGCCGAAAGTTCAAAGGCACTATTAATTGCGCTTCTTTGAAGTGGAAGAACGTAGCCATCACCGGCCATAAGATGATTGCGAGATCAGAGTCGGATACCCAGGTCACGTGGGGCAAAGATGAGGTTCCGATTTGAGGAATCTTGATCATGGATTTATTTCGGTAATCTAGTCACCTTCTCTCTACGGTAATGGTAATGAAATGATTCGATCTGCAGCAATGTTCCACCATCAATCATACCAGTCTGCATTCTCGAAATTGATTTTCTTGAGTTTGTGATTTCCATATCTTCACACATCCGAATAACTCGAACCCATTTATCCAAACGTGTCAGTTGTTTTCTGGCAGCTAGAGATTCATATTCGACATGCTCAGCTACGAACACAAAAGAGAAGCCTATATGTAAAAGGACGCAACAAAAGTAACAGCTGTATACAAAAACATGATCAATGTCATATGATCACTAAGTCTTCCAAACCTGGTTCTCTTAGGGTTCAGATACTCCTCTTTTGGATATCGCACTCCTGTTTTCTCATCCATCTGCAGCGCCTCATCTGCAGTGACTTGTACTGGTGGCCACAAGATATAGCTCACAGGAATCCAGCAACTGATGAACTGACCCAACCACCATACTGGGGGCCACCCAACTCTCGTGAGCAGGAATATCCATTGATCGCGGCCTGACACCAAACGCTGTTCCAGATAAGCAGTGCCAATCCCGGCCGCTGGATCGAAACAGCGGACAAAGTTGAGTGCGACACCGAGCAAGCAGGTCAAGATGTAACAGAAGTGTATCCATATCATCTGCTGCAAGAAAAGTGCGCGGAAACGTCCTACAAAGCCCGAAAGATTTGGTCGACGCTCTTTGATCAAGGCAGACAAACTCCCACTTGGCATGAAACCAGGCGTTGTCCCACCAAATTTATCTGGTAGAACGAATCCGCGAACCATTGCGAGCGCGTAATATGGCACAAGCCAGATATCCGCTTGATCCCAGCGCATGGCATCTCTGTAACCGACAAACAGCGCCAAACTAGCTTTGTGCGCAGTGTCGGAAAACACCCATAAGCCGACGAGGCGCAATAGCCAAACTAGCTGCCAGCGTTCATGGTACACGACAAAGGGGTAGCCGGCGAGCAGGGCAACAAGGTTTCCAACGAAGCCAATCCAGGTCAAGGTGCAGTTGGCAAGAGAGCTTGCGCCGAAGACGAAGCCAGCGAGGCGTTGGCGAGCAGTACACAAAGGGATTTTTGGGCCCCAGAGGCGGAAATTTAACTGTTGACAATCAGCTTTCCGTCTAACATCATGCATATTCGACATATAAAAGAATGTGCTTACCTTGAACGCAGTCTGAACATTACCAATCGTCTATCACAAAAGATCGTCAGCAAATCGACACCCAAGATACCCGCATACCAACCACTCACCCATCTCGTTCGCTGCTTGATATGTCCTCGCAACGTCTCCGGCATCTCCCCACACTGCATATACTCATCCACATACGCAACCTGCCACCCCTTTCCCAGCAACAACGAACTACATGCCGTATCCTCGCTGATCGAAAATGCAGGAAACCCGCCAATATCCGTCAACGCATCTCGTCGGACCAGGTACCCGGACCCCACGCAATCGGCTGCTCCCAGGGCGTCGTGCACAGTCTCCGTTACAGAGTAGAAGTAGTCGAGATCCTGGCGCACGTGATCGTTTTTGGGTATGTTCCAGAAGTTTTGCGGCGGACATGCCATGCTCATCTTGGGGTCGGCGAGTAGATGCGGCATTAGCTGGCGGAGCCAGTTGGGTTGCACAATCATGTCGACGTCCAGACCTGCGACGAAGGGTGAGGGTGGGTCGTTGAGTTTGGCGCTGTATTGGAGGCCGTTGTTGAGATTACCCGCTTTCTGAGATATCTTCGTTAGTGGTATAAATCTCAAAGGATTGTTTAGAAACTCACATAGTCTGGGATCTCTGGAGGCGGCCGGCTGGTGTAGTGTGCAAAGGGATATTCCCGCTGCAAGTGCAGTATCTTATCCTGAAGTTCTTTGCTGCGACCATCGTCGCATAGAATCACATTTAAACGGCCTGCCGGCCAATTCGTCTCGCATGCAGATCGTACGACATTAAGAATGGTATCGTGTTCCTCTCCACAGGCAGTGATCAGGACCGAGATGACGGGTACGTCTTCGCCTTCGAGAAAAAGTTGGGGTCGACGTGGACGCCGGGGAACTAGCATGCGGTTAAGGTAGAGAAATATGGAAGGTATGTATTGAAAGAATTCAATGCCGAGAAAACACCATGCGAGGACTAGCTGCCGGTTGCCTTGAAGGTGTGTGTATACGACGCAGTAGACTCGAAGGCAAAAGTATAAAACGAGGGCTATGGGTGCTAGGAAGCCCGTAATGCAAACGAGTGGCCAGAGAGCATCTGGTGCTGCAGCCATTTTGGCGGGCTAGGGCAGCGAATGGAAGAGATGGGACAACGAGCAGAGCAGATGACTGCTCCTCTAATCCAGCCCCAAATCCACAAGGCCAGTATAGATATAATCTCCACTAACGTCTTATTGTTTTTGAAAATGATCCTTCAACCCTCTTTCTCCATCCTTGCAGTTTTGAGCTTATCACACAGTCCATCGATCGTGAGCATGGATGCAAATGTGAATTTAGTGATCGCCGCCAATACAATGTCTACAAATTAGACACGCACTAACAATTCCCAGATCGGGGTACATACTGGCTCTTTCCGAGTGCTCCAATGATGAAGACTCTATCTTCATTTCTTCATCCCGTTGTGACACTCTGAAAGCTGAAACTAACACGTGCAAAGCCAATACTCCACAGCAAGTAACGCGCAGTTACATCACCTGCAAGCTCCAAAGATCACTTCCCCATATACAGGCTACCCTCCTTGGGGTCCCAGCCCAAACAAGCAATACCCTTAAAAAAACCCTAATATTGACGACATGAGCCAAGAAGAAGCACATCAACAAAAAACAACCTATCCAAGGCGCATACAAGTCAACAAAAAAACGCCCTTCCAAAGCACACACCAGTCAATGATGTCCAACACTTTTTCTTTCTAGCCCCGAAATGCTTGCGGCTTGAAAAGCCACTGCTGCAAAATACGAAGATCGGTTCTCAAAAGCAAAGAAAGAGCAAAGTCAGGCTCCGGAAGCGTCGATCGCAACGGAGCGAGCCGAGATCATGTCTGAAGCTATGACCTCATGCTTCCATGGCTATTGCGTTAATTTCGAGAAGCAGGTGCTCAGGGCGCAGGGTGTGTTTGATCAATAGCAAGCTATAAGGCCTCATTGAACACAGTGCTAAAGAGCTGTAGAGTCAATGCTTCACCAAGGAGCAACGAAGATATGAGGTGTTCGCGAACATGAGATATGAGGGTCGGGACACGACTCTGATGATTCTCAGGCTTGAGAACGATGCCTTCTTGTCCACCTTTCTCCAACGACACCGCTGGGAAAATCAACTTCACCCCTTGAGCGCCCGGTCTTTCATCGATGATGTTCGCATTGGAATCATTGCTTCCGCCAACAAAATAGCCGAGAAAAGGTCCTTTGCAGCAGTTCAAGGATAGCAAAAGTCGAGGTAAGCCAGTACACCCACAACAGCAAGACACAGACCTACTTTGACTCGGACATGGAATGCTAAAACACCCCAGTCTATAACAACCACCTTGCTATATAGAGTATGCTCCAAAAGACGAAGCACAAACACTGGTTATTTGAATCTTTCCATGCTAAGATTAGCTTTTTGTTTTTGTTTTGTTTTTTTTAAAAAAAAAAAAAGTATAAAACACCTGCTCCACCCTATTCCTTTGTTTAGTAAATATTCACCTCCCGTATTGCCCCAATCGCATACAAGGGTTATGGGACTAAGATACCTACTACGCACCCAGCCTATGTATAACACACTCCCCAGTTCAAAACGGTAGTTCTACATAGACCTTATCATCGATACCAAAACGTTCAGGTTGTTGAGGAAGTTCTGGGAGGCTGGCACACGATGTGTGGCGCATTGAACAACTACGTCAATAACAAGACTGCACAGCGTCTCACGTTGATGCCTAGATCTTTGAGTTTGTTATCCCGACATTAGATATGAACGTTTGCATTGGTCTGCTATATGACTTTGTAGTAGAGTAACAAGGCACTAGTTTATCAAAATAAAAGGTTTTAGCGTTCAAGTGCCACTGAGTATGGAATCTCTTTTTTTTTTCTCAGAAAACGCGTAGTATCTTGCTACATTAACTCCTTATCAAAGTGGTCCATCACAATGGCTCCAGCACGGGCGTCAAAATAGGTGAGACAAAGCACAAGCTACAAAGATATATACACAACGGCCCCAGAACTATCATTACACCGTGTCTTGCCCATGTAATTAATCTAGAGCGACCTGGCATGTAGCATTTGGCCAAGGAGTCACATCCGCGATATTGATCCTGGCGCAATCCTGAGAAAACTGCTTCTGGATCTTATCCAAGGAGAGATTCAGGCCGTCCGTGTTCAGTAGGCAGCGGTCTTCGAGGATCATGCGACCGGTAAGCTTTTGGTGGTTGACAGTGATTGTGCCGTGGCAAGTGACTCTTGTGCCGCCTTCAATGCTGTATTGGGATGGGTCGATACTGTTGCACTGGCAGGTGGTGTTGGCCTATTTGGAGTGATTAACTCGGAGCTCATGTACTATTAAAAGTCGGGGAACGCACCGAGGTGATGCCAGCTAAGATGAAGATGGCGGATAGAACGTTGAACTTCATGATTGTGTAGCGGTAGGGCGGGAAGAAGGTCTTGGAGGCTTCTTCGGTTGAGAAGAGTGTACTAATAGTAGACGATGAGAGAGGATGGTGACGGTATATTGGTTTTCTATCTGTACGCAGGTCACAGGCGATAAGAGCCCCCTTGGCGGTCTAATTTGCGGTCTAATTTACGGCCAGCTAAACGATACCGAGAGTAGAATAGGTTTGTTAATTAGAAGGCAGTTTTGCCGTATGATTCCAGACCTAGCTGAAGAACTTTCAAAAACGAGAACGCTCGGTGATGGGAATGATCCTTCCGCCCAATCTTCTGCATACATATGCATTGTATCCCGTATTCACTTGAAAAGGTATTGTTACTCTCTCAACACCTCTGGTTCATGGAAATTCCAGATTTCAATTCTGGTGCTAATGCACTGTCTACTATCTCAATCTGGATAGAGCCAGCCCCCATCCCTTATCGAAGCTCTAGGCCCGTAGAGGCAACAGAACGGAGAGGGGAGCGGTGAGCAGACTCCGAAGCTCTGCAAAATGATGGAAGAATCCGGCATGGGAAACACTACTATCCTGATCCCCTGTGATAAGAAGTGATTGCTCCAGATATCTCGGGGCATGTGTTTCAACAGTTCCCGTACTCAGCTTGGAAGTTGATCCCTCAGTGATTTTAGCAGTATCATCTTTGATTCTGCAACCTTCACTGTTGATTCTTGTGCCTGAACTTGTAAAGTATATCTACGCTCTTCTTTCCCTGCAATTGAAAGACAGTGCAGTGTATGGGCCATCTAGACCGTCGTTTGCACGAGTCATTTTTCTTTGCAGAATACTTTTTGCTTCCCGTTGTAAGCTTGACTGGAATCTGCTGTCATCTGTAAGCCGTGTGAGTCCAAAAGCCAAATTTGCATTCAGACTCTTGAAAAACATTCTCTAATATCGGTGGATCGCTCTCTTCTAAGCTTACTTTGATAATAAATCATTTCAAGAAAACTCGGTTATGGACAAATGACATGATATAAATGCTTCACGTGCCCACTCTTGCAACAATCTTTTCATTGTCCCACTACCTACGTGTTCCTGTTCTGCGGTAATTGACTCCAAAATAAGACCCAAATTCCTCGCTACTCTCTCATTCTCTCGACCAATATCACCGATATATGACCTTCCACAAAGCCACCCCTCCCCATTTTCGCCGAAACTCAAATCTCAATCTCAAACTTTCACACCAAACCAATCTGCTTTGTAAATGTATCGCTGACCAGAGTGTAAATGCCACACCGGAACAAGTCACGCCTTCTGTGTCCTAACAGAATAAACTGACATGCACTGTATCTTCCACTTTATCCTTGCTGGGCTATGGGTGGTCCTTCTTGGCTATGCGTTTACTATGGACAAACGAAGTTTGGATATTGATGTATTTCGATATCCTTTGTTATCATACAGGAGGCTATAGCTCTGATTACTCTTCATATTTTTTTTGTCATCTACCGGCCTTTATCATACACGTAACAAGAAGACGAGTAAAGTGAAATGATCAAATTTTCAACTACACAACTTCGCAGCGTAACTCCAAGCTCAAGCACTACCCTCACGTTTAGCTATTCTTTATTCTACTGAATCCCTTGTATTAGATGCGCCGACCTCACTTTTGCAGTGCCCTCAAGACAACATACATACCTATGACATGATTAGCAGCCACTGCTTCTATTCCCTACTTCACCATTCCCACCGTCAAACCACACCACTCCTCCTTTCCCTTTCACTCCCCCACCCTCAACACTAACAAAACTCCCCAAAATCTATAAAAACCCACATAAAAGCATCTAGACCCCCACCGCCCCAAACAAACCGCATCAGCAACCCCCCTCCCCCCCTTCCTTACGTAAGTACTCAAGAGGCACCCCTAGGGTAACTTTGAAACAGTCCTCCCCCCGTCTTGAACAAACTGGCACGCGCTACTGTCTCTTTAGGCATTGTGCCGCGGATGGACGAACAAGGTGGTTCCATGTGAAATTATGTACTCAGGGTAAAGAAGAAGGATATGCGGCATGAATCTATGAGAGGACAATGCATGGTGTTTGTGTGGTCATGCTTGGTTTGGCAGGAAAAAAAATATTCGTGTGCGTCGTATGGTTCTTTGGACGAAGAAGAAAATGGATCACGAGGAGATTGGAGAGATCAAAAAGTTGTTTAACATTTGTTTATTGTTTGTTTGTTACTGTTGATAACTTGAGAGTTCTTGTTGAACCTCTTCTGCCGTGCATGTTGTATGCTACGGGTAATGTCATGTCTTTTTTCATGATGATAGAGTGCCAGGGACAAGCACTTTGAACCCTTTCTTCGCTCTAATATTGAATGGCTCTTGGAATGTATATGTACAGTTCGAATGAGAATGTAATCCTCTGCTCTTCCATGTTGCTCTTCTATCCCCAAACCGGGCGCGTGTCTTTCCCCCTTTATATGTACCTCCGCCTTTTGCGAAAGGCGTGCTTCTTCGATACAGTGACCTTGTGGTATTTGGTTTGGCGTCGCGATGGTAGTTTTTGTAGAAGGCTAGCGCTGAGAACAGCTCAGTCCTCGCCGAAGACGATGAAGCTTGCCTCCTCCTCAACTTCCCAATACGTGCAGCTGCCCTCACTATCTTCGTCACTGTACTCGTCTTCAGATTCGACGTCTTCCCAGTCACTATCGCCATCGTCATCTTCGATGTCGTCGACTGTGTCAAGATTCTGGAATGATTCAAGCAATTCGGCGACCGGCTCTTCAGCACCAGTGACATGACAACTCTTTGCATGAGAGTAGTCTTCCGAGTCTTCTGAGATCATATCCTCGTCATCGTCGTCACCATCGTCGTCAACCACAGTGTACTTGCCGGGTTCATAGCGCGGTGATCTCCGATGAAAGTACGGATTAGGTCTTCCGGGCTCAAAATCCGTATCTTCTGCAAATGCGACAGCAGAATCCCTTTTGGGACGCGGCCGCTCATCTACATGTCCTGTGGTCTCTGCCCAATACAGGTCTAGTGCCTTGGACGCGGTTTGTACATTTTCGTGGCTCTCCTCTGGATGCCGTGCTGACCATTCAGACTCTTGTGCAGCCATGTTTTCAATAACCGAGAGTTCTTTGAGTGCGCCTATCTTGCCTTTGCACCAGGCATTGTAGACGGTGTCTTGATGCTCGGAGCTAGTCAGAGTGCATGATGGCGCACGACCACCCGCATTCTCAAGGGCTTGCGACAATACGTGCATGTACTTGACGTGCATGTCAATTGTACACACAGGGCATCGGGATTGGAGTTGGCCGGCTGCTGTTGGGTGCATGGTGTGCTGACAGACTGATGCGACAGGCGAGTTTGACGTGGACTTTGTGGTTTCGGAAGCGGGAGGCGCGATGTGGCCAGTAATGTCGTCGAATATGTCGGAAAAATAGCCAGAGTCTTGTCGCTTGAGCCATTGTTGAAAATCTTCGTACTCGCCGGCTGTGGGAATGTAGCCTTGTTCATTTGGTCGGATGTTTGCGTGCAAGCACTGCCAACGCTTGTACAGTTTTAGCTCGCGCGGCGACAAAATGACGCTGGCGGGGATTTTTGGATGGGCCATGGTATTGTGTGGTATGGGCGTAGTGAAAACAGGTGCTAGGTTTTTGATGGGAGGCTGTCTCTGTAGCCAGGTGCTGTTGAGAAGCGCAATAGTGTTCGAGAGCGTGGTGGCCCAGAAATGTAGTGTGTGGAGGGGATTTTAGAGACAGCAAACTACGTCACGGTGTTGGAAAACCACGGTTCAGCCGTCCGGGTGAGCCGAATGTGACGGCTGGTGCCAGGAACTTGGTGGGAGCAAATGGGGCGGCGTGAATGAGCTTCTGGTGAGCGTCTATTCGTCGGCTAGAGCGAACAATGCAGTCGCAGCCGTTGTGCGCAACGCACAATGATGGTGAAAGTGAAGGCTTTGTCGGGTCGCGTGGAGTCCGCCGTCACCCAGCAAACGGTTGTGAATGCAAACAACCGGGACAGTCTACAGGGAGAGAGGTCTCCTTGGATGTGCAGTCGTTCTTTTTTTTTGTTGGCCAACAGGCTCTATGTAGGCAGAGAGAAAATAACCGATATGTGGACGCCGCGTTCAGACGCGACGAACAGTGCCGACAACGTCGCCCGACTTCTCGATCTTAGGAAGGTTGGAGTACCGGGGAAAAGCCATGATTGTGGGGGAGTAGCAGCGCATTCCTTGGTCCTGGTGGATATGGGTGGAATGTTCGCGAGATGTCGCGCGGGGTTTTGCCGTGCTCTTGGGTCGGCGTCGGCGTCGGCTGCTGAAGTGGGGGGAGGGGCCGGACAGCGAGAGCGAGAGGGATGTTTCGCTATGGATGCGTGAAGGGGTGTGTATGTGCAGCGCGTCACCGGAGAGCGCGAGGGGGGTCGCGTCTTCAGTGCTAGGGGCGGTGGTGAAGGTGAGGGTCAAGTCAAGATGGAAGTGTCTGTGCAAAGGGGACGAAGAAAGGGCCGCCGCGGCTTCGACTGGCCTGGTTTGGGGCGGAGAGAGCGGGCGCGGGCGGGCTGTGTGTGGGCTGAGGGGAGGACTGTGCGTCATGCCTGACTCATTTCATTCCACCTTTGTCTTTTGTCTTTTTTGGCTGCAGCTGCGGCCGGACTGTGGCCATGCAGGCGTTCCCTGCTACCTGCACGTGACTTCTTGTCGCATTGGTCATGTGATGTCTAAATATACCCTCACTCACAAATGCTACTCTACCATACTCACACCCACATATCACCACCCCACCCCCAAGTCTGCTGAGAGCGCATGCTGACCAAGCTGACACCATCTCGCGCCGTCGCTGTCGTGTACCAAATACAGCCGCGAATCCTTCTCACATCACTTACCAACCGGCACTTGGCCTGATGACCGTCATACGGCCTCCCTCCCCGTGCCATGAACCCCTCAAAATCCAACACAACATGGCTGTGTGGTCCGCTAGTCGTAACTCGGGAAATCCCCTCAAATCCAGACTCCGAAGGCCTGGCCTGCTCCTTCAGCACCTGCTCCACGATATCTCCCTAGCTATGCAATACTCTGCCAGCATCATCCCGTGAAACACACAGATCCTCAAGACACCCAGTACAATAAATACACCTTCTGACTGCCACTGTTCCGTCGGCAGCCGAAAAGCGCCCGCATCTGACAGGACAAAACGTATGGTTTGCTCGATAGTGGTAAGATCGAGGTTGCCGTAGTCCACATTCTGCCTTCGCCAGAGAACAAGGCTTGTGTCGGTTTACCACCAGCCACTACCCCAACTTCCGCTAGGACCTGTTCAGTGCAATCTTAAAGGCGCCGATACTAGCCTCATATCTTGCCATCATCTCCGTGGCGCATCGACATAAACTGTCTGAATACATGGGATACTTACTTACGCGGTGCAAACACCTGCCTAGGTCATGTGGGAGATGCGAGTCGCAACTCTACAGGAGGCATACCTACTTACTTAGCTCGGAAAGCCAGGGCCGCAAGCATACCTGGCTGCGTGCCATCGTGACGTTTCACTCAATCGAGCCCCTTATACTCTTTGTGGCGTTGTTCCTATTGATTGCGCACACCTCGCCAGTTTATTATCTATATATGAGCGCGTTAGTTACTGATCCCACGACTTTTCTTTAGCCTGTTCAGCAGATGCCTATTCACTATCAATGCTTCGCATTTGCACATGCCATTTGGTGACACTGGTACTTCTCCTCGATGCTTTCAACATCTCATGTAGAGTACTTAGTTCAAGGACATGTTTCAAGGCACCCAAAGTGAAATGCCTTGTTCATGAGCAGCCTATCCATCATCTTTCCTTGGACACAAACAAGCTGCTCATGGCAACGTTTGGCGACTTACTGCAAACATTTCCAAGGGCTGTCCAAAATCTACCGAAGCACCCACTCGACTCTGGTTTCGAAAATGCAAATGTTGTATCAGACTTGTTTGATGTCGCTCTGTTTACATCTTCGAGACAATGTGAGCCAAGCAGGCATGTCGCAACACGCAACCCGGAGTAATGCGTGCCAAACCACTCCTCTGCGCACAAGTCAATACAATATTTTGCGGCCCTTCTGGAAGACAATTGACTAGCGAACCAGCAATGCGACATGACTGAAACGCGACATATTTAATGTCTTTGCTTGATAATGCTCGGGCGTCGAGAGCATGGTACTTACTCGCGCCGTTGCCAACAGTCAGTGCTCTTGTGCAAATGCCTCGCAACAGAAGAGATTCCAGCGCTGGAAATGGTCACACAAGTCTGAGAGACGCAAAGCGTACTCTGCACCGCTTTGTTCCGTTCTTCATCGATTTTTCTGGATGCGCAGGAAAGAAAACGGGTCGTTTTTTACCCGTTTCCTCCCACAGTTGCTGATCTTCATATCATGGATCACCTAAGACGACCAACAAAGGCGCCAGTGCTGACCCTGCGCATCTATTCCAAGTCAAGACAAGCATCAGTTCCAGCGCACCATGGACTTTCGGGTTGCAAAGTTTAGATTCAAGTCTCGGCCTGATGGAGCGATGCTCGCCGAGGGAAGCTACCTATCAGAACGTAACAGAGTGAACCACCTACGTAGTGCGCCAGTGGCTAGTGAATAGCTTCAGAAACCATAGCCATAGTCGCAACCACAACCCCATTTACACAGCCATGCTAATGGGCCAAAGACGCAAATTAGCATCGCCATCTGAAGGCTTCCCATAGCCGACTGTGCTGGCGGTAAGCCGGGCCCTCCGTCGAAGTTTGCCGTTGCGGGGTCGCCGGAAATGCTTCAGCATTCTTCCGCCCTGTCCCAAAAGAAAAGTCACCTCAACCGCTCCCTCCGCCACACCAATGTCCAAACTGGCAAATAATAAGCTTTCTTTCTCCCCCTCCCAGCTGAGCTACGATCAGCGGGACCGACACGAGGAGCTGTGCATGCAGGAGACACCCATCCACGAATCATCAACCTAATCTTAGCCACCTCCGGCTCCAGCTGTGACAGCCGTTTTCAGGTTACACTGGCGGGTTTCCAGAAGTCTACCGGCCTGTTTTTCGCATTGCCATTCGTCATTGTACAGCGCAACCTAAGTATGTAAATCGAGGGCGAAACTTAGCAGGCGACGCCGTCTGCTCTTGTTCCCATGGGAAAGCTAGGACGGGTTATACGAGATATCCGGCTGGCCGATCGTATCGTATATTTGGCCCGTTCTGGTATAAGCTATGATAGGAACTGAATGCATATGCCTGTCCAGCAACGAATGGGCACTCTCGATCGCTGTTCCTCCATGCACGGATGATGGTGCTGACGGTGAGTCCAGTCCAGCCAAGCCCCATTGGCTTGACAATCGACACAAATTAACTGCTGTTGCTTATTGTGGGTGTAAGCGGCATGCCTAGCTGCGTAAATGGGTAACCCAGGTGCATGCAGGCGTTCTTATTATGCGTTTTACCCTGACTTGACGCTTCAAAGTCGCTCTCCCGTATTAGCCGACCAGGGCGTAACTGCATTAGGGACATACCCACCCGGCATGGACTCCCACTGTTAGGGTCCTACCTGTTTGTTAAGAGCCTGACCCACCCTTCCTGCCCCTTCTCATCCTTTCAATGGGTCAAGATGGATCGACGCGAGGAATACCGTGACGACTTGAGCAGTGCCCACAGTTACAGAGAGAGTCAATGGAGTTCTCCTCCTCCTCCTCAGTTCCAGGAACATGACCAACAACAGTACCCTTCACCGATCGCGTCGCAAACCTACACAAGCCAAAGCTCCCCGCCAACCGTGTCACCGCCGCTGCCGTACGACCTGGAACATTCCCGTCACCCTCCACCACCACCACAGAACTACGAAATCTACCAACAAGGGTATGTGCATGACTGATTCAACCTTGTATCTATCTACATCTGTTCATAGAACGAGACGTCCAAATTGCTTTTTCCCCACTCACCGTTGTGCATTGTTCTGAGCTTGGTACAGGTACTCGACGGAAAAAGAGACTCCAGACAATCAACATGCGACCACCATCGCCCCAACACCAGACTTCTCAGCACCTCAAGTTGTACCCGGCCAGTTCAGTCTATACCCTCAAGCCGGCCGGCCAATGTCTCCTTCATCACACGGCGGGACTACCCTCGCCTCGCCTCACGTAAGACCTTATGGGTTCAAGGAGCACGTCGATCCATCTGATGCGCCCGAGAATGCTCCTGAGCCAGTAGTCCCACCGCCAAAGGAGGAGAGGAAGTGTGGGTTGAAGAAGCGGACGTTTTTTATCCTTCTCGGAGTCATTATTCTCGCCATCGTCGGCCTCGCTCTAGGTCTCGGTTTGGGCCTCGGCCTTAAAAACAATGATTCGTACGTCCTGCAAGAATGATGCTAATAATCACTTCCAAGTCGTAACATACTAACCCTAGATACAGAGACAGCCCAGCCGATCCTTTTTGTCGCAAAAACCCGGAATTATGCATTGGCGGCGCTCTCAGCGCCAAGTACGTGTCTAAGAAGGGCGCCTTCAACGGCACTGGCATTGCGCTTGCTGGAGAATCGTGGAATCAAGGCCAACGTAAAATCTTTACTTTGTACTTTCAGCACTATTCAGGCGACATTCGTTTTATGCAGTACGGCACTGATCAAAAGTGGATTGGTGGCACAAAAGCCCAGACTGTAGCCAGCGGCGTAAAAGACGCATCGCCCATATCCGCTGTGGCCTTTGCGATCAACTCCACACAATATGTTGGTCATCTCGTTTCTCCTTCCATTGATTTCTCACTAACGAGTACAAGACACACATCTTCTACGTAGACCGCAACAACACCATCAGACAAGTAACCCAAGACAACATTACTGACATCTGGCAAGGGGGTTCCCTCAACGACCTCAACCTCAAAGCTTTTGACTCACCCACCACGGGCCTGCAAGCCTGCTGGAAAGGCAACTTTTACGGCGACGAAGACTACACCAAGTTTCCAACCGCATCGGGCCTCAACAACACCAAGCCATTTGAGAACTCACAAGGAATGAATCTCTGGTTCGCGACCGACGACTCGACATTTGCGCAATACGCATGGTACAGCGGGCGCCAGGACGACACATGGGTCTCTATCAAGCCATGGCCGGGCTTCAACGGCCACGCAGGTGTAGGTTGCTACTCCTGGGGCGAAGGCACAACCACGTACGCCATGATGGCCAACAAAAACAACGCCGTAGAATTCTGGTGGAAAGACACAAACGTCAGCCTACCCTCGACCGAAACCCACCCCATCAACTCGTGGCAAAACGCCTCCAACGCCGCAATCGGAAACGTATACCCCATCACCTCGCTCGGCTACACCACCTACTTCTACGCCCAAATGGCCGACCGCACAATCCAGGGCTACAACGTCACGTATGCGGGCGAAAACACCACCTTCGTCGAAGACGAGACGTTTGCCATTACGGATCCGGCGGGGCCCGTAAAAGCGCTCGGAGGCACCCACATGACGGTTACGGCCTACAAGGATACGCATGGCCCCGAACCCTGGGATAGTTTGTACGTGTTTTTTCAGACGGCCGGAGACGACATTACGGCTTTTACGAGGGGCTTGACGGGCGGGCAGTGGACGGGTGCACAGTTGAATATTCCCGACGAGTAAAGAGAAAATACAGCATGTGCGGGTCACATATATTTTCTTTTTCTCGTTAGTTGAATGTAGATATCAATGGTTTTTATTATTTTACGGCCTGGATCACGGAAATACGCTCTTCTAGTTTTTTTCTAAAACACTTTCCTCTTTCGCTTATAAGATTTGCTTTTTTTGTTCCTTGTTTTTTTAGGGGAGGGAGCTGCCAAAGACCTTTTTACTCTCGTTTCGATACCACTGTCCTGGGTACACCGGCGTAGATTAACGATACCTTATTATCAATACGAGCAAAAAAACATTTGATACATGTGTTTAGTTGACAGTGTGAAACGTTGGAAGAATGTGAAAGACTTTTCATAACCATCACACATGCAGACACTAACCCCCAAGTGGGAATGCACGATATTTTTTTCTCTCTATCGTCGATGAGTTGGCCCAAACCCCCTTAATGCTTGTCTTTCCAAACGCCCCCACGAGACGCAGTTATTGGCAGGTTTCCTGGAAAGCATGTGGTAAGTGACGGAGCGGTATACATGTAGATGAGACAATAGGAGAAAAAGAATTTCTCAAAAAAGACAAAGAAAGACAAAGAGAAAGCATTATCTCTTTTCCATTTAATCCTTAAGCCGCGTACCTGCAATATCCTCTTGCGCATCTCGGAGGAGAAAACTGTGAGAGAGAGAACGGGGTTAGCCATGGAACTTTTCTTTGCGTTGAAAAAAAAAACGAAGGAAAAGGGGGGGAAAAGACGTACTTGTACCACAAGATGGTGGGCACCACGGTGCCCAAATGCCACAGACTATGAGCATCAATCATGCCCTTCCACGGCGGAAAATCCAACAACTCCAAACTCATGGCCATGATGATCCACGCCACGCAGATACCGGGCCAAACTGCCCACGTGCGCCCAATCTTCTTATACTGCACATAACTGAAGCCGCTCCACAGGATATTCGACACAATCCCCACCGCCACATTGGCAGCCATGTTGTACGTGTAATCCCACGACCAGAGCGACAGATACAAAACATGCAGCGTATACAGCACAATGCACAGCCCCGTCCACAGTCGTAGCAAGCTCTGCTTCCTCGGCTCCGGGCGATCGAGTCTGAACACGCGAATCGGCGCATAGTAAAGCCCATACAACACATTCGCGCCCGCCGCAAAATAATCCAGCTTCTCCGTGAGCCCCGTGTCCCTGGTGTGGAAAATCATGCTAAACGTCCAACTCGCTAGCCCCACATAGCCAAACAGCAAGTAGTATTTCCGCAGCGCATACGACGCCGGGATGCGTTCGCGCAGGCGTGTCATACCCCAGTCGTGCGCGAGGTAATTGAATAGCGAAAAGATGACGGAAAACGGTTCCTGGACCCCGAGGAAGCGGTAGAACGGCCACTTGCCGTGGAATTGATATACAGGCTGCATGTACGGCGGGTCGCGCGCAAGCCGCTGCTGCGTAATAATGTGTTGGCACGTGTAATCGCATTCCGAGGGACAATCCCAGAGGAGGAGACGGCGGTGGAATGCTATTATGCGTTAGCCATGTACATACTTTGCTACCTCCCTCCATTCCCATCCATCCCCATCCCCAAACGAAAAGAAGCCAGGGATTAAGCAAAGCAAAGCAAAAAAAAACATACGTATATCAACCACCTTCCCCTCCCCACAATTCGCCTCAGTACAAACCCTCACACACTCCTTAAACTCCGGTAAATGATCCCCCATGGATGCCCGTGCGACTCCGCATAAGAGCGCAAACATCACCACAGGCCATTGCACACCCTTTCGCACTTTCATATCTGTTTCGTTTTCGATTTCAATTTCGAGAAGATTTGGCGGCGCACCGACCAGCGGGAATATGTAATATGTATATAAAGGGGAGCAAGGCAACGCAAAAGCGATAACGACAGGGTTGGGTTGTTTTGCAGCAAAGTCGCGTGTTATCTGGCGTTTGTTGGCGTCGCTGGCGGGTGGATCGACAGGGTCTTGGCGGGTGAGTCCGGTAACTCCGGGCTTGCTGAACTTCCCTTTTGTTTGTGCTGTATATATTTTACAGTATTTCTGAAATGTTCATAATCACACAAGGGCGTATAGCTCAGTGGTAGAGCGCCCGCTTTGCATCAAGCAAAATTGCGGGAGGTCTGGATTTCGATCATCCATCCGTCCACAGCTGAGTAACCGAGTCCATTGGACTCATCCCCTCTTTTTTTTCCTTTTTTTTCTACTCTCAACATCACTAACACTACGCCTGTTCCCTTCTTCACTCCTCTTTTTTTTTCCGTCCATTGGCATTATTCAATGCACTCAGACGTCATAGCCTACCCTCAATACTCCCCCTAAAAAAAAGTATTATGTCGATATCGTCATTCTACATAATTCTTTTCTTGTTCTTCACAATTGCACAAAACACCACACACTGGATGACAAACAAAACATGTAGCTTCGTTTAAAAAAAAACCCCCCCCACAAAGACGTGAAACAAACTCCCTCCCCGTGCGCGCATCATGACAGCTTATATCGAATATGGAATCTGAAGAACAAGGTCTAATAATCACATTGTGTAATATTCCAACAGATGATATATATGATTGCACGCTTTTGTCTTGATTTTTTTTTTCTTCTTCTCCTATGGTAGCTTCTTCTGTTGCACCCTAACACACCATGCATACCAGTCCAACCATCTAACCCAGCTAGCTAGTCCAAGAGAAACCTCATTATCATCATCGTCGTATAACACATGAGGAAAGCTAACTATCGACCTGGTGGCAGATCAACCAACCATCCAACCAATCCCCTTACAAATAAAAACAAGACGGCGAGGGTAATAGTCCTATCAGAAGAAGAAGAAGAAAAAACCCGTCATATATTTCGCCGTGTGGAAAACCCCCATAGATGCTAGAGAAGAGGTAGACACACATGCACACACACACACGTCTAAACTTTAAGCCTGAATAGCGCGTCCCAACGCACCACCTGTAAACTGCTGATTCCTGCCTCCCCTTGGGCCTCCGCCTCCGCCCCTGCCGCCACCGCGGCCGCCGCCTCCCCTACCGCCACGGTTACCGCGTCCACCTTGCCTCTCAAATGCATTCGCTGTGCCCTGTGTACGTTGCTCGAGCGTCTTCTCGTTGGACTCGATAAGGCCTGATGCCTTGTCTGACAGGCTGAGCGCCAGAGTCTGGAGTCTTGACAGCTCAACACCCTTTCTGAAGATGATGGCCGAGTTGACCTGGTCAAGCGCCGCGGCGAGTTCCTCATGGGAAATCATCTTGGACACAACAGCAGAGACCTTGCGCTCTGGGAGCTCAAACATGCCCGCTAGTGTGGAGATGGCGAGTGTGTCGTAGAAAGGAGCGTAGGTGAAGAGATATGTCCGCAGACCCTCTTCTTGGATCTGTGCAGACAGCATCTCCTTGATCTTTTCCGAGTTGGCCATGAGCTCCCAGATCTTGATTGAGTTGATAAACTCGGCAGCCTTCTTCCACTCTCCAGCAGACAGCGCCTTGGATGCTTGCATGACGTGGTCGCGCGTGTTCTCAGGAGGGCCAGTGAAGATCTGGCGCTCATGGTACTCTAAGAGACGGCGGTATGTCTTGCTGATTACTCGCTTCCTTAGGTCCGGTGATGAACCAAGTTGTGCGAGCAAAGGAATCTCAAGCAACATGGAGCAAGTCAGGTAGACGCACTCTAGTAGCTCAAGGTTGATGTGCATGTGGAACGGAAGCTGTCGTTGGCGCTCAAGACGCTCCTGTTCGGGTGAGATTTGCGAGTAGCGCTGCATTTGCAGACCTTGTGCGAGAAGCTCCTTTTGCCTGTTGCTGCCGCAAATCTCTTGCAGTGAGGTTTGCGCCTCGTAGACCAGTCCGGCACGGAAAGCGCAGAGACCGACTTGGACGAGCGCACGGTTGAACAGAATCTGAGTGTTGACGTCAAAGTTGCTGATAGTCTCCTGCAGATGGGACATGAGCATCATGTCACGGGCCTTATAGTACTGGTCGTGCAGAGACAGGAAGTAAATCTGGCACAGCATCGCACGAGCGCGGATGATGCCCTCACTGTGACGGAAGAGGTATGTGCACAGAGTCTGAACCAGCGAGGCAGTGTCATTGGAAATGGAACGGGGAGTGATCTCCGAGTCGAGGCTGTCGGGAATAGCCTTCCATACGTTGTTCTCGAGGATGGTGATGACTTGCGAGGGCTGCAGACGTTAGCTAAATCATTGTTTGCATGCTCAAGTAGGTACATACCTTGAAGTAGACGTGCTCCAATCTCCGCATGACAATACGGTTCAGTGGCTCTTGGGGCAGTTCTAGGCTAGGGTTCTTCTTCAACTTCTCGACATACACCAGGGTGCGCACAAGCTGAGCATACAGGAGGGCCTCGTCGGTGAGGCGCTCAATGTACTCAGAGGTATGCGGGTCAATGTGCTGGAGGGAGCGAGTGAGCTCGTCATCGAGCCTCTCAACGAATGAAACAATGCTGCCAGGGATGCGGAAGATCTCGCCTGGTGTAATGGTAGGCAGCTTCTCGTCATCCTCCCACTCCTCGGCGTTCTCAATGACAACAATCTCCTTGCTGTCCTCAAGAATCTGCAGCAGCTTGCCAAATTCTTGGTCGGCACTGGATCAAAGTCAGCGGTCAATTCATTGCGAATCACTCAAGGCACACTCACAGCTTCCATTGATCCTGGTGCATGTGGCTGGCAGTGCCAGATGTCAGGTCAAAGCGGGTAGAGATGAGAGTCAAAAGAACGCGAATCCTCTGGTAGTCGTTGATGGCCACGTCGAACAGCTTCTCCAGTGTCCTGATGTGCTCGAGCTTGTCCGAGTTCTTGCGACCACGCTGCTCGACAATGGCGCGGAGGTGCTTGAGAATGCCCTCAGGTGTGTACAAAACAGCCTTGCCACCAGCACCGACAGTGATGAAGCCATCGTCTGTGGCCTGGTCCACGACCTCGGGGGCGAGCTGGGGAATCTTGTTCTTCTTCTTCTTTTCCTTTGGCGCCTGAACAACCTCCTCTTCCTCCTCGCGCATAAACTCCTCCTTGTTCTCCCGGTACGCATTGATGTCCTTTTCGTAGTCACGGTTGTGCTTCTTGATCTTCTGGCGCACAGCGTTGAAACCACGGCCGTTGACGGCATTCATCTTCTTGGGCGTGACCTTTTGCTTCTCGTGCGTCTCGATGACGGCCGTCTCGAGGTCGGCAATGGCCTGAATGTATAGCTTGGGGATCTTGCCATCGTTCTGCTTGATCAGGGTAGGCACCTGGCGGATGAGTTTGTCGAATTCTGTATGCGTCCATGTCAGCACATCTGTCCCACTGCCCCGCCAAGACGCACATTCCACATACGCTCAGAAATGACTGCCCAGTCGTTGATCCTCTGCGCATTCTCGATCAGGCGAATCGTCGCCTCGAGTTCGTCGAAGCGCTTGTCTTTGGCGCTCTTTAGCACCTTGTTCACATCCTCATCGTCGCTCTCGCTCTCGCTGTCAGCGTCCTTCAAGAACCTGGCGGCACCGAGATCCGAGCCAGAGTCCGAGGAGTCGTCGTCATCGGAATCATCGTCCGAGTCCTGCTCGCTGTCCTCCTGCTCAGACTCCTCGTCGTTGGAGTAGAGCTCCTCCTCGCTGGACTCGTCCGAGGAGCTGTCGCTGGCGGCAAAGAAGCGGGACGCCATGGTTGCTGGTCTCGAGAGTGGGAATTTGCCCGAGGGATCGAGGGGGGGTTTTGTATGGGTGGCGGGCGCCGTGTGGGTTTACAGAGAGTCACTTTCTGCCCGCGTTGCTGCAACTTTCCAACCGAATTTCGAGCCAGCGCTAAGCCATGACTGTGTGCCCCGCGCCTAACCCAATGTGGACGCGAACCTGCCTTCCCTCACCTCAGAGGCACAAGGCACCAGGCATATCGCAGTCATCTTATGAAGATCGAATGCTAATAGCAAAGGGTTTTTTTTATATTTTCAACAGTTTCCGTCTCTGTTTCCTCCTCCAGCATCGCCATCATGTATTTCATCAGAATAATTAGATCCAGCACAAAACTCGGGACTAAATATCAATACACAATAACAAGCCCGCATTCAAGGCGCACACCAAAGCAAACGCGCAGTGCTACAACAACTGGCATAGCCAAAACAAGCGTTTTTGTCAGGGAAAGAGGGTACTGCTAGAATTACACACACTTGCCGCCGTCCACCACATCCTTCACCTCTGGTATCACCATTTCCAGGCCACCCACATTCTTATTTCCTCCTGTCACATGTGGGAACCAGTCCATCCTCTGTCCAGGTAACCGTCCGATCAAAGGCACTACCAACTTACCACGACGGTCGATTTTTTTGGTGCAATCTGCAGAAGTAATCACGCTGACTCACGAGCGCCCGTTGCGAAATCGTGCAAAGCCAGTTGAGTGGGCTGAGCATCGCACGCAGTATGGCGCCGTATGGCCTCCTGCAAACCGGCGTGAACAATGGTGCGGCCCGCGCGGTCCCTCCGAGTTGTGCCCCTCGCTTCCATAGCTTCTTTATTCTCCTACTCATACCATAGACAATGTTGCTGACCAACGAACTCTGAGGGATGGGAAAGGGGGATATCAACAAGAAATCAAAACGCCGCATCTCCGTGTTGCACACAGCGCCTTTTCCCGTCTTTGTGTATCAGTGCAACAATCCAGCTCATCATTGCCAGTGGTTTTGGCCCACAAATCCTTCTTCGAGTGTGCGGTCTTCGAGATTGCGCACAAAGTTGTGGTTACGGTTCGAGTTGCCCGCCCGCGATCCTCTTCGCCTGGCGCTGCTTGCGCTCTCTGGTGCGCCATCAGGTGGAGGTGGGTAGTATGCCGGTGATGGTTGTAGGCGCACAGGCGCATTAGGGTCCAAGTGGCTCATAACCCTCTGCAGCGCAGGTGGAATTCCTGACTGCCCAGACTGTTGCTGATCCATTGTCGTTGCCCTTTGTCGTCCGGCACGAGTCGTGGCCTGCGCATACAGGTTTTGAGGTTGGTTGTATTGCCGCGGCTGTTGCGGCTGCATCATGTTCATAGGCTGACCATATTGTGCTGCTTGGGAGGGATAAGGTGGCGGTGCACCTTGATGGTTGGGTGTGTACATGTTGTAGGGATTTTGCTGAGCTTGCGGGCTCTGTGCGGCAGCGTATTGGTTCATCTGCATGTTTGCGTAGGCGGCATGTTGGGCTGCCTGCGCTTGTTGCTGCTGCGCGACCGCTTGCTGTTGCTGTTGTTGTCGCTGTCTGCTCAAGCCCTCGTATCGCTGTTGTTCTTGAACACCCGGTGCTGGCGATCGGCTTGAGCTGGACTTGAGTGTCATTGGAGGTACGAATGGCCCAGTAAACTTGGCCTGTGTGATAAATGGATGAAGCTTCGCCTGAGCGGGGGTCCAGCGTTCGAGGGGATTGAGGTTTAGCAATCCCTGGGCGAAATCGATAAAGGCAGCTCGGTTGCCCATTTCTACCACGTGTTAGCTGTAAAGTTGAGTATGGAATTGATGCTGCTCACCTCGCTCGATCTCGTTGGGCTTCATATTCTTCCGCGGCATGGGATAGTTCTTGATAATGTCTGGCAGGGTCGTGGCGGAGAAGTACTTTTTGCTAGGCTGCTCCTTGGTTCCATGCTCCCTGGAATACTGCTCCATGGACTTGAGCCGGTACTGTTTGCGACCGTACTCATCCTGTGACTTTTCAAAAAACTCTCCAGACTGTTTGCCCATTTCTAACATCCAATGTGGTGGTAGTCCGAGCATCTCTGTTATCCGCGAAACCTGGTTGTATTCGGACGAACCTGGGAAAAGTGGCAGACCGAGGAACAGCTCGACGACAATGCAACCCAGTGACCACATGTCGATTGCTGCCGAATATGGTAGACCAAGCAGAACTTCTGGTGACCGGTAAAATCGTGATTGGATGTACGTGTACACAGTTTGGCGTTCGTCGCATGCGGAACCGAAATCGATAATCTTGATGATTGGGCTTTCAAGGCTGTCATGCTGTTAGATACTTCCTCACATACAAAGACTAGTGTACGCACTTTTTCAGAAGAATGTTCTCAGGCTTCAAATCACAATGTATGAGTTTGGCCTTTCCGAGCAGTGCCAATCCATTGATCAACTGCTGCGCAAAGACGCGCACCAGGGTTGTTGACAATCCGCGGAACTGATTCTGCTTGATCAGTTCGTAGAGGTTGACACTCAGCAGCTCAAAGACCAGACACAAATGTTGCCTGTGAATAAAAGTGTCCTTGAGTCTCAACAGGTGGTGATCATCGTTCTTATCCATCTGCTTATTCAACTGCGTCTTGTTAGCAGCTGCCCGCAGTATTCTGTAAGGACGCAACCTACCAAGTCAAGTACAGAAACCTCCATCATACTCTGATTAAAGTATGCTGTCCGGTTCTTGATCACCTTGACGGCTACTACCTCCTGTGTCTTCAAGTTCTGGCACTTGACGACCTGTCCGAATGTGCCCTGTCCCAGCACGTCCAAGATCAAGTAGCGGTTCTTGTGTCCAGACTCCTCCGATCCCAAAATGTCGTTGACATACAAAATGTAATCACTGTCCTCGTTGTCATAACCGTCATTCTTGACTCCTTTGCTCGGCTTGGTAAGGACGCGACGGGGATTTCGCGACGATTGGTAATTGAATCCACCATTGCATAGCTTGTACGTCATAGGCAGATGAGCAGTGAGAGCTTGGAGGGGCTGTTTGTTCAATCATGTCAGTGAAGTTTTGCTGTTCATACATGGAGTAATACATACACTGATGAAGCCTCCCTCTGGGTTGGCGCGACGGAATGGCGGTTGGGCATTGATCTTGGGCTGCAAGTCGGCAGTGTTGGAGACTTTTTCGAACTTGGGAACCGGTCCTCGTCCAATGGGCGGCAGATGGGGAGGATTCGAGTTGGAATTGGAAGTCGCGCGCGGTGACCGGTTATCTCTATTGTAGACAGCATTCAGCTGTGCAGTCGCAGACTGCGGGTAGAAGCTCTCTTGGCCCATGTTGGACTGGATGGGAGGCAGTTGGGGCGCATGTGGGCGGGAAGCTAGAGCAAAAAGACAATCAGTATACGAGGGTGTTTAAAGAAATCAGGCTTGGGCAGGCAACGCTCGACATACATGGCGGAGAGTAGTAGCTGCTGGGCGGCGACATGTAGGGATTGTTGCGCGTAGGGCTCTGGCGGCTGGCCTGTGTCTGCGCCTGCGCTTGGGACTGGGACTGAGGGGTAAAGCTGGTGTAGCTCTGACCACCCTGCTGCGGGTTGCCCGAGTAGGGCGATGTGGGGGAGAGGTTCATGGGCGAATATCTGCGCGCAGCAGCACTCTCCTCTTGCTGGATGAACTGCTGCGAGTGGCGCTGCTGCTGGGTTGGGCGCGCAGCATTGAGCCTTGGCTTGTAGGCATCCTCCATGGGCACGTCACCATCGCCGTCGTTGTACTCGGGGCGGGGGCCTGCAGCGGCGGCGGCGGCAGCACCAGCACCGCCAGCACCAGCGGGCGATTGCATGGCGATTGAGTTCTGGCGGGAGGGGGTTGCATAAGCGTCCTGCTTCATCTGCGACGACACGCTGGCATCCCGCGAGGCATGCGGGGGCGATTGCATCGAGTGCGAATATCGGGCGCTCGGGGTGTCTGAGTAGGCCGTCCACTGGGGCTCCATGACGTCGGGGCGGTGGGTGGGCGGCGGTTGGGGTTGGGCGACGGAGTCGCGGCGGGAGACGAGATTGAGCGCTTCACTAGAAGCGGAGCATGCCGATGGACGTGGAGCCTGTGAGGGAGCGGGTGGTTGATGGGTGGTGGTGGTCGTGGGCGTGGGTGTCGGGGTTGACGTGGTGGTGGTGCTATGGCAAGAGGTGGTCCAGGGTACACGGCCGAGACGAGACGGGGAGGGCGCGCCAGTCCCGTCTAGGAGGGTCGAGGGCAATAGTGCGTGTGGGCGTGTAAGAGAGTGTGAATGAGGGAGAGAGAGAGAGGGAGAGAGATAAGTCGGGTGTGGCTGTTGCGGGGTGTGTCTACGTGGTCAGCGGCAGCGAGGATGATGGGCTGGAGTGCTGCTGCTGTGACCCGAGGCAGAGAGGCCGTAGAGGAGCAAGACGAACGAGGCGCACCCAGGGCAATATTCACACCGGGTCAAAAGGATGGTATGGCAGAGGTCAGCCGTACCCGAAGCGCTGAGGTTGGCGCCGTTGCAACCTCGATGGATTGGGCTTCTCTGCTTGGTCACGCTAGCGACGGATGCAGCCAACCTCTTCATGCCCTGCCACAGCTGCTCGCCCGTGGCGTCATTGCTGGGCTGGCTGTCTCCAGCAATACGACAGTGCTAGTAGCAATACTGCTACGACTAACTCGACGACTTACTACTCCTGGCCTGCTACCAGCAACAGCCACACCGATGGCCTTGGGCAGCCATGCCAATTGCCGCAAAAGGTCGCCTTGTGCGCGTCACTGCGGCTGAGATTGGTACCCACACATTCCTTCATTCCATTGTGCCGCCCACCCTGCTCCAGCAAGGAACCATCGCGACCGCAAACATCTCGCGACCCCACATGCAAACAACGTCTTTCATAAAGTCCAGCATAACCTTCTCTGCCCAGCCCCAGAACCGCTTGTCGGCACGCAACAGCGCAGACAACCAAGGACCTAGTGACATCAGCAAACACGACCGTAACCTGTAATGAGACTTTTGAAAAAATCATCACACATCATCAAGCCAAGACCTCATTCCTCAGCGTAATCATTGGCGGAAAACAAACAATTGCTGTCATCATTATCGTCGTCGTAGCAGCCATTGGGCATCAACCTCGGACATTTTCTGCTCTCTCTCATCTTACTCGCGCACCTCATACCCACCCAACACATGGCCGTTATCCCACTTTGCCGGCTTTTCAAAGAGATTCCTCACCATCTCGCCTCCCCTGGTCGCCAGCACCGAAAGCAACGTGTCACTCAGCTGTGCGCGTCGTGTTAGCCAAACCCAATGCAACAGGGGGAAGGTGGGAAAAGTGAAATGAAAAGGAAGAACAAGGACAGGGCAAAACTTACACCATGCGTACTCTCGCAGCATCCCTGCAGCCAAACCCCAGCATCCTCACCCACGCTCTTCTCCGTAAAGTTGACCCGGTAATCCCTCTGCACCTGCCATTTGGCACCCTCCAGCTCGCCCCCAGGCATAAGGTGTCTGGCGTCCTTGAGCAGCGTCTCGTGTAGGTCCCGCAGGTAGCCCGTCGCAACAAAGACGGCATCAACGTCCAGCGTCTCCTTGCGTTCCTGACCCCCAGCTTGCTCAGAAAAGTACAGCGCACTCGAGTCCTGGACGTGCAGACGCACCCCGCCCTGGCATACCGGCGAGTCCGTCACGTCCACCACCCGTCGGTAGGGTAGGATGCGGTGAGGCCAGTGGGCTTCTTCGGCAGGCGAGTTGCCATAGCGGATGCGCTGCATGTACAGAGTCTCGTAGATGTGCTCGAGGAGTCCCAGTCGCACGACGCCGTAGTTTGTGCCCTTGTCTTCGACTAGCGTTGTTGCGCGCAGCTTTGGCGCGCGGTTGTATGTGCAGTCGGTCCGCGAGGGGTTGAAGATCTCGTTCACGCTGGTGTCGGTTAGTTTCGTCTCTGCTATACACACACGCACATTCACACTGCATGTCAACTTACAATGGTGAATCATCACTGGGTCGCAGTGCGCCTCCCTTGATAAGTAGTCGTGTGCGTGAGTTGGGGTAATTTGCGTGTAAAAAGTCAAAGATCTCAGCAGCGCTCTGGCCGTTACCAATCACGGCAATGTTGTAGGGTGCATCGTGGTCCTTGAGAAGCTGCTTGGACATGTACGAGAATTTAGACGAGTGGATGACTCTGGGGTGGTTGGTAGGGAAAGGCGCGGGGATGTTTGGCCTGCCTCCCGCAGCAATCACCACATGCTTTGCTCTCCGCGACTCAGTGCGCCCTGTGAGGTGGTTTTGCGAGATGACGTTGAAGCTGGTGATTTCTCCACTGGCCGACTTCTCAGGCATCACCTTGACCACTTCCTGGCTGTATGCCACTACCTCTTCGAACCAGCTGGCACACCACTTCATATAGTCCTCGTACTCGACACGCGCAGGTAGAAACGTGTTAAGGTTGGCAAACTCGACCAGGCGATCCTTTTGGTGCAGGTAGTTGAGAAAGGTAAACTCGCTGCGCGGGTTGCGCATAGTTGCCATGTCCTTCATAAAAGTGATTTGCATCTTTGCGCCTGGTAGCAGCATACCGGCGTGCCATGCAAACTGCGGCTGCTTCTCCAGGAAAGCAACTTTTGGCGGTCTGCTCTGGAGGCCCTGAACATCAGATAGCGAGGCATCTGTCCCGTCGAGCGCATCGTGCAAAGCCACGCCAATGGCCAGCGACGCCGGGCCAAAGCCAACGCAAATCATGTCGTGCAGCTCGTCTTGCGGGGTATATCGAAGGTGCGATCGGTTCTCCAAAGCGGGGAACTGGCTCTCATCAATGTTGTCTGTCAGGAAGCCATTGAATGCCTTTTGCACCGCTGGAGCTGCACCGTCTGGCGAGCCTGACGACATATCGACGTGAGGACTCATTGTTGGGTATAGTGGGTGTGTATAGTAGCACTGTTGGCTGTCAGTTTTGGTTGCCCATGTTGCGAAATCGCGGCTCGTGCTGTCAAACCAGCAAAAGTATCGAGTGACGTACCTTGGTTCCTTGTCACGGTGACTTGAACGCTGGTTAAAATGCGTGGATGTGTGAATGAGGGGTCAGTCACTCCGCACGTTAAACAGGAACCTAGAGCGCTATAGGTACAATCGCAAGCTGTCAGCGATTTTTTATCATATCAGATGGATTGAACAATGACGTCTACACTCGACGCGAACAAACGGCACGAGTTTGCGATGGAGACAACTTACAAAGTTGGCTACGTCCCAGATACACACTCTCTCAAGTGCAAGTTGGTCGAGACAAAGAGCTGTCCTTCTACTCGTGATATGGGAAGTGAAAGTAACAGCGGTGGCCATTGTTTCTGTATGTATTGTAGGCCGGGCGAGGGGACCACGGCCAGCCGTGCCCAAGACCCGTCCTTGGGCGTAGTTTGGATCCATGTCTCCATCCCAGGGCCCCATGCAGCCCACTCGTCAGACAATGGTCCGATGTCTTTTCGTAGCAAAATGAAACTAGCTTTGGATGTAGAAGGACCCTTGCGGGCCGGGCGCCAGGCAGAGAGTTGCAGTTGTGCCACCAGAACTGGCGATTCGCTAGCCCAAGCGTGATGGATGGCCGAAGCCGCCCCCCATGTCACTGATCTTCCGACACACACCATCTGATAAGATGAGTCTCCTGCTCTCCCAAGACAAACCCCCGATATGACCACGGAACGCCCCGGACGCGCATCAAGCGTGCAAAAAAATTTTCTTTCAAATGTCGCCCCGCAGCGCTTGACCCCGTCTTTACTAGAAAAGTGCGTATTGGGCGTGGGGTGCAGTGGGTAATCATCCCAGCAAGTGTGTCTTGGCTGATGAGAATTATCAGATGGAAAATCATCAGTTCATCTGATTAGATGAAGAGATTTCGCCCGCCCGCCCCTCGGACCGCCCTCGGCCTTTGCGCCTTGGGCTGCCTCATACTACACACTAACTATTGCTCCTAGAGTCCCCCTTCGATGCGTGTGCGTGCGTGCATATGGTCGGACCTATTGCTCGCCTTGGGCTAGCTACATGTACTGGAAACCGCTGATCGCTCTGAATGCATAAATGCCGTCCTGCCTGTGGGCTGACCCTGATGACGAAGGAGGCGTTCAGGGACTGACCCTTTGCCAACACTCAATTGCCTTGGGTTGCTGCCTTTGTATTAGAAAAGGTAGAATGAATTTGAATGCTTGAGCAGATCCACAACCGCATTGCTGTAGCACGTGCACACATGTGACCATGAATCCTAGTCAGTGGCATGCCGCAGTATGTATTTGGATTTGGTCAGCCCCAATAGTCTACTGTACGCTCCAGACCCACTTCAACTAAGTACGTACACAATTAGCTATATTTCCGGTAATAGCCTAGACATTAGTGCCAAAACATGTCGGTCAAACCCAAGCGCTTGTCTACTGCACAACAAGGCCCATGCATGGTGGCCAAGATGGCCGTCTGTTTGATATGCCTACAAGCCTATCTCAACACTATCTAATACCTGATCAACTAGCAACATGGTCCGCCGGGTGTTTGTGCAAAGAACAAAATAGGAAAACTAACAGAGAGGAAAGAAATACCGGGATACCGAGCTACATGTATATAATACAATCCATACTGATGTACAGAAATCCAAAAAAAATATGGCACAACCTTGCTATGTGGTAAAAATTGGGTTTGATGACAAACGCTTAGTCCAGCTCCTGCGTAGCAACCATGCCTGCATAGATGCCTCCTAGGGCCACAAGCTCCTCGTGTCTGCCCTGCTCAACAATTCGTCCCGCATCAAACACAAATATGCGATCGGCATGTTGTACGCTTGCCAGTCGATGGGCAATCATAATTGTCGTTCGACCCTTTGAAGCAGCAGCAATCGCTCTCCTGATGTCCCTCTCCGTGTTAGCATCAAGCTGCGATGTTGCTTCATCGAGCAGTAAAATTTCCGGATCACGGATGAGTGCTCGGGCGATAGCGAGACGCTGGCGCTGGCCGCCAGAGAGCTTGGAACCATGCGCTCCCACCTCGGTGTTATAGCCTTCTGGTAAACTCATGATGAAGTTGTGCAGTTCGCACTCTTTGGCCACACGCTCTATGTCTGCATCGCTACTGGTGGTACCTGGGCGATCACCAAGGCCAATGTTGAACTTGACTGAACCGGGGAAGAGGTCTGGCTCTTGCTCCTACTCGGGTCAGCCACCCTATCTCAGAAGAGTGAGGGATGATTCTTATATCAACTTACCACTAGTGCTAGACGGGCGCGGTGGTCACGAACAGGTTCTTGGCGAATGTCCTGACCATCGAGATACACTTGCCCAGACGTTGGATCAAAGAATCGTTCTATCAGATGAATCGTACTCGATTTGCCAGCCCCTGCGACAAAATCAGTCATTATCTTACCATCTTTCGAGAATCTCTTACCTGAACGGCCAACGAATGCCACGTTCTCGCCTGGTCGTATCTGAAAAGACACATCATTCAACGCAGGGACAGTCGGCCGACTCTCATAATGAAGGCTGACATTACGGAACTCGAGTTCTCCTCGAACGCCAAAAGTACCGTATGAAGCTGAAGCTGTAGACTCAGATAACAGACCCACAGTATCTGGTGTGGTATTTGTCGGCAAAGACGTGCACTCTGTCATGATCGTGGGCTTCTCATCATGCAGTGAAAATACGCTCTGCGCGGCAGCTTTTGCGCGTGTCACTTCTGGTGCCAGACTGAACAGCTGGCCTGCAGATTGCGCAGAAAACAGCAACGCGGGAAGTACAATAAAAAAGTCTCGTTGCGTGTAGTTGCCACTGCGTACTTGTTTAGAGCCCCTAGATAGCGTTAGCATATGAGTTGCATGATGTGTATGGGCACCACTCTTTCGATTGGCAATAGCAACAGGAAATGATGTTACTTACCACCAGTAGGCCAACGAGTACACAAAGTAAGTAATTGACAAGGAAAATGCAAACAAAATATTGCCAAGCATGCTAAATCGAAGATGCTCTTCGTACGGTTTCCGTATTGCTTCCCTATAGGCTTGGAAGAAGTGCTCTTCAAGGCCAAAGACTGCGACAATCTGCATCGAAGATGTTGCCTCAGATGCCAGGGCTGCCGCTCCATTATATGCAGTTTGGTGGTGGTCCTCTGCAATAGCCAAAATGCGAAGACGGAGGAAGCCAGCGAGAAGCATGACAGGCACGGCTGCCAGTAGCACTATAGCAATCTTCCACGCTACAATATGAGCTAGAATGATGCCACCAACCACTGAAGTCGCGATCGAAAATATCGTCCCAAGTATAACACCGGATAGTCCGCTGATGCTTCCACTATCAGAGTTTAGTCGTGACATGAGCGCATGATGAGAATGTCCAGGCTTGGAGAACCACGCAATGTCCTGTTGCAAGATGGTCCGGAAGGAGAGGTCTCGGACTCGCAGAGTAAGGTTTTCGGACACAATACCGAAAGCCGTCTTTCCAAAAGAGTGAGAGGCCAAAGCAACAATGGCCAGAATAAAGAAGAGTAGACAGTAAAATGAAATTTGGCGCGTGGTATCGTCAGACCCGCTGGTGTCGTTCAGAAGTTGTACCAGATTTCCAAAAATGAGCGCCTCTCCAATGATAACCGCACCACTAAACACTGAAGAAAATAGACCGAGGGCAATCGCCGGTGCTTCAAGGCGGCTCAACGACAACGATCTCCCAATCAGCTCCGCAGCATTCATTTTGCGCTGATTGCCCGTTTCGCTCGAGCCTCTCGAATCTTGTTCCTCAACATCGTTTGGCACTCGCTCGTCTTCCGTGTGAGAGTGTCGTATACTAGAACGTGAAGACGAAACAGCAGATGGGCGGCCTTTCTCAAACTGCTGTGCTCTGATAAGTTCGGCATATATACCGTCTCTTTGTTGAACAAGAGATTCATGATTTCCATCTTGCTCAATAGTGCCGTCCCGCATCACGATGATACGATCCGCATCCTTTACAGTAGCAAGTCGATGCGCAATAATGATGGTGGTTCGGCCGGTCGCAGCTGAGGAACGTCGCAGATTCTCGAGAACTACAGCCTCGCTTGTGGCATCCATTGCGCTTGTGAATTCGTCTAGAAGAAGTAGGGATGGGCTCCTGACCAATGCGCGGGCAAGAGTAATACGCTGTTTTTGGCCTCCAGAGAGCTGCGACTGCGGGCCAGTTCCAATCTTGGTGTGGATTCCCTCGGGCAGACGCTCCAAAAAGTCGCAGTATGCTTCGGTTGCCGCTGTCTGACATCGAGAAAGAATTTCATCTTCTGTAAGATGTTGAAGTTCTCCCTGGGGAATACCGTGCTTGATGTTGTCAAGGATAGATCCTGTGAAAAGTACCGGATTTTGTGTGACAAGTGCAATATGTGAGCGTAAGCTATGAAGGTTGAAGGACTTCAAATTATCCTTCCCAAGGCTAATGTTGCCATATGTGGGATCGTACAGCCGCAAGAGCAAAGAGGCGATGGTAGACTAATAGTTGGATAATGTTAGCATGTTCTTTCATGACTTTACGGAACAACTTGCTTACCTTTCCAGATCCTGATGGACCAACAAGGCCCGTGACTTGCCCAGGCTTGAGACGCAGATCAACACTGTCAAGGATACGAACGGTAGGCCGAGCAGGGTAGACAAACGAAACTGCCGAGAGCACCAACTCTCTCTCAAAATGCACTTTTTGGGCTGGCTTCCCCTTAGCAGAGTAAACGTCGATCTCGGAAGTGGGGTGATCCAGGACATCCAGTACTGCAGCTCCAGCAGCAGCAGCCATTGCAAATGTTTGTATAAAAGGTCCAAAAGAACCAACGACAAAGGAGGCATCTAGAATGAGAAAAACGACAGCGTAGATAGTTCCTGCTTCAGCGCTGCCATGTCGTAGGTGATCGCCATACCAGAATGCAAGTGCATTGGTGGCGTAAGCCACAAAGTAGACCGAACCAAGCATAAGAGCACCCGCAAAGCTCTTCTTCACTCCTATCCTGAGGGCAGAACGAAGGTGATGCACATGTTCTTCGCTGAGTCTTTCAAAGAGGCCAAAGGCCTGCACAATCTGGACTGCTCTGATGGCACTTTCTGCAACAGAAGAAGCCTTCTCGGTGTATATTGAGGCTTGCTTGGTAAGATCTGAAACGGTCTTGGTGCCAAAGCAGACAACGAACGCCATTGAAGGTATTACAGTGAAGAACCTGACGTTGTCAGTCGACGTTTGTTAACTGGGTACAGAGTGTGATTACATTACCCCAGTAAGCTTTGCGTTGAGCAAAAAGCCTACAGTGAATGCAGAGATGAAGTAGCTGATTGAAGCAATGAAGAGGCCTACTTTCTCCGAGGTTCCAAGCTGGATGGTTTGAGTCTTTTCGGTGAGGATGCTGGACAAGTCCGGCGCGACAGTGTCTGATGAGGATATTGAGTTAAGATTTACTCAATCGAATGGATATTCAAGTCGAAACGCACCATAATAGGCCATGTCCATACCAAGAGCACGACGAAGGAGCCTCTCTCTGGTTTTCCTACTAACGCGCTCGCCCGTGACGGCCCAACATACGGACCATCCCCACGTGACAAAAAAGTAGCCAACCGCAACTGACATGAGACGGTAGAGCAAATGTCTTAGCTCATCCGCATTTGGCGGGAAGTTGTTGATAATGCGGCCTAGAATCACGCCTATTAACGGGAGTGGCAGGCCTGCAAGCACAGCAAATATTATGGCCAGCGCTAGGATGGCTTTGGAGCTGGTGTCATCCAGCTGCCTGTACAGAGTGAAGTAGGATGTTCTAAATGGGTTCAGTCCTAGGATCTGGCGAATGAAGCGCTGACGAAACAGCGTGGCGCTCTCGAAAGCCTGAGGTTGGACTGTTGCCAAGGACGGCTCTACGTGTCTCTCCCATTGCGTACTGTGGAGAACAGAACATGTCTCTTCGATTTCGCTGTCGTCGGAATCAAGAAGAGGCAGGCTTTCCGAGCTCGCATCGTCTGTGTAGTCTGGCATTGTGACGCGTGCGCCGGGCGTCATAGACTGCGATGCTCCCGGATTGAGATGTAAGCGCAGTCTAGTAGTACTAACAAGGAAGCGTCATGGGTAGGCGAATAAGAGAAAGAAGAAAGCAATGGTAGCACAAACTGCTGGGCTATGAGGGATAGCAACGAACCATGGGAGTGATGTTGATGATTTGGCTGCACTCAATGTTTGAGAGTAAGGCTAAGGCAGTCAATAGCCCCGTCTTGGCGCCCCATGTTCCTGTTCCTGTGACGTGCGCTTCATGTCAACGACGCCAAGTTTCCAGTAGCCGGTGATAGTCAGGCACGCGCACACCCACCCTGAACGAGAGCTCATGAGATGGAAGGTGAGTGCTCTTTATCGACGACGCGTGGACGTCGACACAGATATGCGATATGACGAACTCGTCTCTTCCTTGTCGCGGACCTGTCACGCAGAAGCCGGACGCGGGACGGACGGGACATGGACAGGCTGCGTAAGGCTGGGCTGGGCTGGGCACAGTGGAAAGTCGATGATGCAAGAGAAGACAGGGGATACAGGGGACATGTTCCATCTGATAACTCGGACCAGCAGCATCTGATAAACTTTTCGGGGATAATGGCCGCCTTCGGATTCTGAAGTTTGAGCACGGGCATCGCCTCTACTGATTTCAGCTGATGGTGGGTGGTCCCGCGCGACACCTGACTTTTCCCCACTGCCTACCCTGCCCAACAAAAGATGGAACACCGATGCCGCTTCAACAAAGTCATGCAATTCTAGTCAGAGACCAGGGCGTGCGTACGCTATTGCTATAGTATTTGTCGACTACTTACGTTGGAGTTTGGGGATGCGGCGCCGAGCTGGCGACGCACGGGTGAATGTCCGACCACATGCGACTGTCACTGCGTGGGACGGTCTCGAAGCTAGTCGCTCTATGTCTCTGGTGGAGCCCTGCTACCGCGTCCTGATTTGTTCCAGTCTGGAATCGAGTTTTCGCCTTGGCCCTCTGGCCGTTGGTTATCCATGCAATAAGGCAGGCAGCTACTTCACATTATCAGATCTTACCCGCCGCTTGTCGAATGACACGCCCACCCGCCGGTCGACTAGGATGTATGACGCTTCGGTCCACCCACTCCGGAAAACGCCATCGCAGTCACGGAGCAGCCTGCAGTCAAAGAGAATGTTAACTTGACTTTCTAACCTTGTTTTTCCTCCTCCAGGCCACAAAGCTCGCTCGTGCACACTCTTGTCTTTTGGCAAGCTTGTTCGTTAGACGTTCTTTACCTACAGCGTACTTACTCTCAACAACGTCTTCACACTCTATACCCACACATCAGACCAACACTCGAGCATAACTCAAGCATAGCTGCCTACACCCGTCATCACGTGCGTCAGTCTTGTGCACACATCCAAGTGCGCATGTACTTGGACCCCTCCGACCAATCAACGTGTCCCAATTTCTCATCATTGCGAGTTGCCATTGAATTATCCTCTCCCCTAATCCTTCGAGACATTAGCTACGGGTATACCCTCTTTGTCTTTCAACTTGATTTGTTATGTGTGTTGGAACAGCAACATTTCAAGTATCTTGAACATCACATACCCTCCTGCTATAATCATGCCATTCGCTACAACTCCTTGCGAAATGGTCCACAAAAATGGTGTAAACCAAAATTTGTCGATATTGAACGGGCAGCCTTTGTTTTTGGAAGGTCCAGACCTCCTTCACCAACTAGTTCCGCGACTGCATCACGATGCGAACGCCATCGATTTCCTGGAACACGGATCGAAAAGGCGAAAGTTCTCTTACACCACACTTCACTCCTTGAGTGATGCCTTCGCCGCTAGAATTACAGAAATACTGGGCAAGCTCGAGAGTGCTTCGTCCATTATTCCGGTATTTCTACCGCAGTGTCCAGAGCTTTACGTAGTTCTACTGGCTATCCTAAAGGCGGGGAAAGCTTTTTGTCCACTCAACCTCGACACACCAACAGAAAGACTAAAGTTCATTCTTGAGGATGTTTCAGCTGATATCATAATCACATTCGGATCCTACAGCGAGCATATCCGCACAGCGGCCAACATCCATATTGTAGCAGCAGATCGCGAACTTGCTGGTTGCCATAACACCTTCCATCATGACTCGCCGCAGCCAAGCCCTGATGATCTTGCGTATGTGCTGTACACATCGGGATCCACTGGGTTACCCAAGGCAGTGAGCGTGTCTCACCGCGCCGTCACTCAAAGCTTGCTCGCTCACGACCGTCACATTCCAGCTTTTTCTCGTTTTCTTCAGTTTGCTGCCCCTGTGAGTGTCAGGTGTTCAAACACTGTTCGTCATGCTAACATATCAAAAGACTTTCGATGTCTCCATATTTGAGATATTCTTTCCATGGTTTCGAGGCAAAACTCTGGTTGGCTGCACACGCACACAAATGCTTGATGACCTTCCAAGGACTATAGCTAACCTTGATGTGGACGCTGCTGAACTCACACCAACAGTCGTGTGTAATCTTCTATCCGGTCGCTCGAGTGTGCCCGGTCTGAAATTGTTACTCACTATTGGCGAGATGCTCACACAACCCGTCATCGATGAGTTCGGTGGCGATACGACCAAAGAGAGTATATTGTGGGCTATGTATGGTCCAACAGAAGCTGCAATCCATTGCACGATATGGCCACAGTTTTCGACGTCCGATTCAACCAGCACAATAGGCCATCCATTAGACACTGTTTCCGCTTTCATCCTTGCACCTTCTGCTGGACTACACACCCCACCCGTTGATATACTTCCGATCGGGCAGGCTGGTGAACTTGCAATAGGAGGCCCTCAAGTTGCTAAAGAATACCTCAACCGGCCAGACCTTACAAGTACATCCTTCGTCGAGCATCCGTATTATGGTCGCCTCTACAGAACTGGCGATCGAGCAAGGATTAACGAACATGGGTTTCTGGAGTGTCTCGGACGTGTTGTGGCTGGTCAAGTAAAACTGAGAGGTCAGCGAATTGAGTTGGGCGAAATTGAGCAAGCCATCATGAAGACAAGAGGATGTCGTGCAGTCACTGCAATGGTCATACAGGACAACCTGGTCGCTTTCTGCAGTGGACGGGAAGGGATGTCACGCGGAACTGTGTTGACGACCTGTAAGCACTGGTTACCTGCATCTATGATACCATCGGATGTGTTTGTCATCGACGTAATGCCACAACTACCATCGGGTAAAGTCGATAGGAGCTCTCTTGAGAAGGCATACCTGCGCTCACACTCCAACGGGTCGTCGTCGTCTCTTACTGGCAGCCTAAAAGACCCAGTGAGTCACTTGATTTGGGGTGTCGTCAGCCATCACACCGCGCAGAATGTCGGGTTGGGGACCAACCTTGCATCCATTGGAATAGACTCTCTCAAATCGATCCGCATTGCGTCTGCGTTGCGAAGAGAAGGGTATTCGCTGGGAGCAATCGAAGTACTATCTGCTGTGACCCTTGCAGATCTCATTGATGTTTGCAGGGGATCCAAACCGGTGGCTTTTCCATCTCCAGGCAAGGAAACTAAGCCTAAAGCTTTCATTGATACGAGAAACCTTCAACTCAATGGCTGGCGCCATGATGTCGCTTGCATACTTCCGTGCACTCCATTACAGGAAGCCATGCTGGCAGAAACGAGATCGAGGCCCACGGCATACTGCAACTGGGTTGAGGTAGAGCTTTCAGTTGCTTACACCTATGAGCAGATCCAGGATGCTCTCATTCTTCTGGCCCAGGAGAACGAGATACTGCGTACCGGTTTCTGCGTTGATTCTCAGCATACGACAGTGTTCTCACAAATCGTCTGGAAGGAGCTCTCGCTTTCTCAAATCCAGAAAGTAGCCAGTTTCTCTAAGAAGTATTCGATGCAATCTGACCATGATATTCTCCGACCGTTCGGCGTCCAGGTCAGGACTCATTGCGAACTCCCCCGCCTGCTCTTCCAAATGCATCATGCTCTATATGATGGCTGGTCCTTGGACTTGCTACTCCGTGATCTTGATCATTGTCTTCGTGGGAAGCAGGACCTGAAGAGGCCATCATTTCGGGAAGTTGTACGTTACTTCGACGATGACCGACGGCTCAACAACATCCAAAGCTCTACAAACTACTGGAAAAGCCTTCTTGGTGACTATATCCCAACGACTCTGCCCAACTACCATGGAAAGCTGGTTCATAACGCAAACATACATCGACTTTCCGGACAATCATGTGTCAGGCGGCACAAGCTTTCCGAGTGCGCTCATCAATCAGCTGTCAGCCCACAAGTCTACTTCCAGGCGGCCACTGCGTTCGTGCTCAGTCTTTACAGTGGCTCTAGTGATGTGGTACTAGGCAACGTAACTTCTGGGCGTACAATCCCTGTAGCTGGCATAGAAGATATTATCGGCCCTTGCATCGCTTCCCTCCCATTTCGTATCGATTTTGCAGACGCTTATTGCATTCGAGATGTCTTGAAAAGAACTCAATCAGTAAACAGGGACAGTCTACGTTATAGTCAGCTTCCACTGCGTGAGATAGCAAGGGCTGTCGATGTCAAGCCTGGAGCACGATTGTTTGAAACCTTGTTTGTATGGCAACAGTCAATGGTCTCGGATAACAATGCATCATTGATCGCCAAGATTGTCGATAGCGCAGACGAACTGGAGTTCCGAATAACGTTAGAGTTCGAACCAGTAGGGGACAATATCTTGTTCCGGAGCACATTCGACGCCGCAACTGTATCAGACCATCAGATTCAGTACCTGTTTCGGCAAATCGATGAAGTAGTGGAGATGTTCATGGCAGATGCCGATCATCACGTAAGTGCGATCAAACAATGCTTTACCACGCCCTCCTTGTCGATTGCCAACCCCACGCCTCTGGAGCAGCGCTTTGATCACGGCCCTTCTCATGCTGTAGAGCAATGGGCGGCGACTGATCCACACCGAACAGCTATAATCTTCGGCCACGAAGTCAATGGGTCAATGAAGGTCAAAGACACAATGACTTACAGCATGTTGAACTCACGTGCTAATCAGTTGGCTCGTCTCCTTGCAGAACATGGCGTAGCAAATGATCAGCTCGTGTGTATTATCATGGAGAAGTCAGTCAACCTCTACACTTCTATCCTCGCTGTACTCAAGCTCGGCTGCGGCTACTTACCCCTCGTTCCTGATACTCCAATCGATAGAGTCAAAACTATCCTGAACGATGCTCGCATTGCGGTTTGCGTTTCAGAATCATCACTGTCAGCCACCTTGCGCTCAGATCTCTCAGTTGGTGTCATAGACTTTGACCTCGCTGCCCTCTCTGATTACTGCGATCACAACTTGGAAATACCATACAATGGTCAGCATCTTGCTTACGCGGTCTTCACATCTGGAAGCACAGGAACACCCAAAGGTGTCCTTGTGACGCAGGATAACCTCATGAGTAACCTGCAGTATCTTTCAACTATTTACCCCTTCTCTGCCGACTCACGTCTGCTACAGGCATGTTCACAAGCTTTTGACGTCAGCGTCTTCGAGATATTCTTCACTTGGTACGTCGGGATATGCCTATGCTCGGCTACAAAAGAACATCTCTTTCGCGACTTCGAGGCTGCCATCGACAGTTTGAAAGTTACACATCTTAGTCTTACACCGACGGTTGCTGCGCTAGTAGACCCGAAAAATGTTCCCAAAGTTGAATTTTTAGTAACAGCTGGAGAGGCTGTGACTGAGCATGTGCGCAGAAAATGGGCAGGTCGAGGGTTGTACCAAGGCTATGGACCGTCGGAGACTACAAACATATGCACTGTTCGAGTTGCAGTCACTCCAGATGATCTGATCAACAACATTGGCAGTCCTTTTGCCAACACTTCGGCGTTTGTGCTCGATCCCGACAGTCAAGACATACTTCCACGAGGCGCTGTTGGAGAACTTTGTTTTGGTGGCCAACAGGTATTCCGCGGCTACCTCAACCGACCAGAACTCAACGCCCAAAAGATCATTGTCCATCCCACATACGGCAGGATATACCGATCTGGTGACATGGGAATACTTCTTCCCGACGATAGTATTCTCTCTACAGGACGCACAGATGATCAAGTGAAGATTCGTGGCCAGCGGGTTGAGCTAGGGGAAATAACATCTGTCATACTTGACCATGGTGCTGTCTGGGATTGTGTCACCCTCACCTTAGAACAAGCCAGCAATGCGAAGACGCTTGTAAGTTTCTGGGTACCAATGGAGGGTTCCTCAAGCTGCGTCGAGAGTTTAGAGTCTTCGAAATTTGCGACTACAATCTCGGAATTATTCGACCTGCTATCCCGACGGGTGCCATCCTATATGGTACCATCTCATCTTATTCCGATATCATGCCTACCGATGACCCCGCAGGCAAAGATTGACAAACGATTCTTACAGCGATTGTTCTCCAGTTGTGAGGAACATATCCTGAACGATGCCACACATTCTAATGGTATCACGGAGACAGGAGAGGGAGAGCTATTGTCACAATGGGAGAGGGACGTCTCTCGACTCTTGATCCAAGCGCTCGCTATTCCTTCAGATAAACTCAAGCGGACCTCGTCGTTCTTCAACCTGGGTCTAGACTCTGTCTCAGCTATACGTTTTTGTAGTGAGCTACGAAAGGCAGGGCTTGGTGACTATTCTATATCCGAAGTTCTCAAGCACCCATCCATCGCTAGTTTGGCATCTTTGGAGAAGTCGCAGTCATCTACAACACCGGTCAAGGCGCTGTCGATAGATGCATCAAATATCTTTACCGTGGACCAACTCCAAAGAATTCGCTCGATTGCCAAGAAAGACGGAGTTTGGGCAACGAAAATACTTCCTTGTACGCCACTCCAAGAAGCCATGATATCGAGTGGTCTCTCTTCGTTGGGACAGGCATACTATAATGTCATGGTTTTCGATATCAAAGGAGATATAAACCAGCTACAAAGGTGCTGGGAGACTGTCATCCAGCGGCACGAAATTCTTCGAACTTCGTTTGTTGCAACGGAGAATCCATCTTACCCATTTGCCCAAGTCATTGTAGAAGGGTATGACATGAGTTGGCATGAGGACAGTATGGACAGCAACCTTCAATCGCGCATCAGCAAGATCTTGTCTGACCTTATGGAAGCCAACAAACCTCCAGTGTACTTTTCTCTGACCCGAGAAAAAGGTTCCACAAAGTTGCTTTTTTGCTGCCATCATGCCCTCTACGATGGTATAGCTATGTCCACGCTCCTTGCAGAAGTCCAAGAACTGTATCATGGCCATCAGCTACTACCGCCCGTTTCATACGATGCTTACCTGAAGCGCATGCTTGAGCAGAACTTGGATGAGGCCGACAAGTATTGGAAGGCTTTATTAGAAGGCTTTAAGCCCACGTCGTTCCCCATTCTCACTGTGAAGAGAGTCCAAGAGTCTGGAGCTTTTACGTCTTCGTCAAGACGTCTCAACATGTCACTCGGCAACGTGCGGAAAACATGCCGAGATAGTTCAGTGTCACTTCTGTCCATTGTACACGCTGCATGGGCAAAACTACTCTACTTTTACACTCATGAAAACGACGTCTGTTTCGGCAACATAGTTAGTGGTCGTAGTTTTCCAGGAGAGGACCTCGAACGCTTGGTCGCACCTTGCTTCAACACTCTACCAATCCGTGTCAATTTTGACTTTGGCAAAAGCAATCGCGCCTTGGTGGATCTGACGCATAACCAAAGCATCGAGTCGCTCGAGTACCAATTAACTCCACTCCGTCGAATACAGAAAACTACACTCAAGGATGGTGGGCGTCTATTTGACTCCCTTGTGATTCTTCAGCAGCCCAATGTGCCACTGGATAGCTCCATCTGGATGCTTGAGCGAGACTCGGGTGACATGGACATACCTATTGTATGCGAAGTCGTCCAGGATCATGTTGAGGATACTCTGAGACTATTGCTGCACTACAACAATTCGCTCATATCCCAATCAGAGGCTTCAATAGTTATGGAGACTTTTGATGCTGCCTTTTTATCTCTCATCCAATCTCCTGATGCACTTTCGGCTGATACGGAGATGTTTCCTACCGACCTCTTGGCGAATTCTAACATGAACTTCAAACACCTCGAGAGTGAATCTAGGTTTTTGCACTCTGGATTTGAGCGCGCGGCATTGCTGTATCCGGATCGCATTGCTCTCGACTTCTGGCATTCTCCAGGGAAGAGGACGACATGGTCTTTTGAGCGACTCAATCAAGAAGCAAATCAAATTGCATACGCGCTCATGGGAGCTGGTGCTGGGCCAGAACAAGTCATACCTATCCACATACCAAAAAGCCCGATATATTATGCCAGCATACTGGGAGTACTCAAATCTGGAGCTGCATTCGCACCTGTTCATCCTGATCTGCCGGAAGCGCGCAAGCAGCTGATGTTCAAAGATCTAAAACCAAAGATTGTTCTTTGCGACGATGGTTTATTGCTTCCTGAAGATCTTCCTAAAGTCACCGTTCTCAACGCCCAATCTCTTTCAAGCGATGATGTTTCCAACCCCGTTATCGAGGAGTTGAAAGATACCAACCTGGCTTACTGTCTTTTCACCTCCGGTTCTACAGGTGTTCCGAAAGCTGTCAGCATGGAACATCATGCTCCAATACAGACCATCGAAAGCTCCAGAGCACTCATACCTTGGAACTCTCAATCTCGTCTCCTTCAATACGCTGCTATAACTTTCGACATGTGCTACTACGACTGCTTTCTTGCATGGACCTTTGGCTTCACGCTCTGTGCTGCGGAGCAGAGTGATTTACTCAATGATCTTTCGGGAGTGATCAAAACTCTTGAAACTGATCTACTTGACCTCACGCCATCTGTTGCAGAGACTTTAAAGAGGGCTGATGTGCCAAATGTGAAATGGCTTTACTGCATCGGTGAAGCCATGTCGTCATCAGTTGTGAAGGAGTGGGAGGGAGCATGTGTCAATTCATATGGCCCGACTGAAGCTGCCTTTTGCACGACCATGACTCCCGTCTCTAAAGATGGAAGTACTTCGGTTATCGGAAAACCCTTCCCAACGACGTCCTTTGCGGTCTTTTCTGAGCACAGCAAAACTCCACTCCCTGTTCTGAGTACCGGAGAGCTCTATATCGGGGGTGCGCAGCTCGCACGAGGTTATTGGGGCAGGGGCGACCTCACACATGATCGTTTCGTCAGGCGCTGCGGCCAAAGATTCTACAAGAGTGGCGATATGGTACGGATGTTGAGCGACGGCAACTTCGAATTCATAGGACGTCTTGATGATCAGGTAAAGATCCGTGGACTTCGAGTTGAGCTGAGCGAAATCAACAGTGTTCTTGCAGAGGTTAACCCGGATTTGCTCTTTGTCACCACGCAAATCTTGCGGAAAGAAGAATCCTCAAAAGAGCAATTGGTTTCGTTTCTGGTTCTACGTCAATCGATCCGAGAAGAGGATATTCCCATGCTCCAACAGAAGCTGAAAAAACTAGCGAGTACTCGTCTACCTTCATACATGGTGCCCCAATTCTTCTTGGTCGTGGACGAGATACCAAAGTCTATGGCTGGCAAAATTGACAAGAAGGCTTTGAGTACCATCTTTCAGCAATACTCAGACCCCAGTTCACTTTCCAATGGAATCTCACAGACTACGGAGTACCAGTGGTCCAAGACCGAAAGTGAGGTTCGTACCGTTCTTGCACGTATATCCGAAACTCCAACGGAAAACATCTCGCCAACAACATCAATATACCAGCTGGGTCTTGACAGCATTAGCGCAGTTCAGATTGCATCTGCTCTTCGTGCTCAAGGATACACAATTAAGGCGACTGATGTCCTCAAACACACCACATGTAGTGAACTTGCTGAGCACTTGGACCAGATCTCCGCTTCAGAGGTGCCTGAAATCTCACCATTCGATTTCCATGACTTTGAGAGCAAGTACAGAGTACAGATCTTAAGAGATCATTCTATTCAGGATGGGAATGTTGCCGCTGTCCGTCCATGCACCCCCCTACAAAACGGAATGGTATCGCAATTCCTTGCAAAGGAGGGCGCTGTTTATATGAACTACCTCAGGTTACAACTAGAGCCGAATGTTGACTTGGAGAAGCTAGAAGCAGCATGGTCTTCTACCATGGGACGCCATAACATGCTGCGCACTGGATTTGCTCATGTTAAGGATCCACTCTTTCCCTTCGCCATGATCGAGTATACCCAGGTGTCGGTCACACTACCATGGAGTGCAACACGAGAGCAAAAGCGATCTCCATCATCCGATGCGTGGCTTCAGCAGATACGGGAGCAGGCACTCAAAGAGCTGTATATGCCTCCTTGGGCGCTACGATTCGTTCAAAGTAGTGAACAGTCCTTCCTCGACTTGGCCATTTTTCACGCACTGTTCGATGCGCAAAGTCTCCAAACTATCTTCAACGATGTTACAGCTTTTTACAAGGGTCTAAGTCTACCAAAAGTGCCGTCTCTGGACGAAGTTGTGAGTCATGTCATTCAATCTAATAAGCAAGACAACAACAGCAGAAAAGAATTCTGGATTGAGCTTGGCAAGACTACAAATCCATCTCGTTTCCCCAACCTAGCGCCTTTGAAATACGACCCGGAGCCTCCAATCGTATATACTAGACAATCTGCAAGATCACTTGTTGATTTGGAAAACGGATGTCGGCAGGCAAACACCACGATGCCAGCCGTGGGTATGGCGAGCTGGCTATCACTGCTGTCCTCCTATACAGGAGAAAGCTCTGTGACCTGCGGCGTTGTCCTTTCTGGCCGAGATTCCGATGCTACAGCCCATTCCAACTTCCCGTGCATCAATACTGTACCGTTAGCGTTCACTGTGGGTAATGACACGACAAAGATGCTGGAATCAATAACGGCATTAAATGTGGGCATCCAGGAACATCAGTTCAAGCCACTGAGAGAAATTCAATCCGTAATGGGATTTCCAAATGATGCGCTCTTCGATAGCATCTTCGCCTATCAGAAACTGGCAAACGACAATAATACCTCCGATCTCTGGACTATTGTAGACGAAAAGGCCACCATCGAGTATCCAATCTCTATCGAGCTGGAACCAAAGGGGGGGAAGTTGGAGTACAGACTCACATACTTTCCACACATAATTCCGAGAGAACAAGCGTCTTTGATTCTTGCACAACTCGATCACTTGATGGAGAGTTTCATCTTTAACTCTGAATCTCTTGTAGCCGAGCCGGTCTACTCCCAGCACCTGTACTCTATCACACCAGCAAAGGAAGATGAGTTACTGTCGGACGTGAAGCTACTCCATGAGCTGGTAGAGAAGACTGCTAAGGAGTACCCCCAGCGCATTGCTTTCGAATTCATGTCAAACGAGAGCAGTGGAAAGCGTTCAGTGGAGCAGTGGACGTATCACGAACTGGATCAAGAAGGCAACAAGATTGCACATTTGCTTGCCGCTCACAATGTAAAGCAAAACAGCCTTGTGGGCGTATGCTTCGACAAATGCCCAGAAGCCTCTTTTGCTATGCTGGGGATACTGAAAGCGGGATGCGCTTTTGTTGCCATCGATCCAGGAGCACCTGCTGCGCGTCAGGCGTTCGTCATTGAGGACTCTGATGCTCAGGCTGTTTTGTCAATGTCATCGCAGTCGGCTCAGTTTATGGCAAGTGCCAAGGTACCGGTCCTCAACCTCGATGAATTCGAATGGCGCTCGCTTTCTGGGCAAAAACTGTTACAAAATAGCGCCATCGACGCCCAGGACCGCAGCTACTGTTTATACACATCTGGAACCACAGGTACGCCCAAAGGTTGTGAATTGACTCATGAGAACGCTGTCCAAGCCTTGCTGGCCTTCCAGCGACTTTTCGCCGGGCACTGGGATGTGGACTCGAGGTGGCTCCAATTCGCGTCTTTTCACTTTGATGTCTCCGTACTCGAACAATACTGGAGCTGGTCTGTTGGTATTTGTGTGGTATCCGCACCTCGTGATCTTATCTTTGAAGACCTTGCAGGCTCCATCCGTGATCTCAACATCACCCACATTGACCTCACGCCTAGTCTCGCTCAAATTCTACATCCTGACGACGTACCAAGTCTCTGCAAGGGTGTTTTCATCACCGGCGGTGAGAGTCTAAAGCAAGAGATTCTGGATGTTTGGGGCCCTAAAGGTGTCATCTACAACGGATATGGGCCGACCGAGGCCACGATAGGATGCACCATGTACCCACGCGTTCCAGCAAACGGGAAACCCTCGAACATTGGCCCACAATTCGACAATGTTGGGTCGCTGGTCCTCCGTCCTGACTCTGACATTCCAGTCTTAAGAGGTGGTATTGGTGAACTTTGCGTCTCGGGAAAACTCGTTGGAAAAGGCTATCTCAATCGTCCAGATTTGACTGCAGAGCGCTTCCCATATCTCGACCGCTTCTCTCACCGTGTATACCGTACGGGAGATGTTGTTAGGATCCTTCATGACGGTACATTCCATTTTTTGGGTCGTGCCGATGATCAGGTCAAGTTGCGTGGCCAGCGTTTGGAAGTCGCCGAGATCAATTCCGTCATCAAACAGTCTGACAGCGACATTTCGGATGTCGCAACGTTTGTATTGAAGCATCCGAAGCAGCAGAAAGAGCAGCTTGTTTCCTTTATTGTGTGCGGCAAAGCACTGAAGGCTCAACCAGAAGTCTTGCTCGACGAGGTTAAAGGAACAGTAAGCGCGAAGCAGGCCTGTAACGACAAACTTCCACCTTATATGGTACCCACCCACTTTGTCCCGCTTGCTTCCATGCCACTCAATGTCAACAATAAGGCAGATGGCAAGGCACTTAAGAAGATGTACGAGGAACTCTCTTCTAGCGACCTTCAAAAGCTGTCGGCCAATTCTTTCTCTGGAGATGAACAGTGGTTGAAACAAGAAGAAAAACTCCGCGATGTTGTGCTTGAAGCCCTTGGCGCGAATCATGAGAGCATGTCCAAAAACACAAGCTTTTATGAATTAGGTATGGATTCTATCTCCGTGATAGGCGTCACACAATCTTTGAAAAAGGCTGGCTTCACCAAAGTTACTACCTCGATGATACTGCGATGCCCTACAATTCGGCAGCTTGCAAAATCTCTGGCATCCCATAGTGCAACGAGCAACAGTCATGGATCGATTCTCGCAGCACAGCAATCTATCAATGCTGTAAATCATCGCCATCAACGCAAAGTGGCTAACCGCTTGTCTGTCGAACCCAGCATGATCGAAGCTCTTGCACCATGTACGCCTTTACAGCAGGGCATGATTGCAAGATCGATGGAAAATGACAAGGGGCTTTACTTCAATACTTTCCGGTTCAGGTTGAACATGGACGTTGACGAAGAGAAACTGCAAAGTGCATGGGCAAACATGTATAACTCGACCCAAATACTACGTACGGTGTTCGTAAACACAGAAGAAGGCTATTTGCAAGCTGTTCTCGGCGGCATTCCCTTCAACGGGTTTATTCAAACGTCGATTCAAGATGATGACCTTGTCAATCATATGGCTCAATTACGCAAGGATTGGCTCAGCCTCAATGACGTTGAGTTCCGACAGCCGTTCCAGGTACATCTTGTTTCGACAGAGAAACAGAAGTTGCTCATTGTGCACATATTTCATGGTCTCCACGACGGCAATAGTATTGGTCTCCTATTGCAAGGCGTCTGGGATTCGTACAACGGACGGGACTCGATGTCGGGTGCGCCATTGTTCCACACTGCTCTTGCCCACGGTCCACTGAGAATGCCCGACGACGCGAAAAGTTTCTGGAAAGACCGAGTACTAGCCAGGACTTCGTCCCTCCCTACGCTGCTCGACAATTCAGGTCAAGACGCTGTTGTTATCTCGCGCCAAACACATACATCGGCCAACTTTGACCTCATCCGACGACAACTTAATGTCACCGCGCAAGCTGTTGTGCAAGCTTGTTGGTTCAGCGTGCTTCACAGACACGTAAACGGAAATGTGGCAACCGGCATAATCGTATCCGGTCGCAGCATTGAACTCGAAGGCGCAGATCGTGTCATAGGGCCTATGTTCAACACTATTCCTCATCACCAGAGGGCCCAACGCAGCGAGTCTTGGTCATCAATCATCAAGAGGGTACACGAGCTCAATGTCGAGGCTCACCCATTTCAACACACACCGCTGAGAGATATTATGAAGTGGTCCAAGAGGTCTTCAAGTAACCCGCTATTTGACAATCTCTTTGTGTATCAAGTTGCACAAGACGATGAGGAGTGGGCGAGAAACGAAGTTTGGGAACTCTTGGACGATGAGGCCGTCGCTGATTATCCATTGGCTTTTGAGGTCGAGCACCGGGGTGGCAACGAGTTGAAGTTGACATTGGTTGTACAAGGGCATGTTGCAAATTCCCAGATTGCAGCTGAGTTATTGGACATGTTTGAAGAAGCGCTGAACCAAGCCATCAATGACCCATCGGCTGTTCTCGAGCTGCCAGTCGACGTGGATGATGCGATTGAGAACCCCACCACCATTCAATCTGACCCGGACCACAACAGTGGCGTCTCAGATTTCGAGTGGGATGATAACGCCATCGCAATCCGAGAAGAGATTGCCAATTTGACCTCAAACGAGATGGAAAACATAAATGAAATGACATCGATCTTCGAACTTGGCCTTGATAGTATCGATGCGATCAAGCTATCGTCAAAGCTTAAGAAACGAGGAATGGAGCTCTCAGTCAGTGGCATTATGCGCGGGTTGACTATTGAGAAGATGGCGCAAAATATTACGAAGAATGCTCAAGCTACAGAAGCGGCATCACAGTTTGATCTGGATGTTTACATATCGAAACTAGCAAATTGTCTCGACCATCAAGGGCTCCGCACCAACGACATTGAGGAAGTGCTCCCTCTGACACCGCTCCAAGAAGCCATGGTTGCCGAGATGATTGCATCTGAGTACACAAGGTACTACAACCATGACGTGCTAAAGCTCAGTCCAGATACAGACACAAGCAAGCTCCAAAAAGCCTGGACAACAGTCGTCATGGATTCACCAATTTTACGTACTGGTTTCGTTGAGGTGGACAATCCGGACGTCGATCTCTCCTTCGCGCAGGTCATCCACCGTCAACCACATGACTTTTGCTCACACATGAGTTCTGACAGCACACCGGACTTTACATCTATTTTCAAGGATCTCCGAAACGACGCGATTCAGAGACCACTGTCAACGCCACCCTTTCATCTTACATTCATCGACACGCCTGGCCAATCGTATCTTGTATTATCAATTGCGCATGCGCTGTATGATGGATGGTCTCTGAGTCTGTTGCATTCTGATGTGCAAAGAGCTTATCGAGATGAATTTAAAGTTCGGCCTTCCTACGTACCGTCATTGGCAGAGATTATGAAGACCTCAGGATCGGATGCTGCAGGCTTCTGGCAGGACTATCTCTCCGGCGCTAACAGCAACACTTTCCCGCGTCGAACGCTGGGACCAGATGAAAAGAGCGACATCGTTCATCGACACCAAGAAAACAGTAGAATCGCCCTGGAAAGCATCCAATCATTTGCAAGGAAGAACAATGTTTCGCTTCAGACTGTGGGACAAGCAGTCTTTGCTCTCGTGACTGCATCTTTTACCCGCTCTCTCGATGTTACGTTTGGCTCAGTGCTTTCCGGTCGCGACGACGAGGAAACATCCCAGCTTTTGTTTCCGACTATGAACACAGTGGCTATACGAACCATTCTTCACGGAACAAGTGTTGAATTGTTACGTTACGTTCAAGACAACTTTGTGAATATCAAACATTGGCAACACTACCCACTTCGAAAAGCTATATCGCAGGCTAGGGTGGAGGGGAGATTGTTTGAAAGCCTTTTCATCTATCAAAAGAGTTTGGAACAAGAGCAGGATGAGGGCGAGAGGCTGTACACCAGTGTTGAGGGCCATAGCGATGTTGAGTATCCGGTGTGTGTCGAGATGGAGGTGGTGAACGACACTTTGGTGTGGCGTTGCGCGGTCAAAGATGGTGTTTTTGATTCGGAAAGAACAAAGCAGTTGCTGAAGAGGATGGACGATGTGCTGAGACACTTGATGAAACGAGCAGAGGCACCGGTGATTGAGATGACCACAGAAGGAACGTCAGTCTGCGGTCTGCCAGCTTTCGAAGAAGCTGGGATTCATACTGAAAGCGTTCATGTGGCATCTGGGAAAGACGGCGGACAAGATGCACAAAGCACAGAAACAGCTAATAGGATCCAGAAGATACTGGCTGCAGTTTCCAAGACGCCTGAGGGAGAGATGACTAACGACATGACTATATTCCATATGGGACTGGACTCGATCAGCGCAATCAAAGTCTCGTCACTTCTTCGCAAACAGGGGATTGTCCTCAGCGTTGGAGAAATGCTGCAAGCTGGTTCAATGGAGAACATGGCCAAGCTTGTCGATGCCCGTGCTACGGAACTATCAACACCCAAAGACGACACGAACAATTTAACGAGTCTTGATGGAATACTGAAAGACTTGGACAAGACGGAAATTTTCAAGCGAGCCGGCGTTGACGCAGACAATGTCGTCCAGGTTTTGCCAGTCGCTGCTGGTCAGCTTTACATGCTGTCCATGTGGCTCAATACTAACGGCAGCAATTTCTACCCAGAATTCAGCTACGCGCTCGAGGGGGATGTGGTGTTTGAAGATCTGCAAAAAGCATGGCAGGCTTTGGTGACGACGAATCCAATACTCAGGACATGCTTCGTCTCAGTTGGCGATCACCGGGTATCCTACATTCAGCTTGTGTTGAGGGATGTTGATAGCGCTATCACAGATGTCACTGGATGCGGAGATGATGAGATACGCAACCACGTTCAACACGCTACAACCCACCAGCCATGGGCAAGAATGCTGGTTTCCCGGAACTCCTGCGGCTGGACTCTGCAACTCAAAATACACCACGCACTCTACGACGGCATCAGTCTACCATTACTCATACAACAACTCAAAGATCTCTGCGACGGCAGTGTCTCTGCTGTTTCTCAAGACAGTATCCTAGCCGACTTCATATCCAGCACCTCCTCGCTCTCATCTTCCCTGCAGCGCCGCCAATTTTGGGAAACCCATCTATCCAATACAAACCCAAAACAACTGAAGCAGCCCTCCCACACACCCACCACCCGCCTAGAAATCTTCCACCCATCCCTGACCCCCATGCAAACCCTCGACACCACGGCCCGCCACCACGGCATCTCCACACATGCCCTCTTCCTCGCCGTATACGCAAAACTCCACTCCTGCCTCTCCCACGGCACCACCACCGACGACATAGTCCTAGGCATCTACCTCGCCAACCGCTCTCTATCATGCACACCCGACCTCCCAACTGCCGCAATCCCAACACTCAATCTCGTCCCCTTGCACATTTCAAGCCCGCAATCCCGCAGCGTAGTGCAGTCAGCGAAGGAAATCCAAGCGCACCTGCGTGATCTTAACGATACTGGCATTGCGACTACGAGTCTTGTGGAGATAGAGGAATGGACTGGTGTGAAGATTGATGTTTTTGTCAATTTTCTCGTGGAGCTGGATACGCCTCCTCCTCCTCCTTCTTCTTCTTCTTCCTCAACACAGGGGGATCATCGAGGTGTCAAGATTCAACCTGCGGAGCGAGAAGAATATCGTACACAATTCTCGCGTATATCCCCCATCGTTCAGCCTGATTTGGACATTGAAGGATTAAGAAATGAACGTGTGAATAGAGTTTATTTGGTATGTCTATTTCCCCCCAATCTCATATTCTTCATAAAAGGACTTTTTTTTTGTGCTAATATGGGCCATATAGCACGCCATTGATATCGAAGCCACGGTGCGAGAGGGATACTTGGATGTGGGTGTTTTTGCGCCGGGGGATATGATTAGTTTGGAGCAAGGAGAGGAGTTTGTGGAAGGGTTCAAGAGGGAAGTTGAGAAGTTATTGTCATAGATTTCTTATTTCTGAGTTTCTCTTGTTTCGTTTCGTTTGTTAGTTTTATTTGGGGGTTGCATAATTGGAGTTTTGGGATAGGGGATGAGGCGTATTGGTTTGTTGTTTGATTTCATGTACGTTTTTTTTTTCGTTCTTGTTTTGAGAGAAATAATGCACATATTTTCATAGGAATCTGAATGTCACGCATTGAATTTCGTGAATGATTATGCATGCTATTATTAACCCAACGCCTCGCTACCATTATCATGCTCATTGCTTAATTATACAAATATCCCCGGGTATACTTGGTCGAATACAAAACAAATTAAACCGATTAGACCACTTCAATGATATGAACCCCCCCCCCCCCTCACTCGTTCAATTGTTCCACATCTAACTCTAAACCATATGCTCACCCCTCGCACCATGACCATGGCCAACACTGGCGCCATGACCAACAGGCTTCCTGTTCACGTGGGAACCAGCGGGACCCTCAGCCTGAGGCATCATAGTACCCCTAGGACCATCAGCAGCGTCAAAGGGCGCACCACCCCAGCTGCCTGCATCATGGGTGCCCCAACCGGCCTTGCGAGTGAAGACGGCATCGTGGAAGCCGTCAAAGGAGCTGGGACCAGCACCGTAGACAAAGGGGGCGTGGCGCATGAGGGGGATGTGGTTGAAGCGGAAGTCCCAGATGGAGGCGTAGGTCATGCGGTAGGCGCTGAAGGCCATCATGGTGCCGATTACGGCTCCGGCGAGGACGTCGTACTGTCATGTCATGTTAGTTTCGAGTATATGGGACTTGTACATTTAATGGAAAAACTTACCCAGTTGTGGTATTCGTCAATGGTAAGGGCACCACCGATGAGACAAGCACCGAGGATGGGAGCGTAGAGCGCGACCAACTTCCACATTGCGGGGTGGTGGTTGGAGAAGACCTTGAGCTTTGCGTTGAGGTAGAGGTAGAGAAAGACGAAACCGGCAAAAGCAGCGGTTGTGTGACCCGATGGCATGGACTCGAGAGAATCGTTGATTTCGTTCATATCACCCGTGCAGATGCTCTTGTCAAACATGATTTGACGGTATCCATTGGCGACGTTGCCGTTGCCGCTGCCAGACTCGATGCCGTTGTCGGCTGCGCCAACGCTCGAGCGAAGGTTTTCAGGGATAACGGGCTTGCAGACGGCGAGGAAGTGAGGGCGGAGACCGCCAATGAGCCATTTGATGAAGACCTGGAAGACTGCGGCGGTAATGAGAGAGTATAGAAGGCCGATGGTGGCATTGTTGACATCCCAGAAGCTGCGGGCGCGAATCTGCACGATCAAAAAGACGGCAAAGGGAATGAAAAAGGCCATGAGGGCGGCGGCCCAGATGGGGATGATTTCGTTGCGCAGGGGGTAGGCAAACTCTGGGTAGACAATCTCGCCATCCTGGAAGACGACTGTAGTGTGTTAGATGGTGATGGTTTGTGTGCTGGACGGGATACGTACTGGGAAAGCTGCGGCTAGGGGCTGGGTCGGCCATGTAGACACCCAGACCAATGGCACCCATGGCGGCCATGGTCAGGATGTCGAGCCAAGTAGCCTTGAGCCATTGTCCAAAGCTTGGCCTGGAGTTGTACGACGATGAGTGAGACTTGGAGTGGCGTCTTGGTCTCTTTTCCCTGTGCGAGCCAGTCGCAGTGGTTGTGTCGGCAGCGACAGGCGTCGTGTTTCGCTTGTTGAACAGGCCCATGGTGGTGTTGGTTGTGGGTGTCTGGCGAGGCAAGTCTCCCGAGGGGTGAATGACGTATGGGCACTCGAACCGCCTGATTGTACAGGCGAGTACAAGGAAAGAAGAAGAGAGAGGGTTGGTGAGTAGCAAATTCACAAGCAGAGGCTCATTGCTTATATTTGCACTCTCTTACTTTCCCGCCTAAAGGGTCTCGAGCAAAAGTCGTCACTCAGCATCATCTTTGTCGCACAGGCATACCACCAGGCCGGTTCGCAGGGACAAAACCTGCTTTCTGGCCAACCTTGTTACAGTCCAGGCGTATCCAAAGCGCAGACAGCGAACGAAATAATAGTCGATCTTAACCCGACCAAGCAAGTTGGTAAAAGCTTGGTTTGCAGAGTAGAAGCTTGGCAAGCCCGTTTGTGGCTCTTGTGTGGCTGGTGAGGCGCGCGATGATGGCATCTGTGGCTCCTCAGTGCCGTGTAGCCACTAGAACATGTATCGCTTTGGTTGCTTTGGCCATGCGCTGACGCTACGGCGGGCCCAATGTGCCGAATGCTGGGGATTGATGAAGAGAGAGTTTGCATGTCCGCGGTGTGATGATGCAAGGTGTAGAGAGCGTGACGTCACAGGGTACCAGATTTGACCCAGCTGTGAATGAACGTCCATGGTCACGAGACACGTTTTCATGCAAGTCAATCTCTTCTTTTGGCTGAAATGCCCCGATGCATCTTTACAAACAGTTCTGCATGCTTTACATTCCGCTAAGAAAAATGGATATTCAACAGCCTAACAAACAGTACACCTTAATTCTAACATGACAACAAAAAAGCATCAATCAATGGGTATCATCTTCCTCCCCTTCCTCCTTTCTCCAGCTACGTCTACTCCAACCGTCTAAGAGTGGATATGCACCTCAGTGCTGCCACTGCGATGCCATGTTGCGAGCAAGACACCGCAGCGGCCACACTTGTGCTGGACGTCCTTTGTCGAGCTCATGACGTAGGGAATGCAGCCCAAGCAGCACAAGCAGCAGAGACCAAAGGCCCAGGCATGTGTTGTGTTACCCGTCTCAAACGAGACATTTGTGAGGGAGCGCTGGCCGCATGCAGGGCAGTCTGCGGGCGCGGGGCCGCGCTGAAGATTGGCAATGGGCGTCGCGTTCTGGTACTGTGTGCCGGGCATTTGCTGGGGCGGCATGCCTGGGGCTGAACCGGCGATGCTGGCGTCTGGGTGCTGATATGTCGCTTGTGGGGGTGGCTGCGAGTATTGCTGCGCGTTTGGATCTTGTGCGTAGACGGGCGGCTGTGGCTGGCCTGTGGCTTCAGGCGACTGGGGATACGCTTGCATGGGCACTGGTGTGGCGGTCAGTTAATCGTTCATACATGCATTGCAAACGTGGCACGGTAACACAGCACACCACAGTACAGCACATGTTATCATGCTGCAGTGTAACAAATGCTCCGCATCCAAGCCCACAAGTACAACGCTTCTCAACACTTACCACCTGGCTTCTCCATGGTTTCAGTATATAGCTTCGACTGCGTGGTGGAAGAGGTATTAGTTGGCGGCAACGACAATTCTCAAAGATGGTGCAGAACGCGTCAAGAGCAATCGAGGGCCAGCGCCCAAGTTTATTAAAGCCCTTCAGGCGCACCGTCGTCGCTTAGACTCCATCATTCACCGCACGGGGGCCTAAAGTTTGGGGGCGCCAGGCGTACTCGTTAGCACAGCCTCGACTCGTGCATTACCATCATTCGCCCATTGCGCGCGTTGGCCCCCATACAGCCCTCCACCCGCCCAATGGGCCATTTCCCCCCACCCTAGTCGTCTAAAAACCGCCGTCGGGTCTGCAGGGTCGAAGCGTCCAAGCCTCAATTATCTTGTGGCTGATGTTCTTTTCGAGACAAGGCAGGTTAATAGCGCAGCAGGGTCTGGCGAGGGCGAACCCCCCCAAGCCTAATTTCCAGATGTCGTTCCATGGCACGAGCATCGGATATAACAAAGGGGGTCAGAGACATTCTCCTGTTGGTTCCGTCCCGGATACCGGCACTCGCAAGCCATTGTAATCTCTGCCTTGTATCGTCACGTTTCTTTGCCTCAACTCCGGGTCGAGCAACCATGGCATTAGACATTATGTACTGCGCAGGGCTGTGCTGCGGCGTGGATGCGATCAACACACGTGTACCTACTTTTTATCTTTAGCGCATTTCCTCCGACTGCATGAAACCGTGTCAACCGTGGGCCGGTTCCTGCAGCCATCTATTCTCCATGGCATAGCGTCTCTGCTAATTAGCGCCAGGCAGCCGCTCGTCAACATGAAGCCGGTGAGCTGACGGTCCGGCTCCGTGTCACTGGTTGTGTGTGCTGCTCAGTAGCGTGTATCCATGTCGTCCAGGTCGACGTCGTCCTCTGACTCTTCATCTGCATGTGCATCGCCTTTAGTGTCTTTGGTCGGCTCAGAGTCTGTCCCGTGCAACATCTTGTGCTGCTCTGGGGTCAAGTCAACAATGGTCGGCGCATAGTCGCCCACCTCGTCTTCTGCATCTGCACCATTGACTTCCAATTCCACACGCTCTCCGTCCTCCAACTCCAACATGCCCCGCTTCAGATACGAGCCCTCGGGCTGCCATCCAAACTCCTTCTCCATATACTCCTGCAGGTCGTCTACCTCATCGACCATATCGGCTTTCCACTTGCCATCAAAGTCTTGAAGACCTTTTCGGAACTGGCCTAGCAGCGGTCGCAAGAATCCCCCGCCAGCGTCATTCATGTCGAATAAATCTCCCTCGGCGTCTGCACAGTGGCCAAGCTGGATGCGCAGACACTTGAAAAGGTCCAGGAAAAGATGAGAGCGCTCCTTGACTGCTTGCCGACAGGTGAGTAGCAGTCGCAGCAGTCGCTTCCACTGTTCGAGACAAGAGTTGTTGTTGAGCGTCAGGACCATGAGAAAGGCAAACTGCAGCTCGCCCAGAATCTCATTCTCCCGGCCCTGCTCATCTCCTGCCTGGCAGTGCTTGTTGATGAGATCGCCTAAGAACCAGGACCGGTCCTGTGCAGCCTCTGTCCGTTCCCTGCCGGTCGCTCCTTCTCTCCATGTTTTCTTCAGGTCAATTGGCAGGAACCTCAACTCCTTCTCCGGGCGCAACATGCTATTGCTTGATTCCAGGCCCGGTATGTCATCTAGGTCCTGCGAGGCCGACGAGGCCGATGTCAAGTTCCAGTGGTCGGGATTCAGCCCGCATATCCTCGACAGCATTGTAGGCGTGATGTGTGTGGTAAGCTTACTCCAGTCGGTGCTCTCTTCGTTCCAGCCATCTTCAGCGCCCGTGTCGCCTTCCTGCACGGTTTGCCGATAGGGCGTCAGGCCATCTTTCCATATGCTGCCGAGGTTGGCCTTGTGCTTGAAAACCTCAGTCTGCGATGTTTCTGCCACCAGGTCCTCGGTGCTTTGATCCCATTTCTTGACAAAAACTTGTGGTGAGCCCACGCCAGGCGTGACATAAAACCATGCGCCGTGTCTCACGGACATGGCGCCATCAATGGCAGCAAAAACAAAGTGCAGGCCATGTGGGACATTTCGGACGCCTCGGAAGCGCGGTGACGATGTAAAGGATAGCAGGTCGATGCCGGCGAGGGCTTTTGGCGGCAGGTCTAACAATAGCACGCAATTATTAATAGTAGACGGATCCATGCTGGGGCGGAAGAGTTCGTCGAACCAGGTGTTTCGCAGGATCTTGAGAAGAGGCTGTTCGCAAAGCTCGACATGAGCCGGGGAGAAATGGGGTATCATAAGTTCTAGGCAGGGTCCAGAAATGGCTTGGGGGAAAAAACACGTGAACGCGCGCGGTACTAGTCCAGTCCAGTCCAGTCCAGTCCAGGGTCCAGTCAAATCAAATGTTTGGCAAAGGAGCGTGTGGGATATGGGCGCGACAGGAGAAAATCATAGACAAGAAGAATAAGAACGAGGAATGAGAGAACGAGGACGATTGCGTCCGCATCTACTTAGAGCAGAGTGCCTAGACGCAGACAGGCATGCAAGCAAGTAGCGCTCGAACGACTTGGGGGGTGCAATGCGACCGATGTCTGACCGACACCATACGCCATACGTCATGCCCACCGTATAGAGTTTGGCTGGACCATGTGCTGCCGGCATCTTGCTCACCGTCTTGCTGGTGTTGTGGATGCTCTCCATCGACGCACGCCATCTGCACGCATCGCATGCTATGTACATGTCGACTATGTATGTATGGAGCGGCGGTGTCGGCTCTCTCTCTCTCTTCCTACACACCCCACCCAACCCTCTGCTGATACGAGACATCACGCAGCAGGCTAACAACACCAGCACACACACGCACTGAAACAAGGTGCACACGCGGATTTTGGCTTTGGCAGGTCAATAATACTACGGTACATATTGCATACGCCGTCAGCCTCTCCGCTGGCGATCATAGGGTCCAGCCCACTGCACCGTCCCTGCAGCTTGATGCCCCTCTAGGTAGCCACCCGGCCCTTTCTCTCCACCCGCCCATTGCTTCTCGCGGCAACGCACCTATTCCAACACACCCATACCACCCATACCAACATCCACGCCTACACCCGTTGTACAACAAACAGCGCACCCTGTGCCACTGCCCGCCATGGACCGCCGCCGCACCCCAGGCCTGTCGTCGCTCTCCTCGCGCGGCCTGCAAAACCACCACTACACCAATCACGGCGCCACCCTCCGCACCCGCAACGCCGACTCGCTCTCCACCCAGCTCTCCGTCTTCCAATCCCTCCTCCACAACTTCGCAATCACCCATTCCAAAGACATCCGTGCAAACCCCGCCTTCCGCGCTGAATTCGCCCGCATGTGCTCGGCCCTCAACATCGATTTCCTCGCCTCCTCGTACCACAAAGACACTGCAACTAGCACATCAAAGGACGCCAACAGCACCGCCAGCGGCGAAAGCATCTGGACGCAGCTTCTGGGCCCCAACCTCAACGACTTCTACTTCAACCTCGGCGTCCAGATTGTAGAGGAATGCCGCGCCACCCGCGCTGAAAACGGCGGCCTAATCTCCCTGTCGGATCTGCAGGCTCGCCTCTCCAAATCCACCCGCATAGGCGGCAGCATGACCGTTTCCGACGACGACATCAAGCGTGCTGTTGACGCCCTTGCGCCGCTGGGGTCGTGCTTTTCCATTGTCAAGATCGGACACCGCAGTTTGATTCGGAGTGTGCCCAAGGAACTTAATGTCGACCAGAGCACCGTTCTCGAGGCGATCCAGTTGCTGGGTTACGTGACGTTGTCTATGCTGCAAGTGAATTTGAATTGGGAGAGACCCAGGGCTCATGCCGTTATCGAGGATCTCATGGCGGACAGTCTGGTGTGGGTGGATACCCAAGCGGGCGAAAACGAGTACTGGAGTCCTGCATTCCTAACTATGGGCGGGTCCAAGTCGGATGCAGCTTCTTAGACTGTGTTTTGGGATTGGCACTGGAGATTCAAACTACGGCGTAACTAAGGAACGAATGATACCCGGCGTCATAGCCACTTACTATATACATATGCAAATAGATGGATTCACGATCAACTTTTACACATGAACAAAAGGTATCATAAACACACATGTCTTGACTTCTATATACACATACAAATACAAACACATATTCTTCCCCCCCACATCACCAAAGCACCTCTGTATTACACATCCTGACCTCCTCGCTATCCTTCCACGCCGTGTCTGCATTACTAGACTCAGGAAACACTTTACGGTGCCATCGAAGAGACCACCTGCGCGCACTATGCTCATCCTCAAAGTCCAGCACCCACCGGTTGTACACACGGTTCATCACCTCTTGATGCATCTGCGCCGGCGAGCGGTCCTCTTCCACGCTACCCATCATGCTCTGAATCTCCGGGTCCTCATACGCCATTTCCATCGAAGACGACGACGACGACGACATAGCATTCACAAGCGGAGAATCAGAGTGATCAAAGGTGCCGTATGCCCGAGGCCGGCTCGACGAAACGGACTTGCTCGACATCTTGAGATTGATCATGTCGCGCAGCCGGTGGATCGACGACTGCGCCTCGTTTCGCAGCGGCACCAGGCTTCCCTGCTTGTATGCGTCGGTGCAGATGGCAATGTATATGTCGGATGCAGACGGTTCGTAGCCTTCAATGTGCAGGAGCACCCGCCAGATGCGATTGCCCTTTTCGTCCACACCCGGCGCAATCGGCTGGTACCCGCCCCGCTCAATCAACAACCGTAGAGCAGGGTTGTATGGCTGCATGAGCACATTGAGACTCATCGCATGACCCTTGGGCAGCAGGTTGTATGAAGTTACTGCAGCACCAATATCTTCGCCGTCCTCGAGAAATCCCTTGGGCGGAGGAATGGCGGATAGGATGCTTGACGGCTGGTAGCGGGCACTGAGCTTGTGCAGTCTCGAAGCATTCTTCTGATATGCCAACGCTGCCTCCGTATTCCTGAACAAAAGATAGTAAAAAGGCAACCGTTCTAGACTCAAAGGGTCTCGGCCAGGAATGGCCTTGTAAAAGTCGCTGTCTCGCCGCCATCCCTCCAAGTGCTTGCCCTTGGGAATGATGCGACGAAAGTCAGCTTCCGTCAACCCAATGCTGCAGTTGGTCAGCTGGAGCACAGCAATTTGCTCCCTATGTTGCTGAAACGGCTTCGTTTCCCGCTTTTCTGCCTTCCGCGCCTCTGGGCGGTTAATGGACTTGGGTAGCTCCAGTCTGGGATATTGATCTCTGCCTTTTTCCGTTGGCCGAGGCGGCGGAGCACTGTTCGCTTCTGGGAAGAGCTCTTCGAGGAGCGATTGTTCACTAACTTCCTCACTGGGTGGTAACGACTTGGATGAATCGTCAAATGATATGTCCTGCTTGGCCTCCGGACCCTCTTCAGCCCTAGCCGCCTCATGGCTGCCATCCTCGCTGTCCACCCTCAACTCTGTAGATGATGTCATCGAGCGCGACTGTGTATGGATTTTGCTCATCAGCCTCTGTCCATCATCTGTGTCATCGACAACAGGAGCCTTTACTTTCTTGTCAAGACGAGTTGAGGCTGAGTCGGCTGTCGTGTCGTGCAGCAGATTCCCCTTAGGAAGCATTGACAAGAACTCATTCTCCAAATCCTTCACCGCTCTATTGCCTCTTTCCATATGCCAGGTTGCACATTCTCTCTCAAGCCTCAAAATCCAGCTGAGAGGTGACATCCGACCAGGTTGCCTCGCTCTTGCTAGCACGTTCCGTGAAGCGCCAACTTCTCCGAGTATTCTCAATAAGCGACGATCTACTTCTTTGTACGCTCGATCGGCTATTGCCTCGGTGTGCTTGCGGAAATTGCTCGCAACTAAAGTGAGTATCGGAGACTCCTGCGTTTCCAGCTCTTTGCCCGTTTTTTGGATGAACTTAGCTGCATTAATGCGACGACGATGGCAGGCTTCCAAGAGGGGAGCAATAGGATCACCAAGCACCTGCGTCTTAGTATATTTGGCAACATCGCTAGCCACTAAAGAGTTGACTTGGCTGAGGGCTTCACTCGAGGACTTGGACAGTTTCGAGGCAAGCCAATCCATCAGGCTCTGGTATTGGGCACAGCTGTTACTGATCAACCGATCATTATCCCACATGGCAATTCGTTGAGCGGTAAGAAAGCGACGTAGAATGGAGGGAGCTATAGGTGTAATTAGGTCAGAATGAAGCCCTGCAAGAGCCCGAGTGGCTCTAAGACATTCTAGGACAGAGAGTTCATAAGCAACTCGGGCGGCACGCAGAAGACTAATCATCTCACTAGAGTCTATTCTGGAAGAGGGAAGGATACGCCGCCCAGCCTGGGTTTGGAGCGCCGAGTCCAGACTCTGCGTCTTGGATTGCGTTTTTTGTGGTTTCTTCACGGGCGCAGCTCTTGCTACTGCAGATGTAGGCGAAGACGGCGACGACTGTCCGTTCGTAGGTTTTGCTTCTAAGTGGGCTTGCAGTGCCTTGATCTGTTCAGAGAGCTGTTGAATTTGCTGCCGCATGGCTGCAACATCAGCCTGCTGGGCAGTCGAAACATGGCCCTGCCTCCGCTTCGCAGATTTCCTCTCTCTGCGACCTGTTCCCAGATGGTTCCCGGTTGCTGTGAAACGAACAGATCCATGTACAGTATCTTGTTCGTCTTGTTTCGTTGCTCCGTTTGTTTTGTGAAGATGAGTCTCGGAGCGTCCTGGGTCCTTGGCATGAGGAGGAGGCGGTGGTGGAGGTTCCAACTTGGGCTCAGTGGATGTGGAGGGGTTAATGTGAGCCCCAAAGGAAGCAACATGGTACAATGCCTTTTTCCACCAGGGCCTCTCCTCGACTGGACCATCTCCAGGCGAGTCAATTGAGCGGGATGGAGCACTGCCCTCTTTGTTGTCGCCTTTGGCAGTGCGTGTTTGCGGGGTGTCATTGCCGGCGGTCGAGAATTTGGCGCGGGTGGTGGCATGGGTGCCGCGAACCTGCTTCGCGGTCACTGGGAGGTGACATGGCCGCAGATGTCGAGAGAGGCGCGGCGGTGGCATCAATTGCGCGGCTTGGTCACATTGCACAGCTGCGATTCTTGGGCCCGCCGTCGATACTGAAAAGCTGCAGAAGGCATGCGGCGCTAATGGCCCAATCCGGTCTAGCCCACCCGTCGCTTAGTCACTCCATTTCCCTACCACCACAGTCGGTTGCAGCCCAAAAGGGAAATTAGGCGAGGGTTGCATGCTTGACCTGCTCACGGCTTCTGCGGCGAAAAAAATCCTTATGAGCACATGCAGTAGACGCATCATGCGAGTCACATGCGTACAAGAATCCATCTCTCCTCAGATACGCACTTCTCCATAAATCCCCCCTCATTGCGTGCGCACAGGAAAAAGCAACATGAGCCCGGCTGCTACTTATACCCTGCGCCCGCTGGAGCGCAATCCGCCTAGCATTCCTACCAATGCACTCGAGGGCGGTGCTTTTCGCGTCCATCTGTCGGCCAAAGAACTCAAGGCTCTCGGGCTCAGCAATGGCGACTGCGTCCGGCTTAGCACTGCAGCAGGCTTCAGAGGCTACGCCGTTGCATGGCTCGCCTCGCAGACTAACGCCGGGAACAAACCCATTGCCAAGGTGACCGACCTTCTACGGGAGCACTATGACCTCGCGCTCAATGATCCCGTTTTCATTGAAAAGGCAGACTCCTGGAAGCCTCTCAAGTCAATCGAGATTAGCATTTCCGATTCACCAACTCAGACTGCCAAGTTTGCCTCGGGCGAGCAACTTTTATATTGGCTTCGCCATGCATTGGGTAAATATGCAAATGTTCGTCTTGCATCTGCTTCTCTAACTCTTGTGCAGTAGCAGACACGGACATCCTCCTGCCGGGATGCAGTTTTCCAATCCAGCAAAAGAGCTTTAGGCAAAAAGGCCAAAAGGTCCGGGTCACAGTGCAAAGTATTGATCCACTTCCGACCGAGAAACATGCCGTGTACTTTGATGAGACTACTACTCACATCACCACTGTGGGTGATTTCACGCCTGAAAAGTCGCCCCCAAAGCCGTCAGGTGTACTTCAATTAAGGTCTGATGGGATCGGCGGTCTTTCGAACCATATTGCGGTCGTCAATGAAGATCTTTCCTTTCTTACTAACAGCCAACCTCATCTGCACAACCGACACCTTCTTGGGCCTACCGCCTTCCTTTTGCATGGCCCAGAGGGTACTGGAAAGACTCTTTTGCTTGAGAGACTCGCGGAGTGTCCTTGGACTGAAGTCTACAGGATCAATCCCGACACAAATCCCAAAGGCCAAGCCAAGGCCCTCTCCGATATCTTCCAAGATGCTCGTGATAACCAGCCAAGCCTGATACTGATGGACAATTTAGATCGGCTTTTAGACAAGGCCGACTCATTAGTAAATAGGCTTCGGATTGAACTCGCTACTCTAGGAGGAAGCCAAGTCGTCGTCGCAGCAGCAGCGCGCAGCGTGTATGATATCGACTCCAGCCTTCGAACAGCGACTGCTTTTCAGACCGAGCTTGAGTTGCTACCACCAAACGCAAAGCAGAGAGAAGACATTATCCGCCAGATACTGGGGCCTACTTGCAATGTCCCGCACGTTGACCTAAGTGCTCTTGCAGAACGGTCACATGGCTTTGTAGGTCGCGATATTGCCAGTCTTTGCTACCTTGCTAGGAAGCACCATACGAGGCGGATAGTCAAGCTATTGGACGGGAAAGACAAGACCGAGCTTGGCAAGGTAGATGAAGAAACCGACTTTGTCGAGCAGGAGGATTTCGAGGCCGTGATAGAGCAAGTGCGCCCCACAGTGCTAAAGGACAGCATTCTCGAAGTGCCAAAAGTCAGGTGGACGGATATTGCTGGCCTGGATCATGTACGGGCCGTGCTAGAAGCCATTACCGTTCGCCCGTTCAAGGTACGTGAGCATCAATTTCCGCATGTTCGTGATGCACACAGATCCCTGCTCTACCTCATAACTTTATTCGCATCCGAGTAACAAAAGGAGACTGATGACGCCCTTAGTACCCTGACCTCGATGTCAAATTCGGTGGGCCTCAGTCGCGCAAAGGCGTTCTCCTCTACGGCCCACCGGGATGCGCGAAGACCCTGATTGCACAGGCCGTCGCGACCGAAAGCAGGCAGAACTTCCTTGCCGTAAAGGGATCCGAACTCATCAAAATGTACGTGGGTGAGTCTGAACGAGCAATTCGGGATGTTTTTCGAAGAGCACGAGCAGCGAAGCCTTGCATCATCTTCTTTGACGAGATTGATTCCATCGGAAAGTCGCGTGAAAAGACACAAGACAGTGGGTTGAACGTTGTGACGACATTACTCAACGAGATGGACGGTATCGAGGCGCTAAAGGACGTGTTCATCATCGGCGCAACCAATAGGCCCGATATTCTCGATTCAGCACTTATTCGGACGGGCCGTTTTGACGCACACATCCACATTGGACTCCCGACAGAAGAAGCACGGAAGCAAATTCTACAAATTCATACCAGATCGAGACCGCTCGCAGCTGACGTTGACTTGGATGTCGTTGCCAAACGAACAGATGGCAGCAGTGGCGCAGATATTAGTGGCCTATGTGCTGTCGCTGTTGAACTGGCAATTACCGACTACACGATGAGTCCGGACAGCGCACCTCAGGTTTACATGCGCCACTTTGAGCGGGCACTAGACCAACACGTTCCCCATACAATCGCAGCCGAGGCGGAGCGATATAGGAACTGGAGGCCCGGCAAGTCGTTATCTGAAGATTAAAGATGTGGTATAGAAACGGGGTTGTGAAGGTAGCAAGACTTTTGCATAGAGGATGTTTTTTGCATGTTAATGCTTCTTGTCCAAGCAACATAAGGTTTTCCGTGCGATCAGAAGCCCAGGCGCACAGAGGCATTAATCTGGCCTGGCGCATTACGACGTTGGGCAGTGGAACAGCGACGGGACGTGCATCTGCCTTCTGCCGCCGCACGACGCAGGGAAGATGTGGGGATGCAGGAGGGAGCATGCTTCCATCCGTCTTCGATACCGCTGTCATGATTCTGTTTCGCATACTTGATTCGGCCAGCCATCAAAATAGCATGTTGCCTGAGACGCCAACGCTGGATGCCTGTTGCAATCATCCGTTGCGATCAGGCGCAGTACCCCGTCGTATGTCGTATGTAGAGTAAACAGCGAGACGTTGTGCAGGCAATTCCGAAACGTTGCGGCACTGCTGTGGGGCTTCATTTTGGACAGACGATGCTAGTATAGTTGGGGCCGCCACATTGTGCATCGACTATTTTCCATGGACACGAACAAGCGCAGTGCTCTGCTGTAGCGTCGTGCTGATTGCCCGTTGCGTACCACGACATCAGGGGCAAGGCGAGGAGAGCATTCAGCTCGTCGTTTCCGTAAGCACCAGCGCAATGTGCCGCCGCAACGGACCGATAATCTCAATCAGCCACTGTCGTGTTGCTTTGATGCCCTTGGCGGCGCATCACGAAATTGCTCCTCGGCAGAGCATCGTCGTGAAACCGGGCTCGTGCTCCTTACACACCGGTCCCCGCCACGAGACAGCCGCCTATTCCTGCCAGCACCATGGTTGTGATAAAACGCTCGTTAAGATAATTCCGTCGCCTACCAGGGGGGCCCGCTATAGCGAGCATGCCTGTGCAGCCAATCGCAGCAGACGCTCGCATGTTATGCTCACCACCCTGGTTCCACACCTGGTTCTCGACCTTGTGCAATTTCTTTCAGACGCGCCAAAGTGGGTGTAAATGATTGCCGCCGCTATGATGACGGTGTGCAAAGTGTGGAGGCGCCAGGTTCATCCGGTGGTCGCGTGGTGAGCATACTGGTGCGCATCCCAACACCGACCAAACACCTCGATCCTTTGTTCTTTGAACCTCCACCGACTGTGTCGATATCTGTTCCCTTTTTGGCTCTATAGGGCCGTCCATTCCTTTTTCTCCCGTTTTCAAGCCCATTGTGTTGTTCTCCTTCGTCGACCCCCAATTTACCATCTGATACCCTCTAACGGATTTTGAAACCCACCATGCCCGGGATGCTCACGAGATCCAAGTCTCTGCGGTTCCTAAGAAACAACCGCAGAGATGTCATTGATCAAGAGAAGGGAAACACAATGCCGGCTCTAAAAGCGTCTCAAACAGATCTTGACAAATACCATGCGTCTACGGCGAATTTGCAACTGGAGGGAAATCTCAAGGCTCCAGACGTGGTAATCAGACCGAGCACCTCAGGCGGGCCTGTAGAGCGCCCAGTGATGTCTCGCAGGGAGATCAGTCCTGCGCCATCGTTCCATTCGGAAGACCATGTCCACTCTTTCCAATCGCCTACATCTTCGACAACCGTACTCTATACCTCAGATGTCACAAAAGAGCAGGGGATCATTGGTATCGCTCTTGGATCGCCAACCTGCGCTTCGCACTGGATCCCACCCCCTCAGGCAGTAGACTCGAAGACGAACCCAGGATTTACAGACCTCCCAGCAAACATGTTGACTCACCCCAACGCCTCGTCGCCATCCTTAAGTGGTCCCCCGGGGCAGGCCAAACCCAAACTCAGTCGATGGAAGTCGCTATTTCGCAAAGCAGCGCCGCCACCCATTACTCCACAGGAGCAGGCCGCATTCTATCAACTATCGCAGTCGGTGGACAAATCAGCTCGTGCCGACAGCCACCACGACGAAGAAGTCAACGAATCAAAGACTTCACTCAAGGACGAAACAGGGAGGGAGAAGCTGCGCAATGTGTCGCCACCTGCATACAAGCCTGACATTCGCGAATCGCGCAAATGGAGCCATGGCGAGTTCGTCGTGCCCAAGTCACCTCCACAAGCAACATCGACCAGAGGCCGCGCGGTGACGGTTGGAAATCCTGCTTCAGACCTCCAGGAGAGGACCATCCAACGTTCAATCCCGGCAACAAATTTCCCTTCACGAACTGAGACTGACGACACTGCTTCAACCATCGATGCTATATCGCCCAAAAATGTCGGCGATTTTCCAGCTGCGGAGTCGAGCAGTTCAACACCGACGGAAGCTCCAATCCTTGACATCACGCTCCCTGACATCACAATGGAGAGGTACAGCATCATGTTCGGCAACCTTTTGCAGTCTGGGCCGAGCCGTTCATCGCTCCTAGAGCGACGCCAAGGAAATACAGAAAAGGTCAAGCCGTTGAACGAGCTTTCTGCCAAGGTAGGTTTGATAGCGGCATGAGGTCTCTTTGTGTATGCTAACAGTAGTGTAGGATGAACCACCAGTTGAGAGCTTCCCTCTTCAGCGCAGAGTGACTTCGCCGGTTGTGACGTCCTCACCACGGCTAACACTGTTCCCTCCCACGACCACGTCTCGCGCACCCTCACCATTGGGTACACCCGTTATTAACCGCAGCAAGAGGGACATTAAACGTTCCAAGACGCTGCCCTCAAAGTCGCCTGTTCGAACCGAGTTTGTGGATATTTCAGATCGCTCTGAAAAGAAGATTGATGCCGCAAAACTAGCACCAGCAGCATCTCCATACCTGAAGCCTGCCCTGACGCCAACCTCCATGTCCGGCTCCGAGTCTGAAGCCGAATCTGTTAGCGTTGTTGCCGCCCCGATTTTGCACGGCCACGGCCAACCAACGACGCTTCATCTCGACGACCGGGAACCCGACTGGGAACTTTGTGCGCCGCCACCTCGAGCGGCAAAACGCGAAGCTCTCGTTATCCCGGACACGCCTGTTTCAACACTTGTCCGCTCTCCCTCGACAAGGCAGCCAAAAGTCACCAAGATGAGCGCTCTCTGTTCACACCCGGCTTCTGCGCCTATCGACGTACCTTCGCCGCTGCAGCGACTACAGAGTCTCTCGACCCCACCGCATTCGGCCAGCCGGCTTGGGGAGAAGCGTGCAGAGATTCAGGCACGGAGACGAGAGGCAAATGGCGACAATGCAGTAGCAGCAAAAGCTACAGTGGGACTCGCGAGGAGCGTTTCTCTCAGCAGAGCACACAGTCCCCGAACTGTGGTCCGCGTCTCAACCATACCGAGTGAGGAGCGAGTCCTTGACAAACTAGCCCTTACACCCACCATGGTCGAAGTCAAGAACCGCAAGAGTCATAGAGTGCAGCTCGAAGACGCTTAGACGATTTTCCTTTCATTTTCTTTTTCTATCTTTATATCTTTCATCATTCAACTCTTCCCACAATCTTTAGCTTCTGGCATCTTTTTCTTATGTCATTGGCATTCCAAGGCTGCGCTTGTAGCGATAGGGGTTTCTACAGGCTTTTTTTTTCTAACGGCGTCATGTCTTTTTCTACCTGGCGGGCACACATTGTGCTTCGCCCATTCACATGGGTAGTTTTTTTTCTCCCTTGTTGCTAGCGGGGGTCGTTTCGGTCGGAGTTATCAAGGCCCATTTCGCCTTTGTTTGATTACATCAATAGGGGGGTTCTGGTTCACACTGTGCAAGGCGTGCTGCTGGACGGTGTGCAAGGGTGGTTCGGTTGGGTGGGTAAAGGGGGGAATGGATGGACAAAGACATTACAAATAGGTCGGGCTTCTAGATCAGAGGCCCAGCAAGATTCCAATGCCAGTTATTGCAAGGTCCGATTGTGCAGTCTAAGCGTAGGATTATGACGTGGATGCACGGTGGTTTTCAAGTGAGGCCCTGTAATGCTGTAAGATGGGCCAGGATACGCTTCATTATTTTGTACAATGGCTTTGCAAGTCGAATTGTCAGGCCACCTTGATGTCGGCCCCATGCTCACAGGAATTCTGGGGCAGTGTCCCACCGGTGAGATGGTGAAGAACCCTAGCGCAGGATTTTACCGTCCGTCTGTTCCGTGACATCAACATAAAGTATGGTAGGGGCGATGGTAAGGGCGACGCTTGGGTGGAGGCGAGACTACTAGGGAGAGGCGGAAGGCTGTAGTAAACGGGACGGCCCCGCCCTTTTTCGCTGATTTCCTCGCCCCTATGTAGTACGACTAGTACTCCTAGGTTCCAATACTATAAAGCGCCCGCATTCCTCAGACGTATACTTGTATACAAGCTTCATTCTCACCTGTCAAGCTCAGTCTTTGCGCCACAGGGCCTTGGGAAACATGGCAACTTGTGCGCTGGGGCATATATGGCCTCTTGGCCGATGCGCGGTGCATGCAGCCCACTGATGATGGGCTTCACGCGTCGTAGTAGGCGCAGTAAAGAAAGTCCAACAGCCGGGCTAGCGACCCGTCAGCCAAGTGTATCTTGCAGCCTCTGTAACGATATCGAGTCGCTTTTGGATCGGTGGCTTCACACAGCCTGCTTGCATCACAGCCATAAGCTTGTATCATTGGAGACTGCGCCATCAAGAGCTGCACCTGGTTTAAGCAATACTGTCGCCTATCGTTAGCTCAGCAGAAGCTTAGCCAAACACACTCATTGCTCGCATGTCCACCGGCTGGGTCTGAGTGAGGCTGAGTGTCGTCGTCTTCCTCTTGTACTGGCTGCCTCGATGCAACCTACACCAGTCTTTCCATCTCCTCCCCCGCTCCTGTCTGCCGTCTCTTGACATATTCCTATTACTCGCGTCTTTGTGCTTGCCTGGTTTCCAACTCGATTTTTTTTTTCTCATGCGGCAGCCTGATACGTGACGTATCCTCGGCATTTCCCCGCATCAATCCAGCCGGCGGATAACAGCCCTCACCACGCAAGTCGAGCGACTTGTCAGGAATATTCGGCCCTTGACCACACACAACCTGGTTCACCCATCAGCGAGCTTGTAATCCCTCCACTCAGACTCTTCTTCCTGGCGAATGCGCCAAGCATAGTACAAAGCTGCTATCAATGCCCCTCGTACGGACAGGGACCACAACCTAGACAGTGGGGGGTGTCGAGTCCAAACTCGCCGCGCATCCAGCACCCATCTTGAAAATGTCTGGTCTTGAGGTGAGGCATTTTCTTGCCACTTGACACGAGCTTTCCCCCGCACTCTCGTATATTTTGTCCATGATAAGATATCAAGTCGTACCTCAGTAGTCGCTTACCGGGCCCTAGGTTGTTGCTGCTGTGGCTGCTGTCGTCTCCGCTTTTCATGCCGGATCGGAACTGCTGAAACACGTGCGGAAGAAACGCAGTGCTCGCAAAGCCCGAAACTCGGCTCAACAAGAATGGGAAGAAGAGCGACTACAAGCTTCTCTTGTGGCGGGTGAGCAACAGATTGGCCTCCACTACGATCAGGACCAAAGAGAGTTGGGCGATCTAGTACGCATTGGTGATGGTAAAACATGCCCCATCCGGCATGACACATGTTTACGCTGCTTATCAATACCCATAGATATCGCCCGAGAGCGTCTTTACCACATAACATTGATGCTACAGGCTGAGATAATCAACAGTCTCAAACAAGCTGCTACAAGGTATGTCTTCGAGAAGCATCCAACATGACAAATGGATCAACTAAACATGTTCCTTCAGCGAGGTTTGTGTACTCGATTTGCGGGTTCTGCATCAGGCCTCACTCACAAATCGCAAAGAGACACTCGTGACTCTCGAAGAACTCAAGCAAAGGATATATCTGAGAAGACCCATGGCACGGCAACCCCAGGATTTTGGCGACAAGCCCAGACTATGGCAGTCACGCTTCTTACCACCAACCGCGCAGTCTAGCCACAAGCCGACCCATGCACTGCACGATGCTTACGCTGACTATCCCCGGCATACTGAATATCGAACGACAAGACACGGCTCAACTGACAACTATCACCAGCTTGGCATCAAAGACATGTCCACTCCGACTCTTCCGGCCTATGTTCCCGCACATGCTTTTGGTGAAGATTTAAGCAAGGCGCTAGAACGCATACATCCTGATCATCGCGCAAATGTAATGAGAGACATTCAACAGATGATCAACTCGTATCAAAGCCTTAGTTTCAGCAGCGGGGATGATCAACAACAAATAAACGGATACAGCGGAAGCTATTCTGGACTACAAGAACCCCTCGGTTCGCCGAGCCCCCAAGATGTATCTGAAACAACAATGACGGAGTTTGAACAAGACCCTCACCATAAACTTCACCAGGTGCCACGAGCATCAACTGATCAAAATGGAAAGCATTCTGCCAGGACTCCAACATTCGACAAAGACATGTTTGCCTTGGAAAGTGAGCAGTTTGACTATCTTCGACCCTTTGTCGCCCTGAATAAACACTCCCATGTACAAGCCAGAGCACCAAGACAGGCACGATGGTCAGAGTCCTCGGGCACCAGTTCTGATCCGTCATATCTTGCATCACTCAATCGGAACAGCTCTAATTCCTCTCAAGGCTCATCTAACCAAACACCTGGGCCATCTCAGCAGTCACAGCCTTTTGATCATGGCCGCATTCCCTCAGTACCCACGACACTGGATGATTGCTATCAGCTGAATGACAAGGACTACCATAGTTTATCTGACCCATCATCTCCACATGAAGATTCAGAAGATAGATACGACCTTCCACACATAGCACCATTGGCGCCCTCACGCAACCAGCCCAAGACTTCACAAAATGGCATGTACAGAAAGGCTTCAATCTACAAGGCAGTCCCTGTAACTACCGCGGGTACAAACCCACCAATTCATGTCCCATGGCCAGGAACTCAGCAACATGGAGAAACACCACCAGCCACGCAGCACGGTTCCCGGCAACGATATCGAGACTCATTTGACGAAAAGGAAGCCTTCAATACCAGCGACCTCCGCCTACCCAAGTACACGGTAGAAATCACAGCCAACAATGCACCAGCCAATACATCAGGACATCATCGATCCGTGTCAGGACTCTCAGCCATTACCGCCGCAGCCGCCGCCTTGAAACCCAAGAATCTAACACGGAAAGCCAGCATAAACCAATCTCTGCGGTCCCACAGGTCCACTTCAAGCGGCAGCAGTACCTCGATGCCCATCGGCATCCTCCCAGGCCACCGCATGCACAGCATCCGCCACGAAACGATCCAAAGCGGGCCCGTCCGCAGCGACACGATGATGAACGGGCGCCCCGACAAAGGCAACAACTACTGGGGCTTCTGCAAAGGCGCCTGGGCCGTCCGCGAAGACCTCGCAAAGGGCCTCGCCGTGCGCGCCCAACCCGCAGGCCTCTACGCCACAAAATCCCTCTGGGCCTGCAAATCCTGCACTTTCACCGGCGACGTCTTCAAAACCCCGCACCCCACCAAGAAAAACAAACCCCTCAATGTCGTGGATCCCCGCGTTAAGACATCAAAGTCCGGGATCCGCTACCGTTGGATTTTCCTGGCAAAATCTCACGTCAAGAAGAAGGCTGGGGCTGCTGCTGCAGAGGCGAATACCGGTTCTACGACTGCTGCGTCGAACGATGATAATTACGGGTGCATTTTTTGCTGTCTCCAGGATAAAATCACGGGTGTATATGGGGGCGTTGAGACTCTGATGAATCATATTGCGCAGGTGCATGTGGCGGATATGAGTGAGGCGGTGCGGAGGAAGGCCCAGTGTGTTTTGGGCAGAGTGGCGGGTAGTGATGAGGAGTTTGATATTAATATCCCGATTTTTGGGTAGTATTTTTTTTTGNGGGGGGGGGGGGTGTCTCAGGCTGGTTAGGAAGCCTTCTTGTTTGGTACATATATCATTTGGATCTTCTTGAGGGGGCAGGAACTTGTTTTGCAATTTGTTTAGGATACCCCATTCTACCCGTTATTCGATTTTAATTTGTTTTGCAATGTGCTTTGCTCATCTTCGTGGAGTACTTGATTTTTTTTTCTTGTTCTTCTTCAAAAAAGGGGCTCTCTTGGAAATGACGATGCAACTTTTGTTATTTGTTCAGTTAGCTGAGCTGGTGCAAGTAGCATTTAAAAGAAATGTTACCATGTCTTTCTATACTTTTACATCATGTATCAACGTATAGGTTCTTACTGGCTCACTTTTCTGTGACATGGGTTTGACTGAAATATGCAATATCAACTCGCGTATAAGCTTGTTTTCCCCATAGAATTGGAAGCACAAACTTCAAGTAAAGATGGAACAAGCTTTCCCGTTTCTCATACAAGTGTCAAGGTCCTTTTCTCCCACTTCATCTCAGACACAGCACCTTCTCCATAGAGTAGCCACAGTTTCTCGTACCATTCCTTTTCCAATTCCTCCAGTGTTCTGGTGAGCATGTCGTATGTTGTTATCGAAGCAGAAAATTCAATCTCTCTAAACGTAGGTGTCCATAGTCCAACCCGACGAAAGACGCCGGGTCTTGATTCCTCAACAATCAAAGCCACCATTTGTAAATCCGAAATTGATTCAGAATAAGCTCGCAGATAGGCCAGGTGAAGTGTATGGCAGTCTTCGCGGGGCTTGATCTCGAAAAATTCGGCATATCTCCGATACTTATCGTGGCGTTCACTAGTCCTTTTAAATGGATATCGGAGAACCCAGGTCGTCATCTCCATGGACGGAAGAAATAATTCATGGCTATCCTCATTCTCCGTGAATTCACATAAGTCCATCTTTATACCTTCCTTTTTTGTCACGCAAACTTTGATATCGTCGTGTTGCAATGGGCCCCTCCAGTGTTTGATATGAGATAGTTTCCCTGGTGATTGACTTGCTTTGGCTGAAGCCCAGCTCCAAGAAGGAAACACATTTGTTGCCTCTCCACCATCCGAGGTAACGTGACGATTCCCGTACAAAAACCAACAGAGGTTTGAGATGAATGACCTTCTCACCATATCTTTATTTTCGTCGCAATATAGCAGTAACACGCCATAGAATTGCTTCACTCTGAACGGGAAAGACTCTGATTCGTCAAATGCATTGACAACACCATCAAATGCAAGTATGGAGTCGATGCCGAATGACAGCTCTCTTCTGTAATATTCCTCCAACCGACAGAGCAGATCGTAAACAGTTTTGCCAATTCCGCCTGATGGAAAACGTCGAATCGGGAAAATCGACCCCCTTCTGTAATCTGTATAATCCGGATTCAAACTCTCCATGCACATTGCATTTCTGCACTGGAAATACATTTGGGTTTTGGTGAAGACCAGCCGCCGACGAGATAGAAGCATTTCTTGATATGTCCATCCACGACTTGACCACTTTGTACTCTCTATTTCCTGTACAGGATGCGCAACTGCAACGAAGGTTTCCCCTCCTAATTGAATGGTGATTGGCTCTTCTCTCAATGTGTCTTGAACTCCTGGAAGCCCATGATGGGGGTCGTCTCCGATGGCAGCTATGATCGTAACTTCTGCCTGTTCGTAGATTTTGTTCATGTTTTTGATAAGTCGGTGCTTCTCTTCATGATTACTCTGATCAATGCAGTAGCGATCCACCCATAGATATGGTATACCCAGGCCAATTGCTACAGCCATGGCGTCTTCTACGGTTCTGGGGATACTTGCCGGTAGCTCATCCCCAAATTCCCTTGCATCCTGCGTAGTGCTGCTACCCCAAACATAGCTCAAGCATATATATGGCTCACAAAGCTTTAATGTCGTAAGTCGGTGGGACTTGCAATCAATGACTCTTAGAACCTGCTCGCCAGTCGTTGGCTGTGTACATTTTTGATCATGGGTCTCCCTACAGATCTTCAATTGGGCTCGAATGAATTGATAATCTGGGTGAAAAGAGCAAAACGCTCCGCGGATGGGTGATGGGCCTGTATATTGCACAGGGAAGAATCGAAGAACACAGATGAAGTAGAAGAGATGGCCTGCTCGTATATGTCCCTCAAACCCGGCACCTGAGGCCCAGGATAGGCGAAGATGATCCGACCTTTCACTACCAGGAACTATGCTCTCTATATATTGGAAAACAGAGTTGAGTTGACGACAGAGGGAGCAGCCGGCGCATATGGATTGTTTTGTGATGGTAGCGCTGAAACTGTAATGGGTTGTGTCGAAAACACTCGGCGTCGTCCTTAGAGACTGAGATACCCATATGTCCAAGGATTTGCATCTTTCACAAAGCGTATTTGTCGTCAAAGAACGCGTGGTGAAGATTGTAGTGACGTCCCCTAACTTCTTCTTGCGCGGCACGTCGATCGGGAATATCCCTTGGTTGTGTAGACTGGAATCCAGTGTGAGGTCTTGCATGGCTTCTCTCTCGATTTTGCAAGTTTTGCAGTCTGTATTGGTGTCTGCTGCGTGAAACAGAACCTGAGCATCCTGGAGCAGTGGTGGTAGTTGGGTAGTCATCCTGCGAGAATGAAAGCAATTATACACGATGCTAGGTACGTAACGGGGTAGGTGTAGAGGCTATTTCCTGTAATGGTATATAAGAGGAATGCATCGACGTCTGCATGGGAGTTGTGGTGCTTAAATTGGGCCCTCAGGCTGAGATTGCAGAGAAGGCGCAGCATTGATTGGCAACGTGGCTGAGTTCATTCAGGCAGACCGCTTGTGTGACCGCCACTGGCATTAGCGATTTCGCCTGCAGGAACATCTGAAATCAGGAAAGCGAGATTGAGGCGATGAATTCCGCGGTGTGCATTTGCACGGTGGACGCTGGGTGAGTATTTGACTGATGATTCTGGTATTCTTCAAAGAATCAATCAGAGGCGGGAAACAATGTTGTACGCTTAGACGCCACAGAGCGAAGGCGTAGGAAGGAGCGGGTTGGAATACTCGAACCAACATAACATACGTATTTGGAAGGAGCAACGAGTAACTACATGATCTCAAAAACATCGTTTTCCCAGAAAACGAATAGAACACATGAATCTCATTGGAGAATAAACAGCAACCATGACTGTCTCAAAAACGCCTAGTCACATGATACTCGTGCAGCTGAGCAGAAAACAAAGACGGAAAAACACCAAACTTGAACACCATGAAACGAAGGATGGGGAGAAGACTAAGAGCCTTATACATGCTCGTGGGCCTGCTGCCTCATTCTACCCGCATTCGCGTTGGTATGATACTTGTGCAACGACATACTGTCGAATGAATGTGATGGGGTCTCTTCAACTTCCTCTTCCATGTCGAACATGCGCCGGAGTTCTTGACACGCAATCGAGTATTGCTGCTTTGCGCTAGCACTTTCTTTAAGGGGGTTTGGTGCCTTATCCCAGGCATGGGGCACTCCCGGTACACAATGGTAGTGAACGCGCTTACCAAGATCCTTTTGAAGGCGGTCGCGGAACCGTTCGCCTTCGGCGTGAAGCATATCCCATTCACAACAGAAGAGTACAATGTCATCGGGCAAAGCTTCGAGCATGTGGTTTGGTGCTACACCGGGGCTCAACCACGGGTGCGAGAGGTCAAGGGAAGGTGGTTGGAGGTAGGAGTCATCGAAGAGGTCAGTGAAGACGGCAGGCAGATTCTGGTCGACCCTCGGGCAGGTTTCCCTGCGTTGTGCGCGTGTCTGTGTGTAGTCGGTTGGAGGATAGAAGGAGACTATTCCTCTAATCTTGAGAACGGCATTAGTTCCTTCTGTCATGACTGACACACCAGAGCTGTCTTTGTACGAGGTAACGAGCGACAACGACGAGGCGCCCGTCTGGCGGAGCATGGCAATTCGATCAAGGCGTGATTGCTGGCGGATGAGGTGGATGCGCGAGCCATGTGGTGTGAGGGTCTGGGAAGACGCTTGGGGTGCATGGACGACGCCGTTGGGTACGTTGCCCGCTCGTTGGTCGATAATCTTGGCGCCCCACGGTGTGCGATCGAAGAGTTCACCCTGTAGACACAGAGGGACGGTGAAACTCATGTTGCCGCCGGACGAGAAGCCGGAGATTGCAAAGCGATCCGGGTCGAGCATCAGCTCACTTGCGTGTTGGGCCAGCCAAAGCAACGCATCAGCACCATCCTCTACAGCAGTAGGGAATGGGTTCTCGGGTGCAAGACGATAATCGACGCTGACGACTACGGCTCCCACTTGGTCAACAACGGCACCGCACCAGCGCGCATCGTCGTGGGCTGTGCCGAGAACAAAGCCGCCACCATGGAAATTGATAACAACGGGGTATTTCTTGGCACTCTTGAGTTTTTTCTGCATCCTATAGTCCTTGGGTGTGTAGAAGTTGAGGCGGAACTTGCCCTTGATTGGCGACACGGTGGCGTCTATGTCCTTGTGGAAGGCGGGTTTAGGGGGCCATGGCCGGGCAAGACGATGGAGCACCATACCGATGCCCATCAGCACGCGCCAGAACTGGGCTTGAATATGGAGGATCCATCGTGGCCGGCTGGCCTTGTGTTGTGGTGGAGCGGTATCGACAGACACTGTCATTGTGGGTGGTTGGAGTTGTGCGTGGAGCCAGTCTAAGTCGGGGGTGCCATTTATCAGGCTGCGGAGGGTGAAGGAAATAGACTGGAGTTACCGGTAAGAAAAGGTTCTGGAAAGGTCAGAATGGAATGATTTCATTGGGCGATGACGTAGGGGTGCTGGTTTCAAGGGGTCCGTTCGTCAGTGGGCCGTGACGCCGTCCGGGTGCCGGTCGCACTATGGTCCGCTTTAGGCAAGAGAGGGCTGTGCAGCCCAGCCCTCACGATAAGATACCATACGGCTGACGGTATAACCTTGACGCCGCGACGCGCAACACGCCATGCCTCACGCTCCTTATTCGTCGCTACAAAGCCAGCTCGGTCGGAACGGCATGAATTCATACCGCTCACTAATGATGTGATTGTGGACTAAGTGTGCTACTTGTAAAACCAACCCTCCTCCATGCATACATACACCCTGCAAAACCACAGACTGGAAAGCTGTCAGCCGCAACACGATGCCGATAGCCAAAGTCACAAACACCCAAAAAAAAAGCAAGCCGGGATGGGTATAGGGCTGCTCAAGTCCTCAGAGAAGCGCCAGACGCTCGCCTATTGATGCTGCCATAAATTAAAAAGCCATACCAAAAGTCGACAATCAAGTCAAGACCACGTGTCAGAGAACGCCGATAAAGTCATATGCAAGAAGTAACAAGGAGTGCAGGACGAAGAAGACGCAAGCGTCAAGAGATTGGGCCCAGACAGTTAGGCGTCGACGAACTCGTACTCCTCATCCTCGGGAGCGACGCGTCGCTTGGTTCGTGGAATGTCGTCATCAATGTCCAGAACTTCGTACTCGTTCTTGACCAGCTTCTCCGTCTCCTTTGTCTCGAAGCGCTCGACAGCCTTGTCGAGGGCATAGTTGAGGATCTGGCTGCCGTGGCTGGGACCGCGAGCGGCATCGTATGAGTATGCGATGTCGGCATCTGGCGCAGGGGCAGCCGACGGGTGGTCAACGTCTTCGTCGGCCGACGACTCGTCACTGGCCGATGCCATGTCCTTGTGGAAGGTAGAGCGGGCTTTCATAGGGCTAAAAGACGAGGCCCTGCGTCGATTAGTACTCTGATGGCCTCACAAGAACGGAAACAAGGGGGGCGACTTACTTGATATGAGGAAAGGGCTTCGCAGGGCGAGGCTTGCCGTCTTCCTCGCGCCGTCCAGGGCCAAACGACTGGCCATGCGCCCACTTGGCCCTGCTGTTCTTGTCGCGGTTGAACTCCCTGGCGCTGCTGCGAAGGTCGCTGGTGAAGGTCTGCGAGGCCGACATGGTGAGGGTACGAGTGGTTGTGGTGATGGTTGGAAGAGTTAAGGGTAGTATTGGTGGGAGTGTGGTGGGTATGACGGTATGACTGTATGGAGGAGGAGCGAGGTGTGTCAGTAGGCTGCAAGGGGGACTAGGCGTATAGTAGTATGTATGTATGTATGCGTATGTGGCTGGGTGGTCAAGGAGTAGGTTAGGAGTGACGGAGCTAGAGGGATGATGTGCAAAGAACAGGTAATGTATACAAGTGTGAATGGAATAAGTAGGATAAGAGTGCACGGGTAGGAAGGCGTGATTGATGACTGGCGGCTGTCTTGTGAATGACTCTGAGAAGTGACTCAGGATGACGGACGTGTATTGGGAGCAAAGACCGGGTGGCTATGCAGGCAGCTGTGAGGGATTATGTATGGCTCGTGTATGTACGGGTAAGTGTATAGTTGGAATGGGTGTAGGGATGGATGTATCTACTTGGTTGGTACGCAGATAGGCATGGCCTTGACCTAAATAGTGGCGCGGACGGGACCGCCCTTTGAGATGAGGTCAAAGGCGTCAGCGCCGTCCCCGCTCTTCTGTGCTGCATCTTGATAAGGACAGAGTGAGGGAGTGGGAGCTCATGACCATGCCATGGCCCCCGACGCGCTCATCCGACTCGCCGAGGCATTTCCCGCGTTAACCCGACGCGGCTCCGGTTTGACGCTGGTGGCCGTGGTGTCATCATCGGAGTTTCATGAGCCTCTTGGTGGCCAACGTGGGCGGGTTGCAGGCCTGCCGTGTTCCTGGATTGCAGCACGAAGACGACGACGACGACAATGGACATGGGTCAGGGGGGAGGCGAGGCGAGGCAAGGCAAGGCAAGGCAAGGCAGGCTGGAGCTGGAGCAGCTGAAGCTCCAAGGCTCAAGGCTCCAGCTTCCCCCATAGTATCCCCCCGATTGCCGACCCCACATGGCCGCCCTCCTTTCCCCGACTATCTTACTACATACATACTTTCCATCGACTCATCACACTCCAACAGTCACGGCATCTCGCAGCCGTCCCAACAATCGCTGCTTACTCTACATCCTACTCGTATGTTGCATGGCGCCCCTTTGCTCCCAGCCAACCCCCCGATAGCTGTCTGTCCGCATTCGGTTCCCGTATCTTGCGCCCTTTCTCCCACTAGCTCCGTCCAGTCATGTAATCACAATCTAGAGCCTTCGGGATCCGGCTCACGGCCATGTACCCCATACTAAGTAAAGTAAAGTAGCCACCCACGGCCTTGGGGTAGCCGCCGGCAATCAGCGAGCTGCCAACTCTAACGTGCCAGGTAATACACTCTCTGTTGGCTCAACGGCAATGCACCGCTGTAACAAGACCCTGGTTGCTGTGACTAAGTACACCATGTATCCAAGTGCCCCCTAAAACTAAGGCTTCTCAAGCATATGCCTCAAGTATGGTACGCGGCCTCGTCCTCGTCCTTGTCTTCGTCCATGTCGCTGCCCTCTATCTGCTCTGCCTCGCTCGGGAGCATGTCCGGGAACCACCCGTACTCGTCCAGCTCCACCATGTACTGCCCCATGCCGTCCTGCCTGACCTCTACACCCTCCCTCCGTAGAGCATCAGCTTGGTGCGCCGCTGCACTTGGTCCTCTTTGTGCTCAGTTAGCAGGCAAACAAAGGCAAACAAGGCGTTGTCGCCATGACGAGGGCGCAGACCTCGGGCTGATGCCGCCTTTGGCGTTGATCACGCGCTGCCAAGGCACATTGCCGCTATGAAACCTAGGCTTCGTCCTGCTGCTGTCGCCCGATGGCGATGGCGATGGCAGGTTCTTGAGACACACGCCCACCTGTCTTTTGACGTCACCTGTTAGTTGCAGCAGTGACATGATGGTGATGAGTGCTGCTACCTTGGACACTCGGCTATGATCAAACAAACAAGTCAGCCAGTCGTCGTCATCGTCATCATCCCCCAGCACCACGCACGCTTTCCCACCAGCCGGGCAATGTGTCCGTAGCTGGTGACCTTGCCATACGGTATCTCCTGAATCGCCTCATAAACGGCCGTGTACCACAGCCACACCTCTTCAGAGCGTTCTCCAGGCGCCATGGTCGCAGTATGTAATCCAAGATGAGGTATTGGGGTGGGTGAGATCGCCGGCCAGGGGCTATCGCGACTGATCACACGCCATGACGCGAGATCACGTGACCTGCTATGATGCGCGTGCCAAGCCCATGGACTTTGCCTGCCAAACTTCGCGACTTGTGTGCATGCACAATGGGCAGCCAACCCCGCCATCCAATCAAGCATGTCTGGACTTGCCGACTACCTGGCCAAAAACTACCTCACGGCTGATTCGGAAAAGAAATCCAAGAAGCGCAAAAGGAAGAACAAGGATGCCGGCCTCATCATCGAAGACGACGACAATCTGGGCTGGAAAGACAAGGCCGACGATGACGATGATGACGCGCCAATGATAGGTAAAGGCACTCCTCAACTCACGCAAGCTGCACATGTACATGGCTAACACTGTGCTGATCAGTGGGCGGAGGCACGCTGAAGAAATCAAAGAAGAAATCAAAAGGCACCAGCGCAGCAACGTGGACAGCTGTCGGTGTCGCTGCGCCCTCGCATGCTGCACAACTTGCTGCCGACGCAGCTGCCGCCGATGCCATCATTGCAGGTACGGCAGCCGATCGCGAAAAGGCTGCGGCAGCCGAAGACGAAGCCCCAGAGATGGTAGACCAGGATGGTATACTTCGAACAGCGTCAGGCACAAAGGCAGGCCTGCAAACGGCTGCCCAAGTCGAGGCCGCCATGAACAAGAAGCTAGACGAGGAGAAGCGCCAGGCCGAGAAAATCGCAAAGGAAATGGGGGGTGCTGCACCGGAAACCATATACCGAGATGCCAGCGGTCGCATCATCAATGTCGCCATGAAGCGCGCCGAGGCACGCAAAAAAGCTGAGGAAGAGGAGCGGCAGAAGCGTGAAAAGGAACGCGCAGCACGCGGAGACGTGCAAAACGCAGAAGCCGAACGCCGCAAACAACAGCTGCAAGACGCAAAGACAATGACGGTCGCCCGATACGCAGATGACGCCGAACTCAACGACGAGCTCAAGGAACGCGATCATTGGAACGACCCGGCCATGGGCTTTTTGCGCAAAAAGAAGGCCGGGCGTAGTATCACAGGAAAGCCGTTGTACAAGGGGTCGTTCCAGCCAAACAGATACAACATTCGTCCTGGTCACCGGTGGGACGGCATTGACCGTAGTAATGGATTCGAGAAGCAGTGGTTTGACTCGAGAAATCGCAAGGCGAACATTGAGAAACTCGAGTATCAGTGGCAAATGGATGAGTAGTCCTGTTTTGTCTGTTTTTTCACAAAAGGTTAACCATATGCTTCTTTTTGTTGCATTTTGCATAGCGCAGGCGTTTTTGAAATGCTTACCAAAATTACTAGTTTCGGCCGGGTACACGGTCATTCCACATTCAGTCTCGAGTCTTGATGCATTGCTGTAACGTGAACAAAAGTAAGGCAGAAATACGTGAATGGGTATCTCTTTTTTCTTGGCTCGTTGATAGGAATTGTCTGAGATACTTTTTGTAGAAGAAGACAAGAGTGAAATTCATCATGACACAAGGAGACAACCAGACTTTTACAGTTCAAATCACATCATGCTCGAGAAGTACATTATGCGAATTGGAAAGCTAAGCTCAAGTCCATGACTCCTCTTGTAATCTCGACAGCTGCATGATGTTGTCTCTTAAATCCACCTTGTGAGTTACATTGCACATATTCGCAAACTTGATTCTTCCTCCAAACTAATAAAGAATCTATCTCATAATGACTTGTACACATATCTTAGCCATGTTCAAGTCTATCCAAGTCTATCCAAGTCTGAACCTCTACACATCTCAAAACCATGTCACAGTACCTTTAGTCTCGAGAACTCCCAAGATGCATAGTTCTCGATTCTAAAGTGACGAGTATGACAAATGTCGCATTTCGAAGAATATTTAAAATACCTTAATGTCATGTCCATTATATTGTAGCTCATCATGCGGGATTTGATGTTTAGTCGGGTGGGTGATGGATTCTTAGTATAGATTGCTTATTTAGAACTACTTATGTGGGTACGCAGGATGAATGACTTATTTGGAAATGTTGCAATCAAAGGGCGAGAATATAACAAGATAAATGTTACTAGTGGTCAGGAGGAGAGATAGGAGAGAGTTTTAGGGCAGCAGTTGCTTTGTATTATACTAAACCAGCTGTAAAAAGTTTACATGTTCAGACGGGAAAATGCTACCATGGATGTCGAACCACAGGGACCATTTTGTCAGCGTATGCAACAACTAATCCATTCGTTTAGACTATAATTATATCCAATTCAATCAATCCTTCAAGTGCCAAAGTCCACTGTCACATATATCACAAACACAGCATACTCGACGTTTCAAATTCTTATTCTTTGATTCAAAAGAGTGTCCATAATTCATAACTCTTCATGCAGAAAATTCCCATCATCCACCCTTCCTACTCAAAGGTTCCTATGCTAACCCTCTCAAAGTCACAAAAAAAACAAACGACCATCATCTTGAAAACAAAAAAGTTCTTGTCCATCTCTGTGAAAATCGCTCGATGGAAACCGTGGCGTTGTCGTGCTTTTCAAAGGTTGCAAAAGTCGGGTGGTGTTATATTATTAACTTAGTGCTAAAGGATGTTGGTATTAGCAAACATTGTTTCTGGAACAGGCCGAGAAAGAAGAGAGAGAGAGAGAGGAACTTACGGAGCAAGATCCGCAGTTGCAGCTGGAGCAGTCGCCCTTGCAGGAGCAGGTGTTGCAGGTGCTGTTAAAACACAAAGCAGTTAGCAAAAAGAAAGTTCAATCTTCGTCTCAAAAAAAAAAGAAAGGGTTCGAAACGATCCAACTGGTTGCACCACTGCTAGGAGCAAGCACATGATGAGGCGAGGGGGCCATCACGGTGCTAACGGCTATCCCCCATGCAGCAGGATGCCCAGCAGACGGCGTGATGCATCGTGTAGGGAGTACGCTGAGCAGACATACCATGGAGACATGATGAAGGATGGTTGATTGGTTGGTTGGTTGAAAGTAGCTTAGTGTATTGAGTTTGGTAGATGAGCAAATGTTGGAGCGCGATGAGGCCATCAAGGTGCTGAGATTGGGGGGGGTATTTATATAGAGCCCGCCGACCGTCTCGCCTTACTCTGGCTCATTCGTCTCCCCCTTCTCTACCCACGCTTGGCCCAGCTGCTCGTTTGAGTGGATATCGAGGGCGCTTGGGTCATGCGCGACTTGTGCGGCCGACCGCCCACCCCCTCCACCCCCCCCCCGTGATGGTGGGGTGTCTTGTCCCAACGAGTGACATATCGAAGATACTAGAGTTGACCCCCTCCTTTTCAGTAACGACCAAGGCCGACACCATGCGCGCTATGCTCATCACCTCTTACCCATACAGACGACACTGTGACGCTGGACCGGGAGGTTTGGTTGGTTGGCATCATACATTGGCCGTCGGACAAGACTTGATTGGATAGCTACAGCCATGGCTGGGGTTGGTCGGTCAGGGCTTGGACGACTCGGTGGGATAACCGCTTGAGGCGATGGGCCACTCGCACAAGTCGCGCAGTCGCCCCCGGTATACTCCGTGAGGCGCGTATGGTGGGCTCCACTGCGCCCTGCTTTCACTACCTAGTTGTTGCCTGACCACTTGATTGACCCGAGAGCCCGGACATGGCTCCGCCTGAGTATCGTTTTCTGGGGTCTCAAACTCGATGCCATGGGCATACGGAACTTGGTATGGAGCACTTGGTCCGGAGGACCGCTTCACTTAGGCAGGGCCATGCAACGGCACAACCGCCGACGTGGGAACCAGCCTGGCCGCATTTATCTGATATGGAATGTTTACGTATCCGTTGCTGACTGGCTATGGATGTGTCTGTTGTGCTTTGAAGGCTGGTGACACTGCGCCCAGAAGTGTGAACCCCGCCCTTCTTTTCACCGCATACAGTGCATGTGTGACATGGCTGATAATGCAAGACATAGCTAGGCGCAGGTGTAGATGACGGCAAGCAACAGACGGCTCTGCAATATCATGATGCATAGTACTATAATCGCGTGGTTGTCGTTTTCAGTACAAGACTGGGCGCATACATAGATGTGTGGATTCGGCATCAGTGACGTAGCGCTTCCAATCGAGATGGCCACACTAGCTTCCACGTTGGACCCCCCCCCCCCCCACGTGACTCGATCGTGCCTAGTCACATGCCGGCCAATAACGATAGTCCTGTCGTCTAGCTACTAGTACGTAATCACGTGGGCGTAGGCTCTCGGGCTGGAAGCAGTTAGTGAAAGCGACAAGGCATGAGAGTACCTAGTATACAAGGACATCATGACATGTATCGTCTCCATAGTATCTCACCGACAGTTGTTAGTAGTGTAGTAATCTCTTACGCAATACTCTCACAACTGACTGCTTAGGCCTACAATGCTACTACATATGTGCAGGACCATCTAGGCTGTGGACCTGGACACAGTGACATGTATCCCCCCACGCAACACTTGCTAGTCTCCAGCACTAGTGCTCATCAGCTGTGGCCATAGGTCCGATGTGGTTGCGTGATCAATTCAGCCGAGTTACATTCGTCTGCCTTGCCATGGAATCTCGGCATATGGTTTCTATTATTAAGAGTCTGAGATTGACATCGTACTAGATCAGAGGCACCGGCTTCGGGCTTCGCCGAAACAAGAAACGCTAGTACTACAGAGCATGCCCGATATGTTATTGTTTTTTTCACGACAAGTTGCTGTTGACGTGGCATGGCTGTCGAATGCAACCACCATGACATGACAGGGTCATGCGTGATATTGGCCGTCATGACTTCGATTTGTATTGAAGCGTGATTGACTGTTGATACTAACGGTGTTTCGACAAGACCTGACAACAACTTATATTCTTCGCTCTGCATCAACATGCCAAGCAGTGACATCTGGTCCATGGTGCACTCGGGGAGACAGTGAAATATCCTCCATGATTTTCGCAGCATCCAGGACAAGCTCATCGTCTCCGTATTGACCAACCACCTGCAGGCCCACAGTGTTGAAGATTGAATCACTTCCTCCCACTACCCCAACGTCTTCTTCCCCCAAGTTTACACCTACGGGGACACTGATGGCTGGCAGTCCCGCCAAACTGGCAGGAACAGTGAATACGTCGTTCATATACGATTGAATAGGATCCTGGGTTTCCACTTCTGATAGCGATGGCGCCATGGATGGTGCCGTGGGGCACACGATAACATCAATCCCCTCCTCTGGCTGTTTTGGGGCTGTCCCATCTTCAAAAAGAGGATTGCGTCTTGCAAACACGCTGTTGAAGTCTTGCTGGACCAGTCTGCGGACCTTTTGTGCCTGAATAAAGTAGTTGTCGATAGCTTTGGCGCTGAGCGAGAAGGCTCCAAGCAAGATTCTGCGTTGAACTTCGGCTCCAAAGCCCTGGCCACGAGTTTTGGCGAATAGCACGCTATCAGGCGTTCCATCAACGCCCTCTGATCTGCTGCCAAAGCGTACTCCATCGTACTTTGCAAGGTTACTGGATGCTTCGGCTGGTGCAAGTACGTAGTATGCTGACAAAGCTTGTTGTGTCGTCGGTAGCCGAATAGGATGCAAGCTGTGGCCGCGATCCCATAAGTGATTTAGATGCCGAATCCATGCTTTGCGAACAACGGGCTGCAGGGTCTCGATGTTGTAGTCGAGGGGTATGCCAATCCTTAGAGACGATGGCTGGTTCTCCTTTCGCTTTCCAAAACGTGCACGTGTTGAATGAGGAATGGAAGTTGGGTCTTGTTGATCATGCATGTTGATTTTGTCTTTATGACTTGTCAGATGTGCTGTATACTCAGGTAGTAACTGCACTCACCAAAGATGGCCCTCACATCCTCAGTGCTTCGCCCAAATATACCAACAGTGTCTAGAGAGTTGGCATAGGCGATCACGCCCCACCTTGAAAGCAGGCCGTAACTCGGCTTGAACCCGACAACGCCTGTATATGAAGCAGGCAGTCTGACAGAGCCTCCAGTATCGGTCCCTAACGCTCTGCTTGTCTTAGCATATATAGTCTGGTCTCGGCAATACCTGGGGACTTACGCCCAGCACTGAGAACTGGCAACTGCAAGCGCACTTCCTCCTGAGCTTCCTCCTGCACTCAAGTCCTCGCCCTCATACCTCTGCATCCTTACTGGGTCGAACTGCGAATGTGTCGAATGCGAGCCCATGCCAAACTCATCCATGTTGGTTTTGCCCACAATTACAGCACCTTCATCCTGGAGGAGCTTAACTACCGTCGCATCGTACGGGCTGGTGAAGTCCTTCAATATATTGGAGGATGCTGTTGTATTCAAGCTTTTTGTGCAAATGTTATCTTTTATTGCGATTGGCTTGTCCTTGATGCTGCGAGAAGCAGGACTCGATTCGGCGGCATTGTCGCGCGCGGTGAGGTCTGACGGAGAGACTAGTGAGTTGAAGACATTGAAATGTTTGTACTTGGATTGGTTCAGTAGGTATGTCTTGGCATACCTGGAGAGTGACATGGAGGGTGAGTCGCATCACTGTCGCGGGCTGGAAGTCTGAAGTTCGTGAGCGGGACGAAAAACTGCCGCGACGTCATGCGCGGTTCCGTCAGCACGCAGACTGACTCGAGGGCGCTCAACCCATACACAGTAGGTCTACTGCCATCCATGCACTACGCATGACCGTGGAATGTCACAGATTTTGACCGACGTTTGCCAAAAGAAAGCCTCCGCCAAATCGTATATGTAGTCTCGATAACTCCAGGTCCCTAGGGGTCCTCACAGCGGCATACATGTCTATATAGCCAGGCCGTGCTACGGCAAGAGATCACCACCCATCATGCATTGCAAGGGAAAAAGGGTATATGAAAAGAAAACATCAAAGTTCAACTCAGATATCAAGGTGTTGCCTGATATCGTCACCGAGCCTCCACTCCTCATCCCTAACTATACGGTCGAGCGGACTCTGCACATCGTCCTCGTCGCTTCGTCTCGTTCCGCTGGTGCCCGCATCACTAACTGCCGTAGCACCGCTAACACTGCCGCAATTGCTCTTGCTCCTCTTTCTCTTGAACCAGCTTCTCCTACTCTTGGTGCTCGCAGCATCCGTGTCCGAAACGACCGATGCAGCATACTCGCGTCCATCGCCCTCGACGAGCGTCGGGTCGGTGCTTGATGTCACGCTGAGATTCGACGAAAGTTTCCGGAGGTGGTTGGCGTCGGAATCGCCAGAGCTGTCGACTGGAGCAGGCCTAGGTGTTGGTATGGGTGTAGTCTCTGTTGAAGGAGTTGATTCGACAAGCTCGGCATCACGGTACCATTTGCGACGGCGTGTATAGCGACCCCAGCCATCTTGACCTCTTCGACCATCTCTCCACTTTTACAAGTCAGTGTCTTTATATCATACCCATAATCTGATGAACTGTACCTTATTGTCATAGTAGATCCAGCCTAGCTCCTCCTTTGAGATACCCTTTTCGACCTTACCATCTTTGGCAGCGCCATCAATCTTCCACTCACTACCCTGGACCCACCGCCATCTCGCACCACCACCTTCAACTTCAGGCAGCTCAAACTGTTCCTTGGGTGGCACAGGATTGAGATGCTCATCCGTCCATGACGCCCGCTCATAAGCAAGCATCGACGAGGTCCAGCCAATGCCTAGCCACCTCCGCTGGTTCTCATAAATGGAAAAAGTAAAGCGCACTCCAGTTGACTCTGGTCGGCGCTTAGCAGCTAGCGAGGCAGCAACTTCCTGGGTGCTCTTTTTCCGCGGCGGGAGAGGAGGTGGTCCCTTCTGGTTTGCTGATGTTATCTCGCCAAAGTCCAGGCCGGTGAGGAAAGCGCATGTTTTTCGGACCGTCTTTGATCTCCAAAGCAGTGTGCGCGTGACGCGCGCTGGCCGCGAATGCCAGCTGAGCATCACTGTGCCTATTGCCAGTACGACTCTCTTCGTGGTAAGAATGTAGAAGGGTGGGAGCGTAAGGGCGATCCATAGAGGCAGTACGAAGAGAATGCGGATAAACAGCACAGTCAGTGCTGGTCGTGTTGTAGCCGATGTAGCCGTCCTCTGAGTAGAAAGGAAATCTGTCAGGCGCAAAAATGGATCCAATAGAATATTGCAGCGCGAAGTAAAGAGTTTTAGGCTATCAACAATCTCCTCCAGACTCTTGTGGTGCTTGATGCTGGTGTCCGACTCGACTCGTTTGTGTTCCGTCTGGCCCTTTTCGCCAGTCCAGCCCGTGGATGACAGGGGCGAGTACCTGCGCGTGTACATGCCCAGTATCAGAACCGAGACTATGATGATGGGTCCGGCATATCTCATGACTGCATCCCCATACATGACGACTGCCCAGAAGGCGGCTACGAGGAGAAAGCTCTCCCATGGATCGCCCGTCGTCCATGTCACCAGGCCGGCAAACTTGTTCAGCGGGAGTATAAAGGGATGCGAATATGCGAGGACGCGGGTAATTTGAGGCGGCGTAGCAGCAAGCAATGGGGATTTCTGGTGGACAAGTATGGCGGAGCGGCGCTTGGTCTGGGGCGTTGTCTGGCCTAGATGGGCGGGCGAGAAGGAGGCATAGGTGGGCGGGTTCGGATCACCGGTAGACGGCGGAGACGACGCATCGTTAGTGGACTTGTGAGGAGTGGACATGTGCTCTATCCAGGGTGTATCTAGTCGAGTATGAGCATGGTGGTTGCGCGACCACTTTTACACGCAATCTTGTTGCGAGTCTGGAGGCGACGGACCTAGTGCTGCCATGCATGTGGATGTGCGTCATCGCCTAGCTGCGCAGAGGAGGCTGAGGGCCGCGTTGATGTCAAGCCACGCTCGGCGTGTATATTTGTACAAAATGAAGCGAGTGCGCGAATACGCACAAGGACGGCCTGAGAGTGAACAGAGGATGTCATGCAACTACTAGCACTTGCGGCGTTGCTGCACACGGTCATGTCTTCTGCGGGGGTTCCCGAGCATGTGAAGGTCTTAGTCCGAGGGCGACTCGTGGGAGCCTTGTGACAGCCCTCGGCGACGCGCTCCTTGTAGACAACAAGCTGAGCATGCTTGTACGACAAATACGTACCAATCCGGAATCCGGTTGGCTGTTCCGCTCGCATCTGCATGCATCAGAGCACACAAGAACACAGTGGTTGCGGACATGACGGTTTGCGATCGTTGCGTGATTGGCCAACCTGCGATGATCACGTGCGAGCCTCGGAAGCGGACCGAAACTACGAAAGGTGCCCCAGAAATTTTGGACATGGCCGCATCGCCGTCCGCACCCGCCACCACGAAGCAGAAGTCGAGCACCTGCGCCTCACGGCCCTGAAAGAGAAGCAATTCTTGTTCGTTTGTCGTCCCCGTTTTCATCATAGCCATAATGGTGCGCTGCAACAATATCCTCTTCCCACCACGCTGTACTAACGCCTGCAGGCCCACCGCATAATAACACAAGTCGTCTTTTCTGGCGCCCGGATAATAGGTCGAGCCGTATCCGAGTCGTACCGTCAAGCAGCTGCCTCGCAGAAATATGCAGCAGCCAACCAGGGTGGAAAAAGCGGAGGCGCCTTCTCATCCTCAAACATCACCATGGATGAGGCCTGCCAGATCTTGAATGTGGGGCCAGGAAAGATGGGAAACATTGAGCTGGAAGCAGTCACAGAGCGATTCAAGCGACTGTTTGACCTGAATGACCCAAAGAAGGGTGGCAGTTTCTATCTGCAGAGCAAGATCCTGAGGGCAAGAGAGAGGATCGAGAGGGAGATACAAGGCCACCAACGGGTAGCGGAAAGAGAAAAGGAATTGCAAGAGGGCTTCAAGCCAAAGTTCACAAAGGAGGATTAGGTCGGACTCAACGCAGATGAAGTGGCTGACACTTTGGTCATAGACGGCATTGCAAACCACCCAAACAGCAGAGGCAGGTTGTTGCAGGGGCCAAAGTGTCCAAGTATTGTAGATGGCGATGAAGGGTATCTTGTTGCATTTGAGCGGCGTTTGGCATAGCGTTTGGACCTTCTCTGGGCACAGTTCAGCGAAGACGCACTGTGGTTGAGGGGGCACTTTGACTGACACGGGTATGCTTTTACGTCTCTCCACTCCTGCACGCACATGTGCTATTTTTCTAATGTTCGAATACTGTACCATTATACGCTGTAACAAGGAAATCGACAGCTGAGCCATATTCACTGCATCCCATACCGAAGCTACCCACATGACCGTTTTGATCCCAATCGCAGGCATGGTTTGGCCTAGGAGCTAGTGAGGCCGTGTGTTGCTGGAGCATGTAGCCTGTGCATGTACTATGTATATATTTACGTACTTTGCGTCTGTATTGTTTACCATTGCTAGCATGTAGTGGAGTCGACGAGGGGCTGGCAGTCCTCACCCCCACAACGCCAGAGGGTCGCGCTAGAGGCTTGGCTTACACCAAGCCCGTCTCGACACAAAACTTTCGCGCGCAACCATCGCTGCCCTTTTGCATCACACCACTATCCGCCAAACGCCACCTGTACATACACACGCACGCACGCATATACACACAACCATAGTCACTGGCCGCGGACGATCCTGAATACACCTGGAAATCACGACACGCCATGACCGACTCATATCGCCCTGGGCGCGACCGCCCGCCACCGCTCGCCGACCGCATGACGTTCACGGGTGGAGATGGCGACAGTTATCGACCCGGCGGCGAGCGCAACGGCAATCGCTCGCAATTCACCTTCGAGTCCGGCCACCCCGCGCCTCGCTTTCCGCCCTCTGGCCCCGCCAACCTACGAGGCCCTTCTGGTTCTGCGGCGTCAAGAAGACGCGGTCGTGGTGGGGCATCGCGAGGCCAGTCTCGCGCCGACGGCAGGAACAATGCAAACAGCCATCGTAGAGGTGGCTTCAAGAAGGCTGCGCCTCACGAGCGTGCTCTGCTTCAGCACCGCGAGAACGGCAGTCCTGAGCGTGCATTGGGCGTCGCAGCTGATTCCAACCGTTTTCAAAATCCCGACGACCTGTCGGATGATGATGAAGCCGACATGGATGTAGAAAGCGATGACTCCTCCAATAGCCAGCAGGACGGTGACGCGTCACAGAGTAAGCCAAAGGCTGCTCGGACCCAGGTCAAGCGTGCTGATGGCGACTCTGTCCCTAAATGGTCCAACCCGGATCCCTATACCGCACTGCCACCACCGGATGAGACCACAGGGAAAAGGGTCGACTTCGTGAAGCTGATCCGGAAGGCAAAGAACCAAGAGGCAGAGAAAGCTGCAGGGCACAATTCTGTCATTGCCAATGATGATTTCATTTCGTTTGCTGACGACGACGATGATGCTCAAAAACCCACACAAGGCTCATTGAACGAGTTCGCACACATTGACAGCATTGTTAGTAGACAAGAAGCATCTGTAGCGGATCATCGGGCACCTCGTGGTCCCAAGGCCAACAACAAGCGTAAAGCCACGGTAGGAGGTGTAGTCAGTGAGTGGTTGCCCGCTCGCAATCGCGATCCAACACCTTGGCTTCCTTCACCTGATGCGTATGCGCATCTTGCTCGCGAACCAGAGAAGTGGTAAGTGACCAATGTCCAAAGCATCAGGCGTCTGCACGGAGCTTTGCATATCCCATGGTATCCCCGAGTGTTCCACGCAACCTTGACGCTAAACTCCTACAAACATTTACTGATTTCTACTAGGCTTCACAATGAAATACTGGACTTTTACGATTTCGTTGCTCCCAAGCCATTCGAACACGAACAGCGCAACAGACTTGTCAACCGAGTCAACAATGCCCTGGGTCAACGCAGGTTTCCTCAACAAAACGGCCGTGTGCTTTGTTTCGGTTCTTTCCCTGCAGGTCTGTATTTACCTACAGCTGACATGGACTTGGTCTATGTTTCCGATCAGTACTACAACGGCGGGCCTCCTGTTGTCGATATGTCTCAAAGAGGCGCTAACAAGAGCCTTCTTTACAAAGCATCCAACAGGCTCAAAAGCATGGGAATGGACGCGGATGGGTGTCAAGTCATCCACGCCAAGGTTCCCATCATCAAGTTTCAAGACAGACTTACCCAGCTTCAGGTTGATATTTCCTTCGAAAATTTGAGCGGGGTTCAAGCTCAAGCCACATTTGCGCAGTGGAAGCAGGATTACCCTGACATGATATACATGGTAGCACTTTTAAAGCAATTCCTCGTAATGCATGGACTGAATGAAGTGCACACGGGCGGCATTGGAGGTTTTAGCATCATATGTCTGATTGTTAGCTACATTCAGCATTCTGACAAACATGAAAACCTCGGCGAATGCTTCTTGGGGTTCCTCAAGTATTATGGCGATTTCGACTTGTCTAGGAAACGCATTCAGATGCATCCACCAGCTATCATTGAAAAGGTGAGCAACAGTTGATACTGCGCTGCTGGCAGATATCAAAACCTCTCCCATCTCTTCTACGAAGCTCACATGTTCTAGACCGCCCATGGAATTGACGGTCGCCCGGAAAGGTACGACGGTCTTTCTATCCAAGATCCGAATCGTCCAGAAAACAACATTTCTGGTGGATCTCACAGGGTTCAGGATGCCTTTGATGCTTTCAAAGAGGCTTATCACACACTTGAGGACCGAATGAAAGCTGCTCGCGCAGGCCAAGATATCGGGCCTAGTATCCTCGAGTGTGTCTTGGGCGGCAACTATGAGACTTACATCAAGCAGAGAACGCATTTGAAGACCCTGAAGTGAGCTCTTACATATTGGATTTGAAGCAAACCCCTATTGGCGTTCTCCTCTGCTTCTCCTATGCTTTGCGGCCGCTTGGACGTCCTCGGGACTACGTTGACCTTGTATTTCAAGCAAGGAGCTGGGCACCATACAGTGTTCTTTGCCTTCCTTAACTGCTCTATCCTAGGACAGGACGACCACCGGACAAGAGCCATGAAAGAGGTCATCCAAGTGCACTCGAATGACATAATGCTATCATAGATGGGACGGGAGTTGTATGTATTGTTTGGGTGGACGAGCACCTCTGTTCCTCAAAGAATTGGGGTAATCCGGGCGTAAGATATTACTGTCGGTTGGGCAGGCGAGTACAAAATGCTTCGGCACGTTCTGCTCATCTGCTCCTCCAGACAGGTTAGGGACGGCATATTCTATTTCAAAAGTACTTGTTGCAACAAGAGATACCCCAGAGTTGCTTTCCCATGGGCAGCTACTCTAGGCGTTTGGCGAATTATAGACGGATAGTACTTCCACAACAGGCGGACGGACGGACAGATTCAACCCTCCATCGATGCGCAGATGACAAGACTAGCGAACCCAACCTATGTTGATCGCCTCCACGAACTTCTGCCTCGTTTCGTCACAAAAGCCGTTTTGTTGTTTTCGTCTCGGATGTAGTGCCCTGTGTCCGGACCGGAACCCGCGCGGGAAATGAGGAGAAGAAAAGATTCGTATCGAACAAAATAAGGACCGGACATCGACAATGAGTACGGCTCTATATGATTTGTTGTCTGGCTCTACCTGTTGGACCTTTTTTTTTTACCGTCTCTCCGTCTGTTTGTTTGCTTCAACGTTTAATTCTCTGTACTGCTAAATGCGTGGCTCATGACAACCTAGTTTCCCAATCTCCTCTCCTCTGTTCTGCTTCACCTCTTTGGTTCTTCTAGATGGATACCGAGATACTAATGACACCAACTTCTTTCTACAGCAGAAATGTCACCAGCAATGGGACGTCTTTTCTCATTGGGATGCAGGCCATTGACGCATGCACTTGAGGACGAAAGATGGACTATTTGTGTTTCGCTGCCATGCGGATACTATTTTGTTTTCTATACAAACTAGTCTGGTTGCTGTTACTAGGTAAAGATGCTTTTCGTTCACTGTCTCCAACTTTCTCCCAATAATAAAAGAATCAACCAAGTCTAGCAAATATCGAGGTTTAGGAATGATTAACTCTTTGTCACATCAGAAGGTGGTTAACGTACCCAACTACCACATCCCTCATCTACAACTCCTTCTTGTTCTCGACGACAGTCTCGTTCTTGGCCTGCTCGATCAGGCTCTTGGCCACAGCCGCACTCTCCCTCCAACTCCTCTGACGTTGCCAAAACCTAATCTCAGCCGTAGTCTCGCTCAGACTGCTTCGTCGCGCATCTTCCTCGAGACTCTGTCTAGTAATCTCGCCACCCTTTTCACTCAATGTGGGAATGCTTTGAAGCTGGCTAAGGTTCTCTTCGAAGTACTGCTTGCGGACGAGGTAACGCTCGCGGCGTTCCTTTTGCAGCCCTGGAGTATCGAGCTTTGATAGAATGATGCGCACGCCCCAGCGGAAGAGAATGAAGAGGTGCTCGGCGAAGAAGACAGTAAGGAGGAGGGCCCAAAGTTGAATATTGCTGGGGCTACCGCTGGGACCAGTGTTGTCGTTCCAAAACATGTAGACGAGAGCTGAGGTAGTAATGCTGCCGAGCCAAGTGAGGAAGGAAAGGGAGTCAAGCCAGGGACCAATGGTATCAGCACGCCATGGCGTAGGTCGGCGCATCTCAACACAAATCTTCATGGCGTCGGCACGGAGCTCGACCCAGTTGTTGATGAGGAAAGAGACGGCAGTCAGTGGCCATACGACCGAGAAGAGAGAGAGGTAGCCAAATTGAACAACCATCTCGCGAAGATCGGCCGTGACATCGTATACTTCAAGCTCTGCTTCCTTACGAACACGCTCAAGGAAAGCAGCATCTTCAGGTGGGTCGTTGGCAGCAGCAGGTGGTGCGGATCCGCCGTTCTTGGCAGCTCGCTCGGATTGCATCTCCTTGTACTTGTCAAGTCCACGACGCTTGAGGTATGGAACGATAAGCTCCATGCCCAGATTGACCACCTGAGCAGTGACGGTGAAGTAGATGACCTGCTTGCGAAGGCGATCGGGGTTGATGCTCCAGCTAGCGCTCTTTGTTTCAAGATGAAGCTGCTTCTCGTCCTGAGCAAAAGGTCGAACAGCGACGTGGAAAACATCAAGGTAGGGCACGATAACTTTGCCAAAAGGTACATAGACGAATGCAGTCAAGAAGATGCCGAGGTAGGACATGATGAAGTTCATAACAAAGATCTTCTGGGTCAAGGCTTTCTCGTACGCGGCATGTGTCTCATAATTCTCGAATTGAGTTAATCGTGTAGCCGCTTTGGTCAGAAGGGTGTTGAGAATAGGGTTGACAGTAGTCAGGATACCAGTAGGGATGAAGATCTGGGGAGATTTAGTATGGGTAGAAGCAGTACTTCTGTTGTAGTACTTACCAGAACGCTCTTGAGCGGTCCGTCATAGACCTCGGAGATGAAGACCTCAATGCCGAAGCAGGTTGCAATAACGGCTCCGAGGGAGCAGGCTGCAATGATTGCAAAAGGAATTTGCAACAACTGTCTCTGGAAGCGCTTGGATGCAGGAAAGAAACCAACTTGCTCACCGGTGACGGGATCGGTGATGGTCTTCTCGGGCGTGAAGTCCTTCTGCTTGACCTCGATGTTGGAGACGCCCTTGACACCCCAGCGGACACTCAGGTCTTTTTCCTGATGCTTCCAGTATTCGGTGAAGACGGTGCACCACAAGGCGCTGGCGAGAGCATAGATTGGCGAGAAATAGCCAAGGAAGAGCCATGAGAAGAGGCCGAATGCCGCAGCTGGAATGAGAAAGGTAAAGTAGGATTGGGTGAAAGCAAAGTAAAAGGCAATCTGGCCGCGTTAGCACTAGACTGCCCCAAGCCGAGAGACGGCAGCTTACTTTTTCTCCCATGCGGTTGCGGATGTCGTCCAAGTCTTCGGTGCTGAGGATGTACTGAGATGTCCATTTCTTGATCCAATCCTTGTTGTACGCATGGTCATGCAGGGCGAAGATGGAGTCGACGTTCTTCCATTCGCCTTCCTTGGGTGTTATGCCCGCTCCACCCTCCGACGTGGGGTTTGTAATGAGCTGGTATATGATGCGCAGCCGCTCAGCCTCGTACAATGGCTCTGCTTCAAGCGATTCGCGCGTAACATTTTCAGGGGCAGCAGACCGGGCGCCGTGGATCCAGTCGCGGACTCTTGAGTAGGAGTCAGCCATCCATCTGCAGAGGCAACACAGGGGCTATGCGTACCTGGACCTATATACTTCGCCAAACAGGTGCTCGTCAGAAGCAACCCTGACAAAGAGCAGAAGCGAGTGCGAGTCGCCATTGCGGACTTCGGTCTGTAAACCAACGTTTGCCAGCGCCTCACACAGCTTCTCAAACTGTGCAGCTGCCTTGGTCTTGTCTGTATGCCCGTCAGCCCATTGCTTCACTCACCCCGCCATGGGAGCAAGCATACCCGTGTCGGCAAAGCGGTAGGTAATGACATAGTCGACGTCGAGATTGGTCTGGAGGGCGGTTGATTTGGCCATGTCCGACGGCGAGGCCGAGGCGAGCAGGGCGATTTTCAATTGATAGACGGACCAGGAGAGGGTGGTGAAGTAAGGAATGGCACGAGCAGCAGCTGCGGTGCTTGTCCCCTCCTTCTGGCTCGACATGCCCAGCAATGTTGTAATCAAGGTTGCACGCCGGCCTACTGCCGGCCACCAAACGTCATCGTCGCCAACATCCCTGCTCCGTGCTACCCCTGTAGCCCCTGCACCCCACGACAACTACCATACTATCGACATTTGTATGTATAGTACTAAGTAGACTAGGCTTCAGCTTCTCGTATCACTTGAGCACGCTTCTATGTCTTGTGCAAACAAAAGGACAGCTTCGAGCCGAAAAAAAGCAATTCTACCACCCCCCAAAACGAACCATGGTTGCTCTGTGCGCCTCCAAATCCGTGAGAGATGCTTGTTGAGCCCTGTCATCACCACACGTGACTATTCCGAAACCAAGTAGCTAGGAATATTGACTCGGAACCATTGTTAGAATACATCAAGTTACAAGCGTTGCACAGTAGAGCACCCGATTCGATTCGAAAGACGATGACATTCGACGCGTGCCGATCCATCGGGCAATACACACCACCACGCCCATGTAGAACATTACCCCAATCATCTTCTTCACCTCCACACGACTTCATACAACCACGTCTCCACCAAATCCAATCGGTCTTCGGACCGGACCCTGCTTTTTGTACGGCACAATGGCCATGGCCTTGTACGTTTTACCCATACCATTCGGGCCTCTGTCCACAAGCCGTTTCCACCCCATCTCTAGCCGTTTCTTCGTTTCCTCATCCTTTGCTGCCTTGAGCAAGCGATCAGCTCGTTCTTTGATCCCCATGGTTGACAAGAAGAAGGATTGCTCAACAGGGCCATGGACCTCCACGCCAGGAGAGGCTTCCAAAGCAGAATCTGCTAGACCAATAAAGTCTACATCCGCCGAAAGATCCACAAGGCCTGGTGCTGCAAAAGGTGAGACGGTCGTGTGCGATCGAATGCCACGAAGTGTGTTTGCAGGAATCGTATCTAGTGGGCCGTAGTCAAGAATGAGAGCGGCTCCGGAAGGCTGCGATTTTGTGAATGATTCCTCGTCTTTGGGCAGTACATCAGACTCTTTGGCTGGCGCTGAAGCAGTGCCGGCCTTGGAATTACTACCGCCAATTCTCACAGCAAAGTCGGAGATGTATGCAAGCGATTCCGGTGAAATCTCAATGACTGCGCCTGGGGTATCTTCCAGCTTCTTGTAACGATTGGACAGCTTAGGCAAGTACAGTGAATGTGGTGTTGGCGTTTTTGACACAGTCAGCTCAAAATCTAGCTTTTCTGCATCTTTCTTCGATGTCGGAGAGCCTGATGTGTTCGCTTCTGTGTAAGGAGAGGTCGGCGATACAACAAGCTCATGCCAGTTATTCTTGGGGGCTGTTACGCCGTGCTTTGGTTTTATGGGGCCGGTTGGTGTCATGATTGTTGACGAAGCCGGTATAGAAGACTGTGCTACATTTTGAAAAACATGTATAGGGAGTGCATCGAAGAACTCATGGGCGAGTATGAAGGGGGTCGCTGTGGCCTCTATGTCGCTTGTCAGCAATGTACTAGAAAAACCGGACAAGGCCCAGCCGGAACCTACCCTTCGGCACAAGTCGGATGTCCTCACACCACTCAACCTTGCAGCCTGGAATATACTTGCAAGTTGCAGTCAGGCCAATATCGCTCTTTGTCGGATCTTCAGTCCCAGAAAGCAATTTTGCCTGCTGTTTCTGCAAATAGGGGGACGCTTCGATGAGATAGATGGCTTCAATGCTCTTTGTGAACGCCTTGAAGCTCGAAAGTGTCTAAGAAATTTCAGCCTCTATGCTTTTATTTCTCTTGTCGGTATTTTACCATACCCTGAGAACATCATCCATCAACGTTCCTCGTCCAGGGCCAACCTCCATAATTTGGACCTTGTCCTTCCTACCCTGTGCTAGCCATTCGGCGTAGATCCATATACCAATCAACTCGCCAAATATTTGACTGATTTCGGGTGAGGTTACAAAGTCGCCCTTGGTTCCAAATTGATCCTGTCCGCTCGTCGTCTGCCTAGTGTAGTAGCCACCTTCGGGATGCGTGAGGCACTGGCGCATATATGCCGCTACAGAAATCGGTCCAGTCGTCTGGGTTTACTGTCAGGCCTTTTGTTCCTTGTCGGCGAGTTGAATTCTTACGGTAATGGCTTCAGCCAGCGTCTTTGCAAGAGGCGTCGACCATTGCCGTTCCGAACTTGCAGCAGTCGAAGTCGACGACCACCGGGAAGCGCATCTTGTTGCATGACATCCAATTGGCCGAGGTACTGAGAGGCGAGCATACGCTGCCGTTCGCAGTAAATTTAGGGACTGAATCCTCATGTTGGCATGCTCATCGCAGCTACATGACGTCTACGCGTTCGGAACGACAAAAGTTCAGATCGGAACGCCGAGGTGAACGAAGCTATGACCATCATCCTCAGCCTCCGCCTGTTGCTGTGTGCGACGCTCCAATCCGGACATCAGTCATATTTCGATATATATCGAAGTTGATTTGGTATGCGGTTCGTGTCATAAATCTCCGAAGACAAAGCCTGCACGTGGGAAAGAGAAGGAACAATGGCGTCCCGCTGGGCAAACGACGAAGCAGACAAGGCCGAAGAGCTACGCCGAAAGAAAGAAAAGGAAGAGAAGAAGCGCCTAAAATTGCAGAAACAACAGCAAGAAGCAGAGGCGGCAGCGCGCGTGGTGCAAGAAGCAGCAGATTCGCGTCCCGCGAAGCGTAGAAGACTGTCAACAGGCGATGATGATGAACAAGTACCCAAAGAAAATGAGACTCAAGAAGAGCGAACACTACTGCGCTTCGAGGGTGGAGGCTGGACCTCATGCCGACACACATCCAACTTTGAGACTCTGAACCACATTGAAGAAGGCTCGTATGGCTGGGTTTCACGAGCGCGTGATATAACCTCCAACACCGTGGTGGCTTTGAAGAAAGTGAAGATGGACTACAACCAAGACGGGTTCCCCATTACAGCCCTACGCGAAATCTCGATTCTCCAACGTTGTCGACACAATAACATTGTCAATCTCCACGAGATACTCTCAGGCGACGATCCCCAGGAATGCGTCTTGGTCATGGAGTTCCTCGAACACGACCTCAAGACGCTGCAGGAAGACATGAGCGAGCCATTCATGGCATCCGAAGTCAAGACGCTGTTGCGTCAACTGGTTTCCGGAGTCGGATATCTACACGAAAACTTCATCATGCACCGGGATCTCAAGACATCAAACATTCTGCTCAACAACAGAGGACAGCTCAAGATTGCAGACTTTGGCATGGCACGGCATGTCCCGCCTTCTAACGCGCCTCTCACACAACTCGTGGTCACGCTCTGGTACCGGGCGCCCGAACTGCTTCTTGGCACCCGGGACTACGGGACTGAAGTCGACATGTGGAGCATTGGCTGTATATTCGGGGAGCTGTTGGCCAAAGAGCCCTTGCTGCAAGGCAAGAATGAAGTCGACGAGCTCTCGCTCATTTTCTCGCTGTGCGGATTACCCTCTGAGAAGACGTGGCCGCAATTCTACCGGCTGCCCAATGCAAAGAGCCTCAAGATGCCCCGAGACCACCGCAATGTACCTGGCTTTAATCGTGCAAAGTTCCCCTTTCTCACGGCCTCGGGCGTAGATCTGCTTTCTTCATTGCTCACGCTCAATCCGGAATACAGGCCAACGGCGAAGGAGATCCTGGCCCACCCGTATTTCAAAGAGCAGCCAAAGCCTAAGCCCACAGAGATGTTCCCCACGTTTCCCAGTAAGGCCGGGCAGGAGAGAAGGCGAAAGAAGAGCCCAAATGCGCCAAAGAGGGGTGAGGCGCCTGGCATGCAGAGTAGTCTGGATTTTAGTAGCATTTTCAGGGCGAGGGAAGACGAAGAAAAAGGGGCCGGGTTTCAACTGAAGATGACTTGATTACTCGGTAGTATTGATGTACAACTTGATAGATGGTGGCTTCATGGCCGCAGCGAAGTCACTGATATATCCATGCACGTTCCGATCGAAGAAAGCCTAACTGGCAGTACGCTCTAAATGCTGCCCGTGAGGGCTCCGTCCATGTAAACCGTAACTTCTTCCAACACATTGCAGCCCGGAAAATAGCGTAATCATCGGCGGTCTCTGCTCCGACTGCGGTCACTACCGTAGGAGCTGTAACTAGGGCTTCTCCGTCCTCTGGCTCCGCCAGTGCTGCCGCTAGGGCCACCTCTTCGTGGCGGGCTATCTCTCCTGCCGTAGCCTCGGTTTGGCGGAGTTCTCGATGGAGACCGGCTGTAAGAAGAGCGTGACATACTCCTCCGTGGCGAGCGACTTCGGGACCGCGTATACGATCGTGGGCGTCCTCCCCATCCTCCCCTTCCCCCTCGGCCACCTCTGCCCCGTCCCCACTGTCCACGATCAGGTGACATACGGCGCGGTGGAGAGCGGTAGCGTGGAGGACCATCCATAGGCGGTGGTCTGTATGCTCCGGGTGGGCCTCCTCCTCGTGGTCCTCGTCCGCCGCGTCCATATCCGCTGTCGAAGTCGTCTTGAAATCTGTCGCCTGGCGGTGGGCCTCTCCGGGCTGGGGGAGGTGTTTGGGAGAAGCGACGTCGAGGGAGCACGATGGAGACTTGGATTCTGGAACCGTCCAACTGTGCGTCATGCATCTTTGCGATTGCACGCTCGGCTTCGTCAATCTCCTCGTAGAGTACGTATGCGATACCGCGATTGATGTTGACTGCTTGGCCATGAGTAAAATGACTGCGAAAGTGCGAGATGGGGCATACATGTGGGATTCATGGGCATCCTGACATCTTTGATGACGCCGTACTTTCCAAATATCTCACGTATGTGATCCTCTTTGACATTTCTGGTCAAGGCTTCTACCACAATCTGTCAGAGTATTAGCGAGCGGACTGATGAGCTGGGAAGACTGGAGAGAAGCAAGTGTGTGTCCTTGATATCAAGTCACTCGATGTACTCACCTTTGAACTCCGGGGCGCTGGCGACGCATCCCTGGGGGTAGGACTGCGAGTGTAACTCCTCCCTCTTGAGCGCGATCTGCTGTTTGGTGTGTAGCTGCGCCGGCCATTGCGCCGGGGAGACAGTGATGTGGGCGAGCGGGATCGGGTACGCGACCGAGACCGTGGGGACAGTGAGCGCCGTGGCGATGGCGAGCGTGGTGAACGAGAGCGGCTCGGTGATCGTGTATGCGACCTGTCGCGAGATGGGCTGCGCGTGCGCAATGGGGATGGCGAGCGTGCTGGAGACGGAGAAGGAGACGGCATGGTATGGTTTTTCTAGGCAGTACGGTCGCAAGAGATGTGCAGGCAGTGATGTGCAAGCTCACATGTGTTTAGACATTTGAATGGTACGATTTATCAATCGAACATCTGTTCACGCGTAATCTTTTGGCAGTGAGCTCAGAGCTACGGACTGGGGCTTAGCGTGGGCACGTGACTGGGGGACGGGACACGGACACGGGCAAGCGGCCAGGGTAACAGGCGCACGTCATAATGGTGTGAGGCCATCGAGACTGGCAGAGGCAGAGTCAATGCCTGAGGCCGAGGCCGGAAGGAGAGGCCAAGAGGAGAGAGAGATGGAGAGAGAGGCCAGGCCAGAATTCAACAGGACCACGTCAAATGCACTGCTGCTGCAACAATAGCCGCTCTCGTCTGCTGCGCAGCATTGCGTGGCACCCAGTGGACCATGTCGAGTGTCGAGTGCCGAGTCATACAAAGCAATTGTGCTTCATCTGTGCAAGCAACTCGCCCAAAGACGGAATTATTCTTCTTCTGCTGGCCGGCGCCTACACTAGAGCCACCGTTTAGTGATATGCAGTGCATGGGTCCGCTTGTCCGATGCCAGCATTTCGACCCGCTCGTTGGCCTTTGACCCCAGAGAGACCAAGTGAACAGACACTAGGCGGGTATCGCGGTGGGCATTTTGTTGTCGCCGCTGGTGTGTTGGGCCCAGAGCAGCGTCGGTGGCTGTCGACTTGACAAGCAGCTGGCTGCACGATGGCGCAAGAACAAGGACAGGACCAAGTACGAGAGGATCAAGACAAGGCGGGCCGGTGGGGTGGGAGTGATAGGCAAAGGCGGTTCTGAGTGCATTGTGTTGGTTTCGTCGTCTCGCGCTCGTCCCATTTCAATGACTTGACTTGACCCAGACAGACAGGACAGGACAGGACAGGCAGAGAGGGCGGGGTCGAAACAGCCCCACTATCAAACCGCGACTTAGCCCAACAACGCAGCACCAAACCTTCTCACCGCATCTGCCCTCTCGTCCCGCTTAGTCAAAAGTACCTGCATCTACCGTGTGCTCTGCCTCGTCTTCTGTCAATCTTCTCATCACTCTAGCTCCCGCAGCACGCACATTACCCCTCACCCAACATGTCCTGGCAAGGTGAGCAACCACGCTGCCCCTCCCCTCATTCCAGACGGCAAAGACTGACCCAAGCCAGCATACGTTGACACCAGGTGCGTCTCACCTCGGCCTCCCTCCCTCATCCTGCACGTCTAACCACCTTCTCCAGCCTCGTCGGCACCGGCAACATCGACAAGGCCCTCATCTGCGATGTCGAAGGCGCAACCAACTGGGCCGCCTCCCCAGACTTCACGGTACGTCGTCCGCTGGCCTGTACGGGGCACAGCTACTCGACCTGCAACAGGGCTTGAAGTGCCAGTGCTGTTACGTGGTCCATCACAATACACTCGGACGCTGACAGGTTACAGCTGTCTGATGAGGAAAGGGCAGCCATTGCCAAATCCTTCAATGACAAGTCGGACCCCAAGAAGGTCATCTCGGAGGGTATCAAGGTCAATGGCGTCAAGTACATGACCATCGAGGCAAGCGACGATGCGCTCAAGGCAAAGAAGGTACCCTTTCCGTCCCCGCCACCCACGCCCACGCCCATTAGGTACTGACTGCAATACTAGGGCAAAGAGGGCGTCGTTGCCTTCAAGACCGGCCAGGCCGTCATCATCGCCCACCACCCCGAATCCATCCAGACTACCAACGCTTTCTCCTCCGTCGCCGAGCTTGGAGACTACCTGAAGAAGCACGGAATGTAAAATGTCTCTGCCCCGGGACTGTTTGTATGTTAGAGATATTTGCATAGCCCCCACTCGACATGTGGCGGACAAGACGGTAGGGAGGAAGGGCGAAGGATATAGATATGAATCATGACGCACAACATAGCGACATAGGAGATTTTTCTTCAATGCAATGATATGCCCTCATACCACGCGTTTTTCTTAATAATAACATCAAACCTTGCCTATAATGGTCTAACCTACTATCGTAGTAGAAAACACCTTACTTCTTCTAAAATTACCCTCTAGATAGATTTGTAATAAAAAACATAAATTACATTATTAAGTTAGGTAGATTAACATAACGTACCTTACGGCTTCGCTAGACACCTAGCTTCGCTAGACACTTTTACTCAGCCTTTACTAAAACTACTATATTATAGTCTAAAATAGTCTACTTTAACTCTATATAGTATAAAGTAATAGTTAGAAGATATTACTTTTAGTTTATTTCTACTAACGTACCTTACAGGCGAGTTACCTACACGGGCGAGTTACCCACTCTTCCTAAGACTATATTAAACTACCTACCCTTCACTAATATCGTAATAATAGTACTATTTATAGCCCCCTACTTAATATTAGATAAAGCTTACTTTTTAAGCTTTTAAATAAGATATAACTCTCTCGATACGACGCGCTATAGGTATCTAAAATATTTATTATAAAATACTAGATAATAAACGCGTAGAACGACCATTATATATAGATTATATATAATTATAAATTAAGTAAATTTACTAAGTTTAAGAGAGAAGTAATTATTAAGTATATACTTAAGCTTATTATATATAAATTTCTCTCTAGACTTTTAAACAAAGGTAGTATAGCTAAACTCTTATACACTACGTATAATTTAGACTAGATTAAATAAAACTAGCCCAATATATCTATTAGATATTAATCTAAGCTTAAAGTATAGTAGAATTATAAGTATAAGCTTAAGAGAACTCTCTATAAGAATTCTAAGATTATTAAAGTCTAGTTTAATCTATTAGCTAATATAAAAGCTAAGTATATTATTATAAATTATAATATGTTTAACTTTGGAATATAGACTTAATAATAGACTAAAGTATCTCTAGAGCTATTATTATAGCTTTAGAGAGACCTAGATAACTAAAGACTAGTTAGCTAGATAATAGAGAATAAATAATAGTTATCTAGAGTATTAATATAACTAGAAAGATAATTCTACTCCTTACTATTTTTAAGACGCGCTACTAGGCTAGTAAATAAGTACTCTCTACTCTAAGTTTAGTAGAGATTAGATTATAGTTATATAGACCTTAGATATAAATTAGATTAGATTACTTAGCTCTTTAGTAGAGGTTATAGTTAGGCTATATAGACCTTAGATTAGAGTAGAGTTAGATTAGATTAGTTTAGATTATAGTTATAGTTAGGTTACTAAGCTTTTAGATATAAGTTATAGTTAGGCTATATAGACTTTAGATAGAGATTTAGTTTAAGATACTTTATTAGGTATATAATCTAGAAATTTATATTAAGTAATATATTTAGCGTTTATAGAAACTATAAGAAGTAAAAGATTTTATTATACTTATTTATTATTATTATATAATAAGTAGAAATACTTCTACGCTAGTAGAGTTATATCTAAATCTTCTAAGTAATTATCTATAATATTATTAAGGATGTTAATATTCTAACTTAATATCTTCTCTATATTAGCTAAAAGAGTAAAGAGATCTAAAAGAGTAGTTAGTAAATAGTTTATCTAAATTAGTAGTTTCAGTAGACTAATTTAGCTTCTTAGTAATAGTATACTTTAATACTATTATTTACTAAGTTATCTTAGTACTAGAATAATATCTCTTATCTCTAATTATATTATTAGTATTATAAAAAACTTACTAAATATTAATCTTAATAGCTAGTAACGTGGTTCACAAGCGAGTCGGCCACCCAAGCGAGTCGGCCACTTTACACTAGCGCGTCAACTTCAAGTTATTACAACAGACTTTTATCATAGTTAATAAACTATTACGATATACTAAATTAATTATCAGAATCGCCGCTATCACTTGCACTATCTATCTCAACCGCGCAGGTACGAACGTTATGTCCAGTCTGGTTGCAACGCCCGCATCGCCTCTCTCCTCGCACCCTCT